AAGATGTGCAGCGGTACTTATCTAGCTAGCCCCGGATGTTTGTCGGCACCATGTACCTATCCGGTACAGTGCAGAGGACCAGAATAGATGGGCCGTCTCGTACACAAATGAGGTTGACCCAATAAGACTGAAGACCGCAGGAAATAATCACTGAGTCCAAGAGTGGCGCCCAAGCTAAGCTCCAACAATATCTCCGGGCTCCCGTCCTGATGGGGACACGATACCAAGATTGAACTTCTGCAAAACTCTCATCTTTTCCTTGCTGTCTGATCGCATGCTTTGGAAGAACCTAAGTCACTAGCTGTGGTTCTGCAATAGCAGGATCGTATCACTCCTATCACTGCCATACATCGTTCACTGGGGCTCGGAATGTGTTTTATATCCTTAGCCGCCACCAGGGGACTTTTGCTATCAAGCATCCATCCTTGTGTTGGTCATTTGCCTTTGACTCTACTAAGTGTTACGGAAATACCAACATCAATCAGTCGCGGGGCCCAACTAACAGATGGGCCACCGAGAGCCTACCGATCTATCTGTCATCAAGTCACGTGCAGCATCCAATACTCTGGCATCCCCAGGTATTCATGGAAAATAGAAACGTGATCATGCTCTGTGAGCATGAGCATGATTTACAGTGATGTTTCATAAGTATTTGACCTCCGATACTTCGGGCCCCTGACCGCCAGCATAGACCGCCTACTATTTTAGACCATGATATCTCGCGTTCCTCAACACGCTAGTATACACGCTATATAGCAACGCGTTTTAATACAATTCTCGCAATTCCCTTGCAATTTTCTCACCTAATTATGCCTCCTATACGTAGGAAAAGGGGCCCAGAGCTCGACTGCCTTACGAGGGCTAAAATTTGCGAATTACATGCCACTAATGGCTGGGGTGCAACCACTATCAAAAAACGGCGATTTCCAGACATTCCACGCTCAACTATTCAATATACCTTAACCCAAGAATCGAAGCGTATAAAGCAGGAGTCTTTAACACGTACCGGCCGCCCTACAAACCTTACCGACGAAGATCGTGATCACATATACGATACTATTCAGCAAAAACCGTCAATTTTGGTCGAAGACCTACTTACGGAGGTCGATTATAAGGTTAAACGCACTTCAATTTGGCGCCTTACCCACGAAATGGGCCTTCGAAAATGGCGGAAAATGGAGCGGCCCGCACTTACGCCTTTACACGCCGAAAAACGCCTAAATTGGGCCCGAAGATATCAGCATTTTACCGCTACGGATTGGGCCCGTGTCTATTGGTCTGATGAATGTACGGTTGAACGTGGTATCGGCCAGCGTCAAGAATGGACCTTTACACGTCCGAAAGACCAGCTTTTTCAGCATCACGAAGAAGGACATCAAATACAAATGGCTCCGACGCGTGGGAAGCAAATTAAGCAGATGTTTTGGGCTGCTTTTTGTGGTTTACCGCGTCGTTCTGGCCTAATTCCACTATTCGGAGATCCGCAGTCTCGTCGTGGAGGCGTGTCTTCGCGTACAATTGAAGAGCTTTATCGGCGTGTCCTACCTACGTTGCTTACTAGTATTGATCAAAATGCTATTTTTCAGCAAGATAACGCGCCCGTTCACACTGCCTATATTGTACAAGACGCCCTTAATGATATTGAATGCGAAATTATGGAATGGCCACCCTATTCACCTGATTTAAATCCTATTGAGAACCTATGGGCGCTGCTAAAAGCCGAGATATTGAAGCGTCATCCTGAGCTATTGCACCTACCAAATAACGGAGATACGCTAGAATTACTACTTAATGCTGCGCAAGAAGCATGGGAAACGCTAGACATTGAGGTCTTTAAGCATCTCTCCGAGACTATGCCACATAGGGTAGCTGATGTTATTAAATATGAAGGCTGGCATACTAGCTATTAAATTGAATTGAATTCCTAAGGTTTCTGCCAGGCAGTATTAAGAAGTGGGTCTCGGGGCGAAGTATCGGAGGTCAAATACTTATGAAACACCACTGTAACTACTGCAATTACCCATGTCAAGCATTGGGCTTACGAATACTGTATGGAACCGGGTCTATAGATGATCCGAAGGCTTCGGAAATACAGTAGACCCGGAATTCGCAAATTTAATTAATGCTGCCTTATAAATAGCAGGAAATAGGGTAATGCAATGCAGAGTTATTGATATCTCCAATTGGACGAATACAGCACAGCTCGTGACATAAAGGCACAAGTATATAAGACATATGTTCTAGGTATTTTACTAAGATTTAGAGGCAGCCTTAAGTATAAAATATAAGCAATTGACTCTCCTGTCTCTTTAGTGCATTTTCATAAGTGATAATAGTCTTTCACACGCTACCCTATATTCCGTTCTTATTGTTAAGATGTCTATGCGAAAGTAAGACATTTATACTACGTTCCGGGCTCGGAAAAGGTAGAATAAAATCACCGCCTTTCTTAGGCTTAATGTAGCAATCTAGAACTATATAGCATATAAGTAGCGCATAATGATAGACTAGTCAAGGCACGTACTATTACAATTTACGTCTATAGGTTAGTTTTTATATAGGCAAGGATTATTGAGCCTAATAAAATAAGAATTAACCCTATTAAACTAATAGATGCCTATAAGGCTCGTTAATGCCTAGCAGTTTTAAGGTCCGGACTTCGCTAAAACAATATAGAAGTACTTGTTTGCATATGCCATAGCTTTACGCAAATAATCTAGGCTCGAATAATTAGGCATAGACGAATCTAAGAGTAGCGAAGCTAATAATTATATATAAAGAAGATAAAGCACAATAGTGCTCCTACATCTTTGGTTAATTAAGCACGCACGGTAGCTAAGGGATTATCTGTCGAATCGCACCGGAAAATATGAGGAAAGTGAGAATAGTAATTGCTTCTATCAATAATAACGCAGATATTATATATACCCGTCTTCCTCCTGAATAAATTTGGTCACGGTAATCTGCCAACTGGCCCAAGCCAAATCCGTAAACGGAACCCGCCCCTACCAACCACGGAACCCCCCTGCCCGCTCTCCTGCTTACTCAAAGAATCATTCACCAACCCCGAAACCCGGTTAATCTCCTTCACATAGCGCTCACCGCACTGGGCACCCGCTCGGGATGGAACTTCTTAAACCAGCACGCCTGGCCATAGTACGAACCTTAGCCGGAAGCCTAGAAGAAAAGCCACTGACGCGCCAGCCGGGCTTCCTTAGAGCTGGGCTCGAAGCTGATTCTGCGAGAGGTATCATACCGATCCACCAGATATTCGATGATAGCGCCGGATTCCTAGAGCGTGAGGTCGGTGTTTAGGTCGTAGATAGCGGGGAGTCGACCGTTAGGGTTGATGGCGAGGTACTCTAGGGGTTTCACATCCGCGAGTGTTATGGGTTGAAACTCATGAGGAAGGTCCAGTTATTCGAGGACGATGGCTACTCTAGGAGGGTTGGGACCATCCCTAGAGTTTTATTGGGATGATGTTGGATGCGATTGTTGGATATTTAGTTCTCGAATTATTCGTGATGACCGGATCGAGTTGGATTAGATTAAAGTGGACCTTTAAAATAGATTTAAGAGAGAGGGTGTGCTATACTTCAAAAATTCACCATAAGAGTTCCTATCACTTATTTATGACATATGCAAAAGTGACGTGATATTACTGCAGTACTATTACAAAGCATTAATAATGTAGTTGGAAAGGAGTGTCGGTCTTTGATGAGTCCTATCGTGAGACCGAGACAGGGATGTGTTTCTTCGTTTGATACGCAAGCACGGGCTGGTCATGACGCAAAACTTTCTGGGATGTAGAGATCAAAGAAGATAGATCCAGAAGATCTCCAAAACTAAACTAGCCCCGTCGATGGCAAGTACGGATGCGAAAAAGGCAAATAATGCCTGGCAAACCCCATCGCAATACACATAGGGCCCTCGCGGGGAAATTTAGCGAGTCCATTGACTGGCAGCACCCCTACGTTCCGCATATCCGACTTCAGCATATTTTCGCACTGTCTCTTCATCTCGCCCTAGTGAGGGCATTGGCAGCTTCATCAATGGAAGCACGACCTTTCCTGGCTACTTGCAGGCTTCTTGTCTTGATGGTCTTCGTCAGATATGCTCATGCTGCTCTGTGGAAGGGAAAGGGCGGGAAAGAAGAAAAATGAAGGGTTCACGATTGAGAGAAAAGGGAAGTTGTTGTGATTGGGACAGCGGTAATGTGAGTGCACGACAAACAAAGTACATTAGAACTTCCCGGTAATATCGAGTTCCATACTATCTGGTGTATATATACAACTACGTATAATAGATAGTGAAATCTTGACTGGAAGTACTGATATCTTTATCATCCGACAAAGGTAGGAAATTAAAGACTAGTCAAACGAAAGAAAAACTTTCGAGAAATCTATTCAAGCTTCTAAATATAGTCAGTCTACATTTTCTTGAGAGATTACTCATTGGGCCAACAGTCCACTGGTTATTGAATTGAAGCCGGCAAGCTGGCGGACAACACGCACCGAATCTCTTTGTTATTAATCTCATCCTCATCGTCATCATAGCACACCACAGAGACTAGCGTATCACCATGTTCAAACTTACAACGGTAATGCAGGAACTTGACACTTCTTCAAACCACCTCACCAAGTTTCCGGATGAGAGAAAAATGTCCTTATAACGTCCTATATAAGCAATTCGAGATCAGACCACCATAAACAAAACTCCCTGAACTGGAAAGAACAATGCTAATATTTCCCATTCATATATCGAGCAAGGAAGACAAACCCGGGAATAAATGCTTCTGGCTTAGTGGCGGTTACAGATACTGCTTTGGACCGGCTGAACTTCGGCAATTCCCCACGTTTCTCCGCACAAGGCTGGGGTGGCTACAATTACGGTTTCTGGCTTTCTCCAGAGCAACGTGTCCGGAATCAAGGAAATAAGTAGTTGCTCATGCCCAACTATCTTATCCTTATCTTTCTTGTTCCAAATCAACCACCATAGCTATGGCATCTCCGCACCAACTGCAGTGCTTCCCATCCAAACCACGCGTGTTCATCCTCAGCGACATCTCAAATGAACCAGATGATGCAGAGTCACTTGTGCGCTACCTGCTGTACTCAAACCAGTTCCGCACCGAGGGCCTGGTAGCCTGTACATCGACGTGGATGAAGACAAAAGTCTGTCCACAGGACATGCACAAGATCATAGACGGCTATGAGAAAGTCGTGAACAACCTCAATTCCCACGCCCACCCGGATGATCCATATCCAACAGCTAAATACCTAAGATCACTAATTAAAAAGGGCGCAGAGGTACCACAACCTCGCAACACCCTCCCAAACAACCGATCCCTCTAACCCCCATTCACAGACATACGGCATGACCGCCGTAGGCGACGATATCCCCCTAAGCGAAGGCGCCGAAGCCCTCCTAGAACGTATAACATCTCAAGACAAAGAAAACAACCCCCTCTGGATCCTCTGCTGGGGCGGCACAAACGTGCTAGCCTCAGCCCTGCACAAACTAAACAAAACACACACCCAAACACACGCAGCGAAGCTCCGCTCAAACCTGCGCATCTATGCAATCTCCGACCAAGACGATACAGGCCTCTGGATCAGAACTACCTACCCAGACCTATTCTACATCTGTTCCGTGCACGGCTGGAACCAATACGGGAACGCAACCTGGACGGGCATCTCCGGTGACGGCTGGTACGGCTTTGACAAGGGCGGACCTGACCCGACGAAGATTAGTAGTCAGTGGATTCGAGAGAATATCCAGATTGGACCGTTTGGTCGTACGTATCCTGATTTCATGTTTATTCCTGAGGGGGATACGCCTACCTTTCTATATCTTATTCAGAATGGGCTTGGGGTGGCCGAACGGCCGGAGTTTGGGTCTTGGGGTGGGAGGTATGTTGCCACGCATGGTGGTGCGTCTGGGTCTGGGTCTGGGGTGAATGGGCACTTTAGTGATACGGCCGATGAGGTTGTTGGACTTGATGGGCGGAGCTATAAGTCCAATCATGCAACTATCTGGCGCTGGCGGGAAGCGTTCCAGGTTGATTTTGCGGCGCGGATGCAGTGGTCACTTTCTTCGGATCTGGGCAGGGCGAATCATCATCCTGTGGCAATTGTTAATGGGACTACTGGTCCTGCACCGTTGGAACTCGAGATTGGGGCTGGGGAGGTGTTCCGGCTTGATGCTTCTGCTTCTTACGATCCTGACCCTGATGATTCGCTTACCTTTAAGTGGTATCAGTATAAGGAGCCGAGCGCGACTCAGTGGGCTGTGCAGTATGAGGTTGGGGAATTGGGAATCAAGGCTTTGAACGAGACTGCCAGCGTTATTGAGGTTCAGATGCCTCCGGCTGATAAGTGTTGTGTGGAGCTTATTAGTCGTCAGGCGATTGCCAAGGGGCAGTTGCTTCATCTTATTTTGGAGGTGAAGGATGATGGAGTTCCTGCTTTGACTACCTATCGGCGTGTTGTCATTCAGGCTTCGAATACGAAGCTGTTAGGGGGTGGTGGTGGTGCTGAGGCTATTGGTGATACTATGAAAGATGTGATGCAATGAGTGTCAGTGGATATCATATTGCTCGTTCGTGTTACATACTCAAAGATAGCACGAAATTGAATGGCCCATAAGCAATCAGAAAAATCGGAAATTATTGTGTATGTTGCCGGATTCTCATTTCATCAATCATTCAAGTGTATCGTCAAAAACAAGGTGGGAGTTATATACAGAATCTCCCAGCGTATATGGAGAGTGTCAAAATAAACCCTAAAATAAACATAAATATCCAAAACGATCTCAGGCCATGTACCGATGCTTTCCAGGGCACACATCCATGCAAATTATATATAGGCTAAAAGAGCAAACCAAAGAAAGAATCACTCAATTAACGAGCGCATAAGATAACTCGTCAAAGGAGCGTCAAGAATCTCCTGACGAAGATCCGCCTCCCAAAGAGCCATGCAAGGCTCCCGCACTTGCAATGTCAAGCACGAGAACAAAAAGTCACTGACCCGATACCAAGTCTCAGCACGAAGTCTTTTGGCAATTTTCAACATACGACCAGCATACCACGGACGCGCAGAAGGTGAAGTAGCCGTGGGTCCGTATTGCGAGAAATCAGGCAGATCTTCAACCGTAGCAGCAGCAGTAAACTCATCAGTGATGTAGCCGTCGTTGCATTCCAACAGTATCTGGAGAATTGCTTCGACAGAGCCGCTCATTCCAACTTCGCTGTCGATCATTGCTGTCTCGAGAGTGTTGAGGAAAATGCTCGCGCGGACGGGTGTATACCTGTAGTCCCAAAGGGCAGCGTTGAGTATTATTAAAGCTGTAATGCGAGAGACCATTTGTTTTCTGTCACCGGATGTGGTGAAGCGTGCTCCTGGGGGTGCGGTGAGGACTTGGTGGAGGATGGATGGTTCTTGGACGGCGGTTTGGCGGGTTAAGTGAGAGGATTCGGGGTTGTCACGCTGGTACAGGGAGAGTTGTTCACAACGACGAAGGAGATCAAGGAACTCTTCGCATTGGAGCTTGATTTCATCCACTGGCGTTGTCGTTGAGGGTGGTGGGAATGCTGGTTGGGTTTTTGCTTCCGGGCTGGGTGAGAGGTCTACGACCGAGGAGGTGGAATATGGTGGTGATGGCATTGAGTGGAGATTCTGGGTGGATTGGTGTGGTGGTTCGGAGGTGATGGGACCTGGTTTCTCATACTCATAGAAGAAACTTGGCCCATGGGTTTCATACCCGGACAGGATATAATCTTGCCAATTGATGAGCTTGCCCAGACGGGTGCACGCGAATGCAGCAGGACCGCCACGGGCCCGGATCATCTCGCGTGCGGCGCGCATGTGCACCCAGCTGATTTTCTTGTGACCTGGTCTTGGGTCGAAGTCTTCTAGGGCTGCCGCGCTGAGACATGAGATGATCGCGACATCGGAGATATCACGAGGGTTGTTGGCGAGGTGTTCACGAAGCATAGTAACAGCACGATCTCGATGCAAAAGAGTGTCTGCTGTTTCGCTCTCGCTACGCACCCAAGCCCATGTGTTGGCCGCATGGACCATGATGGTATTTTGGAAAGCGACGGCACCTTTCATTCCCTCCGGTACAAAAACAGCAGTATACCAGTTGTGGGCCTTGGCCGAGCGGAAATGGGAGCCGTAAGAGCACGCGGGCATGGTATTCACGTAGAAATCAAATAATCTCTGTTCATCTAGATCCAATTCCAGGGGAAGGGTGTTAAATGGGTCTGTCCGGGCTGCACTCATGATGGTTTTGGGTGAATGCGTGAGATCATATGTCGTAGTCGGTGCCGATGACCGAGAGGGGAAGCTATTGAATTCCAGAGTATGGCTTCGAGCGCTTTGCGGGGATATGTCGACAAATTCATGTGGCGGGATGAAAACAGGACGAGATTCGGTTGGAGGTGGTCGGAAAGGCAAGAATGAGAATACTTCGTCATCTTGGATGAAAAGAGGATTTGACGTGACGTGCTGAACAAATGTATCTCGGCTGATTTCCTCAATGTCTTGGTCCTCTGTCGGTTGAGGCGGCTCATCCTGCTTGGCTGGATTTTTCCCTTTAGTCTCATTGCTGTATACTCTCGATTTGTTTCCAGTATTTCGCTTTGAAGCCCGAGACTTCTTAGGCCGCCCGCGTTTTGGATGTGGTGTCTCGTCTTCGCTTTCACTCTGGCGACTGCCGCCTTTCTTCTGGCGCATATACTCTTGCATCACATGGCGCTTGACTTGTGTCAAATTGGTCCGACTATTGTTGGACGAGTCGATGAATTGCCACCGCATGTTGCTTGTGTCCTGGTTGCTAGAGCTGGGTTGATCGGATGGATTTGACATATTTCTAGACAGACAGATGTAGGAACATGCAGAAAAGAAGGCAGCTGGGATAGATTGATAAAACGGGTGGATCGGCGAACCGAGCGCAATGCCCGTACATAAAAAGGCGGAGACACGTAGAATTAAAGTCTCGGAGCGTGGAAACGGAAGAATATAGGCCGGAAGGTCAGAAATGTGAGACAAAAGATCCACGGGCAGGGGGTCCCAGTGATTAGGCTACTTTTGCCGAACTAAACAAGTCCGGAATAGTGGCCTATTCATGCACGTGTGGACCGAGGGGGCCGAATCAGACGGACCGGCTCGAGCCATGGAAGTCTCAATAGCGTGGAAATAAACACACTTAGCATCGATTGTGTCCCAATATCCCAATGTCTGATCAGATCAGGTCAGGTCAAAGATATGTCGAATTTCGACTCTCGCACTCGCCCCAAATCGGGCTAGATTCGATGCAGTCCCCATTTTAGAGAGGCTCCACTGAAGTGCGTTGATGTGCCGGAAATTCAAGATGCATGGGAACCGCACAGGAGTTGGGAACAGGTCAAATATCTGTCCTTGGCAAGCTGGCTGTGTTTTTTGAACGTTTCATTTGGCGAATACAACTGTTTGCTAGTGGAAGACGAACGAGAGCTTAGCTGTATAGGGCCTTGGGCGGATTCCGCTAGTGTGGTTTGGGTCTTGGCATTGATCAGCTCTGGAATGCCTCAGCCCTGAGATGCGCCGCAGTTGATGCAAGGGTGAGTTGTGCTGTGTCATTAGATTGCTGAGGCTTAGTGAGCTGCAGGAGCACATGTAGAAGTGCTATTCTTATCCCGGACAACTTGATAAGCGTCGTCTATTCTGCCTAATCCGGACCGCTAAGATAGGTTAATTGCGCTAGAGCTAGAAATGATTGAGCCGTAAGCGCACAATCTTTTCAAGTTCATATTACTTGCATAATATTAGAATGTATTAGTGCATCCCTGATGAGAAATCACTGTTTCAGAGCAATATACTTCAGTTGTACAGCATCAAGTTGCGGAGTCTCCGCCCCCACTGAATCTTACTTTTGTCTCCACCACGACATACCATGCTGGGCTTAGTCTTGGCTGATCACCAGCTTACATGGCCCTGGCAGACATCCTAAATCCTTCGGATTAACCGTTTTCCGTATTGTACATGTATACCCTGGTCACGATTGTCGACCAGTGTTAATATTTGGCAGGGGGGTTCATGCGAGAGTGCCCTGATATTACTGTACTCTAAGATGCAACGCCACTCGGTAAACTTGTCTCACTTCTGTATGGTATCAATATAGAGTTTCCGGCAGTGTCCACAGTGACAGCCCTGAATCTTCAGGCGTCGTCCCGAAGGTAGGGCCCCCTGTAGATCCGCGCGGAAGACAGTCCCAGCTTTGCGGTAGTCAGGGCCTGATTATGATCCTGCCCCGTGTGATGGATCCGGTTGAAGGTCACTCAGTGATCGTCAACGGCTACAGGAGTGTTAATGTAATTTGTCCAATATAGCCCCAAGCCCCCAAAGTCCCCTGTGGCTGGTGCTTCGCTCGCATTCCGTCGGGCCACAGATAGAGCCAGGACCATGCACACCGACGATGAAACAAGGTTTCATTGTACAAGGATTGATGCATATGCTTTTTTGGGGAAACGATGTCCCTGGTTTGACTGGTGTCAGGGGGAGCAGCCCGTTAACACCACTCAAGCCGTCAGCATACCCAGAATAGAAAGCTGAACAAGGACCTGCATGCTTATATGCTGACTCCGCCATATATCATCCCATCCAATGCGTATATTGCTTATGCGGCCAAAAACTGGAGGCGATCGCGGAGCGGGAAGGGGTCCAAAGCGCGACTCGGAATTATGGATGACTCCGGGGCCGCCGTGAGACATGAACACCGGATGGCTCATGCGCAGGGAAGCTAGCAATGTATCCCAGGGGTGCCAATTACGATGGTCCTGGTGTCCCAATCTCGAGAGTTGACGTCACGCCACGGGAGGGTTGTGGAAAGGAAGTTCGTGGCCGACTTTCTGATAATCGTGGGATCTGTTAGTTGTCCAGGTACACGTTGTCAACTGTGGTCAGTAAACAATGGAGTGACCCGAGTAATGAAACAGTTAGTAACAGTACTGCTGGTAGAGATTCTTTTTGCTTTTAGCACCGAAAATGGCCTCAAAGTGAAGAAAAGAGGCAACAGTAGACACACGAGACTCTACTAGAGAATGTTTTTTTTTATTTCGGCGGTCAGATAAACATAGCTTGGGGATATCAAATGGCACATTGCCATCAATCGATGCATTAACCCTCAGAGCATTGGTGATTGTATAGATGGCCGAGATGGGGAGTCGCTGTCGCGTGTCTGGCGTGGATGTTCTCACCGCCTTCGCTTTTCAGTCCCTGAGCTCCGCAACTCCGATAATGTTCAACCAGGGCTTAAATCACAGGCCACACATCTAAGCTTAGTGCAAGGGTTCTGCATATTCAATAGGCGTTTTCCAGGTCTTGCCATTCGATATCCACCAAGATCACAACCCGACGACGACATTGGAGCAGACTGATCTCTCCGATCGACAGTGGGATCGCGCCAACTCAGAATTCAACAATCAACACACGTCCTCCGAACCAATTTCTAACCGATAACCTCAGATCGCGTGGTCTGCGCAATCTCTAAACAAACCGCGAGGCTTCAAACCCCGATGCAATCCCCATAATGCCGCCGGCATTCTCAGCGGAACTTGTATCGGTTTAGCTTTCAGCCCGCGCGCCCTTTCCTCCCAACGACCCGAACGTTCGCAGGTCTCCGCAAGACTCACCTTTACAGCGTCGATTAGGTCTTCTTTTCTAAAACGGCGCAATTCTCTTTCTGACCTCCACTCACGAAATCCAACATGGCGGATATGAAGGCAGCCGGCGCAAACCACATGAACGGGTCCGCGACGCCCATACAAACGCCAAATCCCTACGAAACCAATCCTGATCGCATCCCTAGTGACGACCCATTTCTCACTCAGAGCGCGCAATATGGTCGCTATGCACCGAGCAATGACGATTTCATTCCTCGCTTCATGCAGTGGTATCAGCCCGACCCGGAAGTGAACGCGTTTTGGGAGGGTGTTGCACAGAGATATTGTACCCCGGATCATTCGCTTCACATATCGGGGCCGAGGGAGGCGTTTGCTGCTGGGAGTATAATCATTTGGGTTGACCGTCAGCTGGCAGATGGTGCCCTAGCGGAGAGATACACCTGCACCAATGAGAATGAATTATCTGCGGCGCGGAAGGCAGAGGACTCGCTAAGAGAGATCGGTGTTTCAGTGCCAGTGATATATTTCTGCGGCAAGATCGAGGAGAGAAATGTCACAATCGAGTCTCGGATTCCGGGTGTTTCGCTGGACGTTGCATGGAGGTATCTTGACACGAGCCAGATTGACGCCCTGAAGAATCAGTGTCGTCAGATCCTACAGGTCCTCGGTACAATTGACCCGCCCTTGAACGAACCATCTTACGTATCCTCCGCACTCAACTCACAAACACCGCCCTCCGTCGGACCTCGCGAACGAGATATCCTATTCACAGATAAAGGCAATGATGAGGAACTACGTTTAACACACAACGATTTAATCAAGAGCAACATTGTTGTTCGGGACGATCGAATCGTGGGAATTGCTGGTTGGCGACAATGCGGGTATTTTGGCAATATCAGAGCCAACAAGGTCCATCGACTCTTCAGGGATGTGCCTCACAACAGCAGCGACAGTTCTAAGAAGTCAGACACCTGGGCTGACCTCTATGATGGTGCTTATGACCCCGCCAAAGGTGCTCCGCTAGTCGCGAACCAAGATACAGCTTTGCCTTCAGTTAAAACTGAACCAACAAGCTCCAGTTTGGACAGATTCCCCGTCAATGATGACTTCGATACCAAGTCAGTCGGCTTCGATGGAACAGATGACTACCCGACTTCAAAGAAAGTCGCTGATCTAAAGCACGGGCTGACGTCGAGGGCATCCTCGTCTGACCGATCATCACCAGCAAACTCGGTGAAGCCATCAAACAAAAAGCCCGCGGGCAACACCACCAAGAAAGGAACTGCCAAAAAGCCTGCGCCGAAAAAGCGCAAGGTGAACGACGCAGACGCAGACAGCGTCGATGGGCGCCGTTCCAATACGCCAGTCTCCCGGACCAGCAAGACTCCCGGAAAGAAACAAGGATCTGTTTCGATAGCAGGATCACCAGCACCCGAAGAGAAGAAAAAGCCCAGAAAGAAAGGACCCAAAGCAGCCGCCGAGGATGATGATGACGACTTTGACGAAAATGCAGTCTTTTGTATTTGCCGCCGACCTGACAACCATACCTGGATGATTGGCTGCGACGGCGACTGTGATGATTGGTACCATGGCAAATGTGTCAACATGCACCCCCGAGACGCAGATCTGATCGATCGGTATATCTGTAAGTCTTCATTCACACCGAGTATTGCATCGCAAAAACTGATACAGAAAACAGGTCCGAAATGTGCAAGTGAAGGCAAGGGATACACAACCTGGAAACCAATGTGCCGTCTTGTCGAGTGCCGTAAGCCCGCTCGCGTCACGCGCAATAACCCGAGCAAATACTGCTGTGATGACCATGGCCGAGAATTCATGCGCCAGCAAACCCGACAGCTCAAGACCAAGGCCGATCAGACAAAAGGCCTCTTCGAAGACCTGGGTAGCATGGGTGGTATCCTCACAGCCGGCGACCTGAAAGCCGCCATCATGGGCGTAGCATCCACACAAGAATTCCGAACACTCGGAGACCGAATCGTCTCCCCTCCACCAGATGCCGACAAAAAAGAATCCAGCCCGACTGATACTAATCCTACGTCCCACTCGAAAAGTGGCAAATGGTTAAGCGTCGACGTTTACGCCGAAGGCACAGAATATTCACCAGACGAAATTGCCAAGATCGAAAAACTCCGTAAACAACATGAACGACTAATCCACCGCAAAGAAATGCTCACCGCACGTTCAACATTCGTATCCCTCCTCCGCCCCCGAGCCAAAGGCATCGTCGAAAAATTAAAACAGCACGAGCCAAAAGGCGGCTGGAAAGACATCTGTGGCTTCGACTCAAGACTGTCCTGGTCAGACGAGGAATTCGACGAATGGCGACTCTCAGAATCTGGACAGAAAGCTCTGGCAGAGGGTACAGTCGAAACCTTGGCTGCGAGCTACCGTTCCACCACCGATGCAGATGGCGATACAGCCATGGACGGCGAAACCGAAGACAGCATTACAGTCTTGACGCAGGGCGTCTGCACGAAGAAGCGGTGCGAGAGACATAAACAGTGGATGAAGGTTCAGCAGCAGGATATCCTCTTCGAAGAGGAGACTGCCGCACAGGATCTTGCTAAGTGTGAGGAAGAGGCGAAATCTGTTGTTGAGAGGGGTGTTATGCGGAAATGGGCTGAGAGGGATAACACCCTCTGAGATCGTAACCTTTTATTTCCGGGGTCATCTTTGCCTTGTCTTTAGCAACAAAAGATTAATTCCGCTTTACTACTGCAGGGGAAGTTTACTAAAAGGTTCATGGATTGGAGCTGGAGTTTGTATCTTTGTGGGTTATCATATATCAGAGCTGGTCTTGGTAGCAGCGAGTGCATATCGCTTTTTCTGGGACCAAATGCATGTTAAGCGGCGCTTTACGAACGGTGGTCTGTCATGTCTTAGGATACTCCTTTGTAAGATTACGGATAATTGCATCAATTGCACCGAGATACATCAAGCTAAGCTTGTCCTTTTCTTATAGCGGACGGTCTTAAAGGCTTATGACTAGTAAACGATCTCTCGGTGCTCCTTCCATATCCCCCATTTCCCAAGACTAGTCCCAAGTCTATCCTTGATTATCTCAACCACCTGTACCCGTCGCACGTCAGAGACTAGGAAATGTATATCGGTGCCTTGGTCCAACGTTTTCATGAGCATATTGGGAAATAGGCGAATCTCAGAATGGAATACCGAATGAATAGCATAGTCAAGAGGCTTCGCGCTATCATCGCCGCGCGAATTCATATTTCCCGTTGAAGGAGAATTGCCGCCCCAATCCGGATTGAACGGTCCCAATCCACTCATATTGACGAGAATGATTGAGAGATATGAGGCATGCAGACGAGAAAACGTCGTCAAAGAGCGCAGCGCAGCAGTCAGCATGGCTACTCCTTTACCCGGGTTCGAAGCGCGGATAATCCCCTCAACGAGGTAATCAAGACCAACAACTATCATCATGATAGGCTCATGGCTGGATGGATCGCTTTCTGCTTTGCTCCGCGCTTCTTCGCGCTTTTGTTCGAGCTCGTCTATCACGTCTGAATACTGTCTGATGGCTTGTGCGGCTTCGTGAAAGTCTGAGACGGCTAGTAACTGGACCGTGTCCATTTTTTTGATTGCTTCTTCGCTGGAGAGTCCTGGGTGGTCGTTTGATGCTGCTGTTAAGTCATCGAAGAGATTCTGTGCGTCGAAGGCGTCGAAGTTGCCTGGGTAAATTATGAATGTGCTTGGTTCTGTGCACTGGGTTATGCGCCGTAGATGGTTTGTGAGAAGATACCGGGGGACCTATGGCTAGTTAGTTTCATCGGACGTTCAAAGTTCGGCATGGAGTTGACTTACCTCTCCGATATATTCGTCGGTTTCGTCGCTTCTCCCTCGCAGGCGGGAGAATCCGAGAACTGTACCGCATCGAAAGACACCCTTGCTGTCGGTTTGGATACCCTTCTCCCAATCATCTTTTAGGTTCCAGTTGCTATTTGCAGCAGGGATATTGGATTGGGGAGCTGGTTCTTTGGTACTCAATTCTGACTGGCGGAGCAGGGAATCGGCAAGGACTGGTAATGCAGGCTCCGCTGAATAGACGCTCGTGGCAGAGGCCATAGCTATAAGTTGGCAAGGCCGTGTCGAATTTCCATCTGTCGTGATATTAAGTGGATCTACTCGTAGGAGCGACTGGTGATGGTAGGGAAGAAATGAAGTGCGGGAGGACGAGACCCACCGCTTCTTGGCTCAATGTATACAACTTGATACCTTCTTTCAATATCACATAGAACAACAAATACTGTAATATAAGATTAGATTAAATCGCTCAATTTCACTATTTTCAAATTATTGAATATAGGTATCACAATCCAATCAAGAAACTGCAAATATAGCAACGCTAATTGCGCTTCCAAATTCCACGGCCATCGTGCACCCAGGCCGCATCACCAATGACATCGTTCAAATTTGCAAGTAGATCATCTCGAACAGCCTCCACATGTAGGTCACCAGATCTGAACTCCTTCAAGCTATCCATTTGACTGACTGTAAACCCAATCAAAGAGTATGAAGTCGCAAGCTCCATCCACGGATCATTAGCATCCATAGAGCCTCTTTGTTCAATCTCAGTGACATGATTATTCCTATCAGGTGCCAACTGTACATCAAGACGCCGAAGAGATCCCATTCTCAAGACAGCATCGAGTACGATTTGCACATGATTGTAGAACGGGAAGACGGCGGTGTAAGAGAAGGTGCTCAGACCGTGTAATAGCAGGGGTAAGTCCCTTGGTCGTTGAAGTGGCATATTGCGGCCTTCACCACGCATCATGCCCCATTCCCTGAGAATGGAGGGAACACAAGAAAGGAAGTACTCGTAGTGGTTGTATGCTTTTAGAGACGATGACTCATTGAAGGTCACTGACGTCCATGGACGAGCTCGTAAAAGACTAGTGCACGAAGCCAAGTCTGGTAACTTGGACGAGCCGTCAAATCTGCACTCCCGTTCCATATACAGGATCTGCAGGGGTATATCGAATGCCCAACTATGGCCATCCATGATCGGGCTGCCTATGGTTTCCCCGATGAAGGTTGGTGGCGCTAATACCATGATATGAGCAGGGTCCAGATAGCAGAGGACTCGACGCCACCAGAAGGGGTCGGCTCGGTGATCTGGGCTGTCTTCTCCAACTGCTATGATTATAGAAGTAATATGTCGCGCGAGACCTGATTTAGTCATGAAGGAGTGAAAGTCGGGCTCATCATGCAGGTTCAGCCGGACATGAGTGAATAGCTGGGGTCGTACGAGCTGGAGGAAGCCTGACGAGCATTGTGCGAGATGCTTGAGGTCTTTTGTCGGAGACTCGGTCAGTTGTAAACTTGGTGCATGATGTAGTCGTTTTGACGATGGTGGCTCGGTGAAGAGATATCCAATGATCTCGTCCCAGAGCTCATTGGGAAGAAGCTCTACGGGGGAGAATGCAGACATGGCTGTGTATCATGCCATATCACATGACACTTATAGACTCGAGACGTTGTCGGGAAAGACGAACAACGTCAAGTGCCGGCTTCCCCACTTGAGTTTGCTGGGGCCTCCACTTGGCCCTTTGTCATCCGTGACTCAGCCTGGGTTTTTCTTCCAGATTCGAACGGTGAGCTCAAAGCAGTTGTACGGAGCGATGGAAAATAAAGCAGATATATAATAAGAGTAGAGTTGCAGAGTCAACGGTCCCAGTGGACTACAAAGAAGCTTGTTCGGGAAACCGCCATGTGGTCCGTGCACTATATCCAAGCCAAGGCCAAGGCATAGAACTAAATATTACTCTGCATATGTCGGCGTGCACTGCAGTCCCCGCATTGGAACATACTTTATACACTGAGCTCCGTATATCGGCATGCTACGGCTCCGTGCAGGGACTGGGCGCAGTGACAAAAGGCCACGAATTTCAGAAAGATCCAAGTGATCGGCGAGATCGGAGTCGACAACATCAAATGGGCCAAGTTTCATACGCGAGCCAGAGTGTGGAGAGCCTCAGGTCTGTGGGGCAACCATATACCGATGAATTGGCAATGGAATCAGTGCCCCTCTCTTTTCTCGGTTTCTTCCCCGAATTATTTCTTCCTTCTCCAGATATTCCCTTGTCTCGGATCCCAAGGTACATTCCATCCTGTTTATACGGTTAACTATCACTTATCACCTCTTCGTAGTTAATCTTCATACTTCATAATGGCTCCTCAACTTCACCAGCGTCCTCCTTTCCGCGCCGAGCACCTCGGGTCGCTCTTGCGCCCTCACGAGCTCTTGGACACCAAGCTCGCTTTTGAAGCCGGCAAGATCCCCGAGTCCCAATTGACTGCCGTCGAGGATAAGGAAGTCAAGGACATCGTCGCAACTCAGAAAAACCTCGGATATGCCGCTATTTCCGACGGCGAGTACCGTCGCCACAGTAAGTAACCCAGAGATTCTCAGCCGAGCATCGCTAACAATCACAGTGTTCTGGGGAACCTTCTTCCCCGGCCTTGACGGCTTCGAGGAGGTGAACAACGTCGATGTTGACGACTTCCGTCCCTATGCCCCCGATATTGCGGCTTTCCTCGAGGCCGGCCACAAGCCCGGTGAGAGTGTCATCTGTACTGGCAAGATCAAGCACGTTGGTAGCACCTACGTCGACCAGTTCAAGTACCTCGCCAGCCAGGTGCCCGCTGAGGAGGTCGGCAACCTGAAGATCACCCTCGCCGCCCCCAATTGGTACCACCTCCGCTACCGCGAGGGCAAGGCCTACCCCAAGTCCGTGTACACCAACGACGAGGACTACTTCGGTGATATCGCCAAGGCCTACCAGGCCGAGCTGAAGATCCTATATGACGCCGGCTGCCGCAACGTGCAGTTCGACGACCCCAACCTGGCTTGTAAGATAAATCCCATGCATCAGACATTAAAGTCCCCAAACTTACCTTCTCCAGACTTCTGCTCCGAGAAGTTCCTGAACGGCTTCAAGGAAGACCCTCTGAACGTGTATACCGCCGACGACATGTTCGAGAAGTATATCAAGCAGTACAACGACTGCTTCGTCAACCTCCCTGCGGACATGCACGTCGGTGTCCACCTGTGTCGCGGCAACTTCGTCGGTAGCCGTCACTTCTCTGAGGGCGGCTACGACCGCATCGCCATCAAGCTCTTCCAGGAGCTGAACGTCCACACCTACTACCTCGAGTACGACACCCCCCGCGCCGGCGGCTTCGAGCCCCTCAAGTTCCTGCCCACCCACAAGAACGTCATCCTGGGTGTTGTCACTTCCAAGTTCGCCACTTTGGAAGACAAGGAGGAGATGAAGACCCGCGTTATTGATGCTGCCAAGTTCATCGCTGAGGGTAACAACATCTCTCTCAATGCTGCCCTTAACCAGGTTGGTGTTAGTCCTCAGTGTGGATTTGCTTCGCACCGTGAGGGCAATGCTATTGACTGGGATGGTATGATTAACAAGCTTAAGTTGGTTCGGGACATCGCCAATGATATCTGGCCTAACCAGGCTTAAGCCTGTGCCAGCGTAATGACCTACCACTTTCCTTTGTATATCCCTTTTCTTCCTTTTTTTTTCCCATGGCTGAAGGGTCTGGTATTCTCTCGGTCACTTTTCAACATATGTGACCGGATCGGGACCTTTTAGTTGCACAGCGTGTTTTTCTTGGGAGGTCTGGACGAAGACTATGATATATCTTTTCGAATGCCCACTTAACGTTTTTATTCCGGGATAGAGTCAACGAGCGCCATTTGAATTGAATCTGACTGAACTTTTAATATGATGGTGCTTTGATAGGGTGTGAGATGGACCCTAATTGTGCAGAAAAGAAGAGGTTGATGCACGATAATAAGTGGAAAGCCAGTCAGATAGAGAGGGGCAAGGCGACTTTCATCCTTTGGAGTGCATCACAAGGTCCCCATGACACGAATGACACTATGTGCCGGTCCAACTTATGGCTTAACATGACAGGAGACTACTTTTGTATTTCTCTACGGAGAGTGTTGTCGACGCAGCTTATATTCTTGACATTGATGAGATTGGATGAGACCTAGTTAACTAAATCGTATCCATTGATCTAGACATCAAGAAAATGGTCACATTTCCCCTACTCCGCCGGCCCCTCGATGTTAGACTCCTTAATAGCCGACCTCTTATGAGTATTCATATTCTCAATCTCATAGCGAGGCTCATCGGCGGAAGCAGCAACATTCCGGCCAGTCATGTTGGTATCTCCGGTGCTGACTTCGCGGATGATGCCGACGCTTTGGCTTGTGTTGGAGGCTGCGCCTATTATAGTGTCTATCAGTTTATGGATCCCTTTCAGTTGAACAAGAGTGTATATCATACCACCGACAGGTTTGTAGTTGACCTTTTGTCCTTTCTGGTAGCTGGGCATGGTTGGTGACTTGATTTTGATTCGAGCGGTACGGTGAGATGTAGATATTGGATGAAGGATTGCTCCAGGGATCTGGTTGATTGTTGTTTCAACAAGATTCTCAATATTGGGCAAGGATTGTTGGCGATGGCGCTGGCCTGGGGCTCTATTTATGCCATTGTCTTGGTAAGGGAAGGGAATGACTTCCGCTGTCGTCACATTGACATGAGCGTTTTGAGTGTCATCTGGGGCTACTGCCTCTGTTCTCCGAGTGGGTTCGCCATAAGCATAGACCTATGCGATCAAGGTAAGCTCGAGCAGCCCCGAGATTGATCCATGGCATTGGGATCAATCGGGATTTGGTTCCGTAGATACTTCATAGTTAGATCTGATATGACGAGTCTAGATGGTCAAAAGGACGTCATCTCCATTTCTATCAAATTGCGGAACTCTGTTCTCTTCTCGCCAAATCTGCAAATCACTCCCGGTGGTTTAAACAATGGCATCACCCGTGATATGAAGCAAGTTAAGATTAAAGAATTAAATTGGACCCAACAAGCCCATATAAGAACAGAGAGGATATCATAGAAGTGAAGGTAAGGCAATGAAACAGGCAACGAGATAACAAAGGCCACAAAAGAAACATCAAGAAAATAAAAGCCCAAATGCTACGTCGTCTTGTCATCAAACACGGACATGAAGAGGAAATGCGAGATGTTGTACAACGAAGCTGCTCCAGGAGCGCCTCTCGAGATCACCACGAGCATCTTATTTCTGGGGTTGGGTCTTGACGTTGTTTGAGAGCCAGGCCTGAAGAGATAAGAGTTAGTAGCTATTGCAAGGAAACGAAGCAAGAATATGACTTACCAGACCCTCGAAAATACCTGTGCCATCTGTCGCAACACTAGGCGCAACGTACCACAGCTTGTCCTTGAGCTTAGTCAACTGAAGCTGCTGGGTGACTTCCTCGGGGCTCAAGTCTAGACTTTGTTAGTAAATTGAACATCCAATCACAGGAGCGCGATACGTACGGCCGCCGATATCTTGCTTGTTGGCAAACACGAGAAGCAAAGCATCCTTCATTTCGCGATCATTGATGATCTTGTGCAGCTCCGAGCGAGCTTCCTCCATACGTGCTGTGTCGCTAGAATCAACCACGAAGATCAATCCTTGTGTACCGGAGTAGTAGTGTCTCCAGAGGGGACGGATCTTGTCCTGACCACCGACATCCCAAACATTGAACTTGACATTCTTGTAGGTCACGCTCTCGACGTTGAATCCGACGGTGGGAATAGTAGTCACATCTTGGTTGCTGAGTTTAAGTTTGTAGAGAATAGCTGGGAGGGAACAGGTGTTAGCCAACTTTCGTCCGAGGCTCAATTAAGGCGGGTCCTGGGATCATACTTGTCTTTCCGGCAGCATCTAGACCCAGCATAAGAATACGCATCTCCTTCGTGCCAAAAATCTTCCCCATCATCTTGGATACTTGTCCACCCATGTTGGCGAGGTTGGTCGCGGTGTCGGGGGGATCAGGAGTTGGAGAGAGCGGGATACCAACAATTGGGATCCCAGTAGGTCGGTGGAACAGAGCACTGGCTTCGAGTATAAAAATTAGATTAAGGGACAGCACAGCCGTCGAGTAAAGAATGGAGGAAAAGAAGAAGAGATCCGATCGGCCTCCAATTTCCCTGAGGCGGGGGAAAAGGGGCTTGGCTGACTCAGCCCACGAGGCCCTGGGTGTTTCACCTCGTGGGTTCTACTGTATGCTGTTGATCATGTTGTTACTGTGTTGATCTTTGTTGATTGTTATACGGGAACATGAAGATTTTAACCATGTCATTACCGCAAATGGCTACCTTGGTTATGTCTAGGGCTTCTACGTCACCACATGAAGTCATACTTTCAACCTCGCTATATGCCCTTCTCCCTTAATCATATGCCCTTGTCTCTTAATTATATGCTCTTCTCCCTGAATTACATGCCCTAGGGCTTCTACGTCACCACATGAAATCATACTTCCAACCTCGCTATATGCCCTTCTCCCTTAATTATATGCCCTTGTCCCTTAATTCCTCCGTGTAGCACCATGCCAGGCGATAAGCACAGTTTCGAGCGCCGCGCCTCAGTGACCCAGCAGCGTCGGCTGTCATCGCAGTTTGAGCGCAATGCTTGGCTAGGACCTCCATCAGATGTACGAGTGGTTTGACACTGGAGTCGCAGACGCCGTACTAATCCATGATAGACCATTTACGCGGGTGTCTCCAGCTATTTTTCTCCAAATCATCGCACCTCACTTGTTGCAATTGCAATCCGCGACACTACCTACCTTTTGGACTTTTTCGAGAAAGAGTTCATTAATGGCCAGGCATGTCCGGAAGAAGCAACCGACTTCATCATATCCGAGTTGAAGAACTACTCTAAGAAACACCTGGAGAAGATTGTGGGGCTGGCAATGCCCAGGCATGTCGCAGACCATTGTCCAGTACTCTGCTCGCGCCTCTGGGCGGAGATCGATATCCTTCCATTGGTTCTGCCTGAATCAGCCTTGGTGGATAGGGTAAGTGTCGGTCCGTCAATCGAGGCCCCTAATCCTAGTGAAGCAAGTGCATGGGATCAAAGAACAGTTGATGAGCAAGCCGAATCCATGGGACGCAAGTGCGTCAGGTTGTTTGGACCGGAGAACATTCCCCTGTTACAAGTTGGCTTCCTCGGTCTTGTGGAAGTAGACACGGCTTTTCATGTACGCTTGGCGAACCTGCAAGATTTCAAGAAAACAGTGTCCAGTCGAACGTGGTCAGCAGTGGAACACTACACCGCTGATTTACAAGAACGCAAGGTAAAGATTGCTTTTTTCAGCGCAACGCCGCAGGGTGGAGGCGTGGCTTTGATGCGACATGCTCTCGCGCGATTTTCGCATTATCTAGGCACTGATATCAGATGGTGTGCTATATCTATTCGATGGTCATCCTCAAAATTAAGACAGCACTAATTGGGTGTATAGGTACGTTCCGAAGCCACGACCCGGCGTCTTTCGAGTTACAAAAACAAATCACAACATCCTCCAAGGCGTTTCACGTCCTGGCGAACGACTCACATCAGAGAACAAGGAATTGCTGAAAGGGTGGATCGAGGAGAACGCAAAACGATACTGGTCCCGCCGTGGTGGACCTCTACTCGCGCCGTCCGAAGGCGGTGCAGATGTGATCATCGTCGACGATCCCCAGATGCCCGGACTGATTCCCATTGCTAAAGCAATAGCACCAAATCGCCCAGTCATCTTTCGAAGTCATATCCAAATCCGAAGTGACTTGGTCGCCCAGGCTGGGACTCCCCAGGCGGAAGCGTGGGAGTTTTTATGGAAACATATCAAACTCGCCGATTGCTTTATCAGTCACCCTGTGAGCGCCTTTGTGCCACAGGATGTGCCAACAGAGATTGTGGGATACATGCCCGCGTCAACCGACTGGTGAGGAACAAGTAGCCCGATGACCGATCTCGCTAACGTGGCGTAGGCTGGATGGGCTGAACAAAAACATGCGGGACTGGGATGTGGCGCACTATGGCCGTGTCTTCAATGCAGCTTGCAGGAATGCGGAGATGCCGCCTATCAAATACCCAGAGGGTAAGCAGTTCAGCAATCCACAAGATTGCTCCTCATTGGCCATATCTGCACTGTTGTCTAACACATTCTAGATTCGTACATAGTACAGATCTCACGATTCGATCCATCCAAGGGGATCTTCGATGTACTGGACTCGTATGAAAAGTTCTACCGCAGACTAGTAATGGAGCTGCCAGACATGGTACCCCCAAAACTATTAATCTGTGGCCATGGATCCGTGGACGATCCCGACGGAGCCCTAATCTACGACGAAATAATAGACCACCTTGAGAACAACATCCCTGACATCCGGCATCTTATCTGCGTGATGCGCCTACGGCCATCCGATCAAGTCCTAAACGCCATCTTATCCAAGGCGGTCATCGCCCTGCAGCTATCAACGCGCGAGGGCTTCGAAGTGAAGGTCTCCGAAGCAATCCACAAGGGCAAGCCTGTGATCGCGACTCGTGCCGGCGGTATCCCGCTGCAGGTTGAGGATGGGAAGAATGGCTTCCTAGTTGATGTTGGTGACACTGACACTGTGGCGCGGTATTTGTTCGAGCTGTGGACGGATGAGGTGTTGTATAACCGTATGTCGGAATATGCTAGCCACCATGTCTGCGATGAAGTCAGTACCGTGGGCAATGCACTGAACTGGCTCTATCTTGCGTCAAAACTATCCCGTGGCGAGCCTGTCCGGCCTAAGGAGCGCTGGATCAATGATCTCGCGTTCGAGGAAATCGGTATTCCCTTACCGAAAGACACACCACAGCTAACGCGTGCAGTCGAAGTCGACAAAATGGGCTAGTCGATTTTCCACCTTCAGCTGAGGCGTTACCCTACGTTCATCGTTATGTAAATCGGTTCAGACTTGATATAAATTGATAACTAGACATAGCATCCGAACGTCTTCAACTAAACACAAACGCAACAAAGCAGCAGAGGGGGGTATCACAAAGACCAGTATCCATAGAGCACACCAAAACCCAAAACTTATACAACCCTTAAGGCCTCCCAACAACCCGATATCTCTCCCTCGCCAAACCGCCCTCAGCCCCTTCAACTCCATACCCTTCCCCAACCTCTCCCACAATCCTGGCCGGCCGTCCACCAACAACACACCAACTCGGAACAACCATACCAGGCGGCACAACCGCGCCATCAAGGACATAAGCAAAGTCCTTAATGATAGCCATACTCCCTACACTAGCCCCCTTCCCAACATGAACATGGTTACCCAGTGATGCAGCCTCAACAACAGCACCCTCGCCGACGAAGACATGGTCGCCGATCTTGAGCGGGTAGAATGAGTGCGTGCCACGGTGGAGGCGGCTTGGTGGGCGTAGGATCGCACTCTTGGATATGTAGCTGTATCGACCGACTGTTATCGCGACACTGGGTGCATTGGATGGTGGCGGGGGTGTGCTTGGGTTCTTCGGATCCTGGGCTGCGACGCTTGAGGCGGTGCGGAAGAGGTCGCCGCGGATGACGGCTTCGGCTTGGATTACTGTTTTTCCGCCTAGGATAATGTGCTGTGTGCCGTGGATTTGGGAGCGGCGGGAGATTTTGTTGCCTGTATCCTGTTGTTGTGGTTAGATTAGATTGTTTCGGGTGAGGAGTATTGGAGAGGTTTGACATACTGTTTCGATGTATTCACCCTTGGCAGCCTTTGGTGGAGGCATCTTGAAGAAATTTGGGTGTTTTTCGCAGGACAAGCTGCAATTACGGAGTTGATGTCAGGCTGCATAGCTTGACCCCAGGATAGCACTTGCGGCAGTAATAGTCCGCAAGGCGGTGAATAACTATAAAGCTTCGAATTGTAAACGAATTGAGTTTCTAAGTTGTTATAGTCCCTGCTCTCTAAAAAAGCCTATTATTGTATAGTATTCATGCAATGTTCAAAATTTGTAGGATGGCTTTAAGAACCATATCCACACTGTCTCGGTTGTCATTACGACCATGAACATATATGTTGCTCCGGTATAGGTAACTTAGCATGTAATCCCTACTAATATAATTCCCACGAAGTGGTTCTACTTTCTACGCAAATCACAAAGACTCGATAAAATTAATATACAAGTATGATATCTTTTGATTATTGAGGTATGGTAGAAAGAGTGATCCTGATTGCACATGCTACCGAGTATAGCCGGCAACCGCTCTATAATGTATACCTGAATACGAAGTCTGCATTTCACAAAAGCCTTGACATCCGTAAGATATGCTCAAATGTTGAGCTTTGGGGATTTATTGGTTCCCGCGTAGATCTCTGCCTGGCATCTGATGTACGCCTTCAGCTGAGGCTTTTGGTTCCCATGAACCTTCTCGTAAACTCGTATTTATTTAGCCCGGGTAACCCCTCTCGTTTCTGTTCTTATGGCCGGGTCTCTACTTGAACTGTTGTCATGAAACCACAAAATTACGGCCATGAAATCACCATCCATTTCACCTGTCTCGCAAGATGATACCGCCAACAAAAAGCCCCCAGTCCGAAGAGCTTAGACAAATCAAAGAAGCTTTAAATGCAATACGAATGCAGATTGACCATCACATAGAACTTCAAAGAGCCGCAACAGCTATCACCCAACAACCCCAGCCACAATGGTTCCCTCAAAGCCAAGATTGGGACCAAAGAAGCTTCGAAAAATGGCTACGCTCACTGATACCAATACAAACAAAGCTGGAACGCATACGACTCAAGTTCTTCGCAAGTCTGAGCAATTCAACCACAAACCTCCGCGCCAGTATCGGGGTTCAACCTGACGATTTCCCTATAAGGACGTTAGTATCGACTAGACAAAATGCCGCGCCTATGATCGTTAGTCAAAATCCCTTGGTTTTGTTACCATGGGGTACTCAGCCTCTCGATTGTAGACTGAAGCCATTGTTCGATGCGTGGCCTAAGCATTTGGCTTGGTATCCCGCTTTCCGTGACCCCGTTCTTTCTGCCAGAGCTTTACAGAAGCAGTTCTCTCATATTGATTGTCCTGAAGAAGATTTGTATTGGGTTTTTGCTAGGGGTGAGAAGGATATGTTTGTTCAGATATGTCGGATGGAGTACGATGATGAGGGATGTCCTGGCTTTATTTCTGAGTCTTGTTTGCAGGAATCTCGATTACCGGTAGGTCACTCCCCTCCTTTCAGTGGAAGACCTGTCACTGATTCTGGTTGCTAGAATATCCCCGAAGGCTCTTTAGTCCTATGGGAACCTAGCCCAGTACGCAAGAAGAACACAAGAAGACATTCAACCGATAAACCCTGGATTGGCCTTGGATGTGGCACGATAATGTAAAATCACCACCACCAGAACAATGTTCCAATACAAATACTAACCACCAACCAGCGATATAAACCTCCAAGACGCAGCCGTCCTCCCAATGCACCTAATAGCATTCATTCTCTGGCGCCTCCGCCACGCAGAAGACACAGGCTACCCATCCTACCGTGAACAAAGCTTTGCTCTTGAATACCTACTATCATTCGCCTCAAGATGGGGCGCAATCCAACACCCCTTCGGCTCATTCAGTCAAAACATCTCAATCTACTTCAACATCCGCTGGATGGATATCAGCAAATCGCCCCGCGAGTACAACGACACCGACTTGGGTCTCCAGATAAAGCGCGAATCGGGCGATATCCCGCATATCAACCGGAAGGTTCCTATGGATCTGCATCTTCTCGAGGTCCGGCATGGGATCTGCCTTGTTAGTACTATCCAGCCATTACCTTTTTATTCGTTGCTTCTGTTGCAAGATCGGGAGCCTTGTGCTGTTAGTCCGTTGAGGGAATATGTAGCTGTTGAATTGGCTGAGAGGGCTTCGAGGCTTTTTAAGATGAGGGGTGGGAATGTTGGGAGGTTGACTGCGATTGGGTTTTTCCTTGCTTTTTTGTCGGTGCTTTTGGAGACAATTGTTAAGAATTGGGATGTTTCGCTAGATAAGCTTGATGAAACTCTGGTGACGAGTGTGAGTATTTATATCCTCTTCCATCTTGCGGCTTCTTATTAATGCGAAAATACAGTTGAGTGAGCTCAAACGCAGCAGGAGACAAGATCTCATGTTTGACAACGATCAATTCTCAAAATCAGATCAATATTTCACTGCGTTACAGGTGCTTCGCATTTGCAGTGACTGGATCAAACAGGTTAATCAAGGGCTGAAGACCTTACATAGTCAGATTGATATATCGAAAGCTAGCCTTGACGATGATAGCGACGATGATACCAATGCGCATACGGCTCAAGATAAAGAAGACGAAAGGAAGCGGCTACACGAGATGTGTTCTATCGTGATGGCTGAGAACGAAGTGAGGTCTCGGCCACTATTGGACCGCATCGAAAGAAAAGTTGAAGAAGTCAAAAGTCTTCGAGATGGTGTAAGAAGGACAACAGCCACATAGTATATGATATTTGCTGACGTTGTTTCGTAGCTTTTCAATGCTACCTCTGTTCGAGAAGCCTCGAAAGGAACTAGTCTCGCTGAGATGAGTGGGCGACAAAACCAGTATATTCTCGTCTTTACTATTGCTACTGTTTTCTATCTGCCGATGAGTTTTGTGACGGTATGAAAGGCTTTTCGAAAGCCTGTTAAATGGCAACGCTAACCTATATCAGTCCTTCTATGGAATGCATATATTCGACCAGAGTGGCGATTCCTCTAGCTCTCGAGCACCGTTTATTGCTACCTTTGTGGTACTCTCTTTGGCAACGTACATTCTGGCAGCTAGCGGTCTTTGGTTTGTCAAAGATAGAGCAGAGCACAAATCAAACCGAAGATGTCAAACCTATCCTAACGAGAAGGGAAAGAAACAACCGGCATTGTTTGGCTTGCCGTCTAAGAAAAGATCCGATTCAGTGGTCTAATTCAGTGAACCAAGAAACCAGCATTGAACTATCAATATTAACATTTCTGATAATAATAACCTGATAAGTCTATAACCTCTAGGAACGGGCTCAATCAGCAGGGAAAGCTAAAGCTCTCCGGGTCGGTAACTCCGCCAAACCTCAAAGCCAACCTGTTCATACCACCCATCCAACGCAACCCAGTCTACAAAGACGCCCTCTATACCTCGCTGCTTCATATGCTCAACGGCATGGCAAACCAATGCCAGTCCAATACCAGAGCTGCGATGGGCATTATCAACTCCAACGCAGCCAATAAGTCCCGTCTTCGGTCCACAAATTTGCGGGAATGCCCAGACGTGATTCAGTGCTGGTGATGGTCCCAGCATCAACGTCCATCCGACTTGTTGGTCTTCGGAATCGAATGCTACCATTACGCTGTCGGGATACTGGTCGGGGTGTAATGTGACGTAGGCTTGTACCCAGCTCTGTATAAATGTTAGCGAGAATAGGGGATGGGATTATGCGAAACGTACGGAGTTATGAGAAAAGTTCTTTCGTTGGCCAACCAGGCAGGCATCATAGTCTCCAGCTTTTAAGGGTGCAAAGCGGAAGCCTCGATCTTTTGCACGAGTCATGTACTTTTCTGGTGATTGGAAGTTACGGATATCTTGGTATAGATCGACCGATCGAGCATCAGGTGGGCTAAGTCGGAAGCCACGGTGGGTGAAGAAGTGTTGGACTGTTTCTGGGAGCTCACGAGGGATTCCAGGCCAGAAGCGAGGGAAGGAGCTGCCTAGCTTCACGCCGTTTATGCCGAATTTGGCCCGGACATTCGCCCGAGTCTCTTCCAAAAGAGCTATTCCAACACCTTGGCGTTGGTAGCTTGGTGATACTGCGAGGACTGCGATGTGAACGGTGTTTGGCTCACCGTCGGCATTTGTGTAGGCCAGACAGAAGCCTACTAGTTCTGATCCAAGGCGAGCGACGAAATGGTGGCCGTATGGACGGACTATCAGAGAGCGTAAACTGTCCTCAGGCAGTTTGTAGGTCGGTAAAGCCTCAGCCCAGACGTGGAGAATGCCATCCAAGTCCTTCTCAGCATCGAACGGTGTAACTACCGCCGCAGTCTTGGTCAAAGCACTAGGTCCCACTGGAAGGGCTCCAGTCGGAATCAACGCGCCGAACATTATATCGGCAGCCACGGAAAATGCTTCGATGGTCGGTTCATATGTGGTGATGTATGTTTTGACCTTGGGGTCATCGAGGAAGTCATAAGGATTGCAAGCGGCAATATGCACCAAGTTACTGATACGCCCAGCAAGCTCATGACCAAGAGATTCTTGATATGGTGATTCGCGCGCATTGAGAGATGTGAAGATGACGGCATCGGCAACCTCGATGACCTGCCATTGCTCCCGCGTTAGACCCGATATTCCGTATCGAATCTCAGCAATTGAGTTATTGTGTTGTCGGAGAACATCTAGATATCGGCTGGACTGATATGACCCTTGTCGCCCCATTCCCTCCCCATCGACTGCACCACCTGCCGGGGTCTTATCTCCGGGAAACAGGAAGATGATAATCGAGGTCTTTGAGAGTGGAAGAGTGCCGGACTTATCTCGAACAAGTGTAGTTGACCGAGAGTATATGTCCATGGTTGTCTCGGCAATTTTTGTGTTGAGCAAACTGAGCTCTCCAAGGTTGTTTTGTCTCAGTGCTGTATCCCAATTTAAGAACTTGTCTTTCACAGTAGCAACATGGCGACAAGCATCCGCCAGTCGTGATTGCTCAATTGTGCCGGATTCCACGGCTTCGCAGACTCTCTTGATTGAAGCAATCTGCACCTCGTAGGTATGACAAATCATAATACTATCACTGCCAGCGCGCAAGGCCAGCACTGAGCCTTCTTCCGTACCATAAGTGGACCGAATACCATCCATTTCCAAGCAATCTGTAATAATCATGCCGTCGTAGCCCATATCCTTCCGCAGAATACCCATGGCATTCGGTGAGAGTGTTGCAGGGCGAGTCAGATCGATACAAGGCAGCGAGATATGAGCAGTCATGACCGTCTCTATTCCCTCGGCCACAGCCCGCCGGAATGGAATCAGCTCACAACGCTCCAGCTGATCTCTAGTCTTCGGGATGACAGGCAGCCCATAATGCGAGTCGACAGCCGTGTCGCCATGGCCCGGAAAATGCTTGATGCTGGGAATGATGTTCTGTTCCCGCAAACCCCGCGCGGCCGCGCTCGCGAAGCGTCCGACGAATTCAGGATCATCGCCAGGGCTGCGCACACCAACAACAGGATTAAGAGGCTCTGAGTTGATGTCCCCGACCGGTGCATAGTTCATGTTGATGCCGAAGAAACTCAAGGTTTCCCCGGTGGCTTTCCCCGCACTGTAGGCACACTCCGGGTCGTGTGTTGCGCCTAAGGCCATAGGCCCAGGGACTTGTGCAGCGATCGGGGGAGAAATTCGGGTGACGAGCCCATTCTCCTGGTCAATGCCGATGAACAGCGGTCGCTCATGCCCGGCTGATTTGGCTTCATGTTGTAAAGCTAGCGTCAAGGCCTATTCAGAAATTTAGTATAGACATCCTCGATTTAGACCGATATCAGCCGCACCTGAAGCTGTACTGCATCATCAAAGTTGCGCGAGAAAAGAACAATGCCGCCAACGTGGTAGTCGCGGATCAAAGTTTTGATTTCAGGACTTGGGGTGCAGCCATGGAACCCCACCGCGAAGAGCTGCGATGGTTAGATTGAGATGCGAAATGGGAATATCATGAGCTTATCCTACCTGGCCAATCTGCTTCTGGAGAAGATCCGAAGCCATTTTGCCGGCTGGGGTCTGTAAACAGTAAGCGGTTCAGAGACTCGGAGTCCACTGGGGGAGTGAGAAGGGATTGATGATCAGCCCGGGTCCACACTCGTGTCAAGGCAACGTTTCATTGATCAACCAACTCGCCTCGGCTAGACAACACTCGTGGATCTTCAGGTATCGAGAGTGCAGCAGCGTAGCATTGAGGTTTGAGGTAACCTCCCGGGCTATGATGCGGGGTAGCCGGGGATAGTGGCAGACCTTTCCTTCCTCTCGCTCTTTTATATCTCGACAGACTCGGACCAGAAAATGGAAATTAGGACTAGAGTTGAATGAGAGATAGTATAGCGCTCTTCTTGGCGTAATGTGGAGGATTTCCAGATATGATTACCTAGTAATCTTCCACCTAATGGCTCTTATCAAGTATAAGCGTAGTCCTATAAAAGCTGAGAATACAGGGATATTCAAACATGCAGAGATAAGAGTCATGGAATGCGGGGTAACCTTGGTAACTTTCCAGTGTTATTCTATGACCCAGCTGCAATTATAACCTTGTCAACCACCATGGACAACATACATACTGCCCAGAGAGAGGATGCCGCGAAACACGATGGTGTCAAGATAACCGCACAGCCCCATCCAACACTGGAGGAGTATGAACGGCTATTCGGGGTTGACGAGGACGCATATGAACAGCCAACGACCACCAGGAAGGAACTATGGTCCTACTATCTCTACTACAACGGTGCGGAGCCTTTCGTTGGATGAGTATGAGAGACTGACTTGGCAAATCTTACAGGTGATAATGGCGTTGGCCCGGGATCATACAGCCAAGCCCTGTAAGTACCATTGACACCACAGCGGTACCTCAACTAACGTCCAAAGCTTCCAATGGGCCCTGAATGGAGCCGGACATCAACCGGACACGAATCCGCCAAAGCCTTGCAGCGATTCGTCCGCATGTGTTGTGCCATGGGCAGGAGGCACGCGATCGGTATCCTCGGTGGTGCTCATCGCAAACGGTCTCTGTTTCGCATTCATGACTGTGATATTCGTGTGGCTTGGGAGTTCTGCGGACTATGGCACATTTGGTCGATGGCTTCTCTTGGCATTGACGGTAGTATGCTGGGCACTGCAATACGGCATGATGGCTATCCGGCAACCAAGTCAGTGGCCTGCAGCGATGGGAATGTATGTTGTGGCGTATGTCTCTTACGGCGCGACGCTGGTCTTCTATGCTGCTGTCTTTCCTCGCCTGGCTCGATATACGCCACATGTGCGTAAAGCTAGGGAGGAGGATTTGAGAGAGGGGAAGATCGATCAGGAGGAATATGATGCTATTGAGTCTTTGGAGAGGAATCATATTAGGTGAGATGCATGTGTGGTGCTTTTGGTTGCGTTGACACTAATTCTGTTCAGCAACATATCCACTGCGCACAGTAACATTGGATACCTGCTCACTCTCGTCCTCAATCTGAGTGTCCTACTTCCTCTACAAAACAACAGTTACTCGAATAACCTAGCACTCTGTCTTACCAATTCATGTGAGTATCTTCGCACTCGTTGGGCTCATCTCAACATTGTCTAACGTCTTATAGATTGGGTCGTTCTTGGCATCTGGTGGTTCATCTTCCAACAAAAACGATCGGGTCCAAAGATCCCCAAAGGCTCAAACTACGCAACGATCGGATTCAAGCAGATATGGCTCGCCATTCGAGAGATCAGATCCCTTCCCCAAACATTTCTGTACTTTTTCGCCTACTTCTTACTTGCAGACGGCTTAAACACAACTGGTTCGTGATACCTAGATTCCTATTGAACGATGCTCGCTAATATATCTCAGGTACCCTCGTCAGCATCATTCAAAATGACTATGTTTCATTTTCATTTCTACAGATCACCTATCTCGGCATCACGCAAGCTGTCTGTTCAATCACATCTACTCTCGGCTTTTGGTACATACAGCGATACTTCAAGTTCAAAACAAAGACCATGTTCTTGTTCACCAATTTCTTCAGCGTCCTCATTCCACTTTGGGGTATGATAGGGTTGTGGACTACTCGCATCGGATATCATAATAGAGTATGTATCAACATGAAATCACCAAGATCGTATCACTGACAAATTGCAGTGGGAATTCTATTTCTACAACGTCATTTTCGGACTCTTCCAAGCCCCATACTACGCGGTATGTCTATTCTTGTATGCAACTCATATTCAGTGTCTGTTTCTAACAGTACAGTAGTACGCTCAAACAATGATTAGTGAGCTCATGCCCCGCGGCTACGACAATATGTTCTTTGCTCTATTTGGGATCACCAATCGGGCTGTAAGTAACCTACTTATTTTCCGTCTACTGGTCTAATCCATCATACAGTCTTCAATCATCGGTCCCAACGTCATCCAGGCCATCATCAACAATACCCGTAACAATTGGATGGGTTTCCCGTTTCTTTTTGCGATCTGCGCTGGAGCCATGATTACCATCTGGTTTGTGAATATCGAGAAAGGCCGAGAAGACTGTCGCAAGTTTACCGAGCAGCGCAAGATGGACCGTGTGGTGGCAGAAAGTGGACTAGATGCCGATGCTATTGCAAAGGGGAAGCAAACTGTTAATATTGTAGATGCTCCCGAATTGGGCGATGGGAACGCGAGAAGTTCGGCTTTGGAGAATTAAAGCTTTGAGTACGGAAGAGCGAGTAGATGCATTTTTCAATGATTCAACTGATATTTTATACTTAATCATTCTATCATTAGATTATCGGCAGATCAATAAGATTCATGCCGCCGTCTCACACTTTTCGGTATCCTGCTGCAGAGCTTCAGCATGTTTCTCAGCCTTGCGCAGTTCCTTCTTTTCAATCTTGTCCCGCCACTGGTCACCAAAGATTGTCGTAAGCCAGACACCAACCCCAGAGCAAAACAAAAACGAGGCACTGATGGTACTAAACCATCCAACCCCCATGGCCTCAACAGCAGGAAGAACAAGCCCAGACCCAAGCGCACCGAAGAAATACCGGAACATATAACTCCCTGCAACGACCTCCGCACTCCTTCCACTAGACTGCATGACATCCAAAGAATAAGTATTGAGACTAGGAAAGCAGAACAGCTGCGCAACACCTTGGAAAAACATCGCCAGCACGGGAACCGGAATACCGCCAACAGCCTTCTCAACCGTCCAACCATAGATCAAGATAGAGCCAGGCACAACCCCCCGAGGAAGAACAAACACGACCTAAGTCGATCTTCAGGTACACGAACACCACCACGCTTGCGGATCCATTTCTTAACTGTATGGTCCGCCCATCTTCCACCCATGAAGGTCCCAACTAGATATCCACATCCAGGAGCAATATAGAAAAGGCCAGATTGAATGGGACTTGTAAGATGGAAGCGAGGATTTAAAACATAGCGGATAGGCGTGAGGAGGGAATACTGGTTCCACACTAGAGCACCAGCCCCGAGGCCAGTGCAGAAAAGGTTTGGATATGTGAAGAGCATGATGGCAACGCGGAGTGGAGAAATGCGATTCCAGAGGAATTTTGCTTTTTGGAATGTTGTTCGTTCGGATAGGTCGTTTTTCGTTAGATGGGGGTATGTTTCTGGGAAGAAGAAGAATACGAGTACGGTGCCGAAGCCCCCTAGTGCGGTTTGGAGCCAAAATATATCTCGCCAGGAGCGGAATGTGACGATCACTCCCTACGTGTGAGGTTAGTTATTTATACACTTGTGTCGAGAGGAGGGAATGGATGTATGCATACACCAATGAACGGACCAAAAGCCGGTCCGATTAGGGTTCCTGATAGGAACCAGCCTAAGGCTGTTGCACGAGCACGCGGCTCGTAGATATCGCCTAGAGCGGAACTTCCAACTACCAAGAAGGACGTTCCTTGGAAGGCAGTGAGGACACGGAAGATGTAATATGCTGGTAAGTTGGGGGCTAGAGCTGTGCCGATGCTGAAAGCAAAGAATAGCAAAGCACTTATGAAGAAGATCTAAGTACAATTAGTTAAAATGTACACCCTTGCTGATTGTTGCATAACCTACTGGACGTCGTCCCCAGACTTGACTGAAAGGGCCCCAGAAAGGTGCTGCAATACCCATAAAAGCCATGTACAGGGCATTGCTGGCGTTGATCACACTGCCGGTGGTGTCGTATGTTTTTGCCACTTCAGGAACACCGGCGAGGATAGAGGTCGATGAGATGGGTGCTAGGAAAGAGCAGAAGGAGAGGATAGCAACGATGACAACTTTGCGAGCTGGTGAGAAGCGGAGATATTGTTCTGCGTCGACTTCATGAAATTCATCTGTCGCCGGCATATCATGGTGAGAGACATGGCTCCGAACATGGTTGAGACTGGTTGGATCTGCTTCACGCTGCGATTGAGACATTTGAATACGTTCTTCGTTCTCCCATCCCTCGTCACTGGAGGCATGGGATGTTGGAGGCATGTTGGGTGTCTGGTGGTCAACGAGCACTCGCTATCTTATGGGCAACCAGGCTTGACCTCTCACGATGCCCATTTAAGGCTGAAAAATTTGAAAGTATTCACTCTCGGAAGCTTTCCGAGTTCATGCTCGGGGATTGTATCCACGAGAAAGGTCAATTGAATTGAAACTGGTTCGAAGAACTATGAAAAGGAAGAGAGAATTGTACACAGTAAAGCACATTTCACACTTGTAGCGTGAGTCAGAGCAAGAATACAAAACCAATTGCTTTATCTCTGCGAGATCGGTGGACCCTTTAGCCGTACATTGCCTTTTTGTCCAAACAGAGGACTTGCTCTCTCTTTGAGGGGGTCCATGGGCCACTGTGATTCGGGGAGAACACCGGGGGAGTAGCCGAGCAGGGCTAGGGGCGGAAAAGAATCCGTCCCGTGGGAAACTGGGTACTTCCACGTAGCTTGGTAGAAGAAAAAGGCAATTCCCAGAAGCATTTGACCGGTTTCAGGAGCCAAGTGCTCTATCAGGCCCTAGTGATATAGTGGCGGGGTGATCCACTAAAGAAAGTGTGTATATGCGTGATAAGTGGGCAAGTTGACAGTTGACAGGACTGACATTTGACAGTTATAGTTGACAGTCGTAGTTGACAGACCTGGCATATACATTGTTAGATGCATAGGCAGATCGAACGTCGTCATCCCCAACTCTACATTGAGTGTGGCTGTTCACGATCGACCCCTGATCATGACGTTATCCGCTTCTGACCGCCAACGACCTCCCTCCCCCCACCCTCGATCTCTTTTTTTTTGTATTTGACTCCATATTCACACAAGATGTCCTCTCAAAGCCAGGTTCCCGCCCACAGCAAGGGCTCATGGACAAGTTTCCTCAAGGCACGCTTCCGTCACTTGCCAAGTCTACCCCAGGCTAACAGATTCCCAGTCAATCGCCTCGTTCAACGGTGATCTATCCTCGTTGACTGCTCCGCCCTTTATCCTGTCAACTACCTCCCTCACCGAGTACTCTGCCTACTGGGCTGAACACCCCGATGTCTTCGTGGCCCCTGCTAAGGAAGCCGACCCGGAGAAGCGTGCTCTCTTGGTCCTCAAGTGGTTCCTGAGCACCCTGCACCAGCAGTACTGCAGCCGTAGCGAGAAGCTCGGCAGTGAGAAGAAGCCCTTGAACCCGTTCCTGGGTGAGCTCTTCATTGGTAAATGGGAGGGAGGCGCGGATGTGGGGGAGACTGCTCTGATCAGTGAGCAAGTCAGGTATGCGGGACCACTCCAACAAGCTAGTCAACTGCTAACAATCGCAGCCACCACCCTCCCGCCACTGCCTACGCGATCAGGAACGAGAAACACGGAGTCGAGGTCAGTGGATAAACATTGTACCACCGCAACCCTATCCCATGCTAACGACACACAGCTCCAAGGCTACAACGCGCAGAAGGCCTCCTTCTCAAGCACCATCCTTGTGAAGCAGATCGGCCATGCCCTATACTCGCTCACCCCATCGGGATCCCAGGAGAAGGAAATATACCTGATCACGCTACCAAATCTGCACATCGAATCCCTGATCTACGGCTCTCCATTCGTCGAGCTGGAGAAGTCATCCAAGATCGTCAGCAGCAGCGGCTACACCGCCAAGATCGACTTCTCCGGCAAGGGCTGGTTGAGCGGCAAGAAGAACACCTTCACCGCGAGCCTGTACAAGACCGCCGAGGGCGAGAAGAAGCCCCTGTACACGGTAGATGGCCAGTGGTCCGACAAGTTTAACATCAAGGACGCCCGCTCCAAGGATGTCATTGACAGCTGGTCTGCCAAGGATAACCAGACCACCCCGCTCACCCTGGCACCGCTCGAGCAACAAGATTTGTACGAGAGCCGCCGCGCCTGGAGCGATGTAGCCACGAACATCCAAAAGGGCGATATGGACGCTGTCTCAGGTTACAAGTCGTGCATTGAGAACGCACAGCGTGAACTGCGCCGCGTTGAGAAGGAGGAGGGTCGCGAATGGGAGCGCCGCTTCTTCAACCGTATTGAGAGCGACGATGCCCAGATCCAGAGCCTGGCTAAGGATGCCGATCTTGTTTTCGAGACTGACAAAACTGGCGGTATTTGGCGCTTTGATGCTAAGAAGGCTGAGGGTGCCCAGCCGCCTTACCACAAGGTTGGCCCTGAGGGTCTGGGTCTTACTGAGTAGATTGTTCAACTCGCTCATCTGAATAGATCTTGGGCACATAGAGTTGGATTCCTGGATTCCTATTGCTCCTGTACCGTTTCATGTTGCATTTCGATTGTATATAGTTTCCGGTCCGGGTTGAAGCCGTTTACTTGCTTATATGCTTGGGATTGGCGGCTCAACCTTCCCATCTAATGATATGGTATCTTCGGTTATGTTATATGGAAACTAGGATAGATAGGGATCGGTAGATTCAAATATTATTATCATGTTTAGAGTACTTTAAATATATAGTTGTTGGACTACATAGTCTACAAGATATAAAGCCAGATTTCTCCATATGAGGTTCCATACTGATCGTACAGGACATACATAAATCATCACACTTTTAGCCCAGAACGCAACTGAGCATTGGATCTACCTCTACCAGACCCATTGAGCCATCATAATCATAGACCGATATTGCACAAGGTGTGGGGGAGCAAAGAAACAAACACAGAAGGAGGATGCGTAAAAAAGAAAAAAAAAGAGAGCAAGCAGAACCGTCCGCAGAACAAGTGACACACCGGACCCGAAGAGACACAGACACCGACTACCTAGGTAGAGAGAAAAGGAAAAGTAAATAAACCTAGAGAAGAAGGGGTGAATTTAATACAGGCCCATCAGAAGAGAGCAGAGCAAAATGAGAAAACAACTCAACCATAAAAAGAAAAAAAAAAAGAAAAAGAAAAAGCATAACGGAACAGTTCCCCAAAATCAAATAAAAACCGGCCAAGCTCCCCAAGAGAGTAGAGATTACACAGCTGAAGAGAGAAAGATGATGAGAAAATATTCTGGGTTCCGTCTGTCATGGCCTTTGACAAGACATGTGTTTTACCCTGGTAATGTAGACAAAAACCATACCCTTTTCAAATCACCCGCAAATGCAACGCCATATGTGTTTGGTGGGTCATTATGTCTCCCCTTTCGTTTCTTCTTTCATCTTTTAGTGGCCGTAGTTGCCACCCCAGCCGCCACGGTTGTTGGAGTTGCCATAGTAGTTAGCAAAGCCGGCACCGTAGCTGCCGTAGCCAGTAGCCTGGTGGCCCTGAGTGGCTGCGCCCTGGTGGGCACCGAGTCCACCGAGTCCACCGTACTGGGGGTTCAGCTGAGGGTAGCTGCCGAAGGCCTGAGTCTGTTGACCCTGGAGAGGGGGATACCGCTCTGAGCCTGGGGCTGTCCGGGGACGCTGTTGGTAGCGGACCCGGGGCGGTTCTGGGCGAGGGACGGGCTAGGTCCACCGGCCTTGGGGGCTTCGAAACCCTTGGTCTCGTCGGTAGCCACGGGGGCCTGTCCGGCGATGGGAGGGTTCTGGCCGAAGCTACCCTGAGAGCGGCCGAAGACATCAGACATTCCAGTGCCGAAGGCGTTGGAGCCGGTGGCAGATTGCTGGCTGTCGGAAGGCTGAGCAGAGCCGGTGCGGCCGTAGACGGAGTCACGGCCGGGAACGGCCTGGGCAAAGCTACCGGCGTTGGCGGGGGAAGAAGAGTGTTGGTCGTAGGAGAAGCCAGCGTGGGGCTGACCGTACATGCCACCCTTGCCAGCATATGGACCGTACTGGCTGCCGTAGTACTGGGAGTTGTGCTGCTGCTGTTGTTGTTGCTGCTGCATATAGTGGTCTTCGTAGCGGCGGGCATCATCGTACATGGGACGATTGCGGCCGTACTGCTGCTGCGTCATCTGGTTCATGTACGAAGCGTAGTGGGGGTTGTTGTAGTAGGGGTAGCCATAGCCACCATAACCGTGCTGAGCGCTCTGGCCAGGCATGTGCTGAGCAGTGGGGGTTTGCTGCGTGGCGGGGAGAGTAGGATTGGGGGTGTTGTGTCCGCTGTTGTTGGCATCGACAGGGCCGTAGCGGCTTGGAGGCTGCGTGGTAGGGATCTGCGGCTGGGCTTCGGCACCAGAGACACCGAATCCGGCTCCAGCGCGGGGTCCGGCGGGGGCATCCTGGGTCTGGCCGTAGCTGCCGTAGTAGTTGTAGGGGAAACGTTGCTGGTCGGCGGCATAGAAAGGAGAGTACTCGCTACCAGTAGTAGCGGTAGGCTGGACAGGGGCCTGGGCCTGGTTGGCGAAAGGCTCAGGGATCTGAGGCTGGGGCTGGGTGACCTGCTGGGTGAAAGGATCGAAGGGCTTCTGCTGAGGCTCGGAGTAACGGGCAAAGTCGTTGAAGGAGTCGGCGGTAGAGGCCTGGGGGACCGGAGGCAGACCAGGGGCAGGGCGCCCAGCAGCACCAGTCTCCATAGAGGGAGGACCCTGGGTGGGAGGGAGGGAGGCACGAGGAGCAACGGGGGAGTGTTGAGGGGGCTGAGCGCGGGTCTCGGCCTCCTCGCGGTTCTCATCAATGTCAACTGCGTCGCCGTTCAAGCCCATGCTACCGAACTGAACAGCAGCACGGTCCACAGCGTGGTTACCGGGCATGACGACAGCCTGCTGCTGCTCCATGACACGGCGTTGGAGACCAGGGGTTCGGCCCTGCTTGGTAGCGCTAGGAGGATAGGCAGAAGAGGAGAAACGGGAGGGAGTAGCAGCGGCGGCAGCAGCAGCGGGGTCCATACCACTGCCAACGGTGCTAGCGGCGGTCGCAGTGGGAGCGGGAGCGGACACATCGGGGATACGTTCAAGGTTTGTCTCAGTCAAGTCGTTCTTGAGCTGGTTGGCGGAGGTGTTAGGAACGGCAGGAATGACGGGTTGAGTGGGCTTTGCGACGGGGGTCTTCTGCGAAGCGGCGGGCACTGGAGCAGGTTCGGGAGCGGGGGCAGGAGCAGGAACGGATGGTTCAGCGACGGGCTCGGCAGGCTGCTCGGAAGCAGGAGCAGGGGCAGCGGGCTGAGGCTTCTTCTGAGGCGGAGGAGGGGCTGGTTTGGCGAAGAGGCTAGCCCACCCCTTCTTCGTTCCCTCGGGGATCACACTGCTCTGGGTTTCAGGCGACTCTGTGGACCCCCATGCCCCACCGGATGAAGCCTCTGCGTTGTTCTCCTCCGTCTTGGGCGTGTCCCATGCAGATGTAGTAGCACTTGTAGGAGCGGGCGCGGAAGTCTCTACAGCACTAGCCACAGGGCGAGTTCCGTTCGTAGCAGCTCCAGCTCCAGCACGGCCACCGCGACCGCCACGGCCCCGGTCTGCGCGAACACGACCACCACGAGTCTCTAGTCCACCACGGCCACGGGTAGCACGGGACGAAGCTGCATTCGTTTCGGTCGGGGGTTCTGAGCCTCCTTGGGCTTAGGGCGAGTCCGGTCTGCGGTCTTCTTCTCAACCTTGCCCCACTGAGACACATTACCTGCACGGCTCGTCAGTTATGGGTCCTTGAATCAAGATAGTCGGAAATCTCGAGTCAATGGGGGGATTTAGGGCAACGGGGGCTCGACCTTCACTAATGCGCTCAATTGCTTCCAAGAGCTCGCCGTTCGAATCTTCCAGAGCAAAGACCAGATCTTCGTCCTTCCAGTCGGGGAACATTTCCTTAAGCATAGGCAGAGTCTCGGAGTACTTCTTCTTCATCTGTCCAATTTCGCCTTCCTCGAAGGATGAGACGTCTGAGTTATCGTTTGCAGATCTGCTGCTTCCACCACGACCACCTCTGGAGCTGAAGCCGCCACGGCCGCCACGGGCGGATACTCTGCCCCGCGAAGCGGAGGACCGGTTCTGAATTTCGGACATGTTGGTAGATGAATGTGATGAAGAGGTCGGAATTGGGTAGGAGGTCACGATGGAGTTCGTTCGAAGGGAGGAAAGTATAATGGGGATGCACCCTCGCAGAAGAGAGGATCAGCACCAGGACCACAGGCACGGGGCCGAGATAGACAGGAAAATGAAACAAAAGAGTTGAGGGAGAAAAGCGCAGGAGATGGAGTTGAAGGAAGGATCAAAAGCTAACGGAATCAGAGTTGCTCCCTCAGGTCTTGGCGCTGCCTGGCTTTTAGCGAGTGACGCTTATTGGGTGCCTGGGGGCGTAGAGAACATGGGGTTGAGGCTACGAGAGATGGATAGTGCTATATATTAGTGGAGATATAACAGACTATAAATTGATTTGGGCTAGTTGGTCTGTCCAATTTGGTCTACTATTCGCATGTTGAACTGTTCGACTGGTGTTCTTCTACTCGTCATGCATCTGGTGGCTCTCACCGCCCTGGAGACCTGACTTCTTTATGCTTTCATCATACCATCCTCTCTGTACAGCCCACCGTCAACATGAAGGGGACCTCGATTTTTCAGTTCAAGTCTTGGCCTAAGATCCACCAGCCATTGCCACGGACTCCACGAGAGTCTCAGCAGCTTCTCAATGCCCTCACATCGTCCTTTCGTCGTCAGTTAGACCGGGCCTATCCCGCAGTCAGCAATGACCGACCTCTTCCAAACCCCGAATCATCGGCACATGCAACCGACTTGCATCTGCAGAATATCCTCGACAATCCTCTATTCCGGATAGTCCCCGCCAAAACCAGTCCTCAGGAAGCCGCGGTGTTGCGGAGCATAGAGGGACAGCGACGGCTCTCGGAAGAACCCATGGTGGTTTTTGACGAACTCGCTGCCGCTGGTTCTGCCACTGCAGCCACCATCAATGATTGTCTCAAATCCCAGCTTCTTCTTGCCAGATCCCCGGAAGATATGAAAGCGTCCCGAGCTGCGGAGAGAGTCGTGAATTGGTACTGGGCGTCAGATGGTGCTTCCCGACAGTCACTTCTCCGTACCCGGTCAGCAACGATCTCGTTGACCAAATTTATGGTTGCAGAGGGACTGCATAGCACTGCTTTGAAGTGGCTGGAGACACTCATGAGCAATGACTTAGGTAGCAAAAACGGTAAGATGACCGAAGGGCTCGCCAGGCAGACCTTCAGTCATCTTCTCGTCGATTTTGTCGATGCAGAATTACACACCGGTAACGGATTTGGCTCCGCAATTGCAACTTACCTGCGTGTATGCCAGATGCATTTCCAAAGCGCATGTTCCCACAAGTCGAGGAAACCAATGCTCCTGGCTGCAGCTGCTCACCTAAGCCGTATGGCCGTGGAGCAAAAGCCAATGAGAGATGAGGTATCAGAGGCAATATATGATCATTTCAAGGACGTGGTCTCTGTGCTATCTCCCCGATCTTTGTTGGTAGCATCGGTGGCCGTCTGTCATCCCACAAACCCCGATTCCCGTCCATTCCTCCAATTTGTGGAGAATCTGTCACCAACCAAGTTCCAAACGTGGAATGAGGCCAGACGAGACGCATTCTTCGATATTGGTACCGAGGCACTTCGAGTTCTCGTCGAACGAAAGAGATTCCGTGATATCTCCCGCCTGGAGCAAAATATTTCGGCTTTGCTGCCGGAGAAGCCAGCGCCAACGGCCACCGAGAGATCTGATACGCACCTATCCGAAGAGGAACACCTCGCCCGCTTGAACTGGAACTTTACATGATACCCTTGCCTTAATGACTGAACGAATCTCATACCCTTGCGCAAGCATATACCCCTAGCGGATACGTCTATGGTCCCTGTGTCTCTACGCGTTACAATCACCGACTGATACACCGCCATTGTCCTCAACTCGCTCCCACATTCGTGCATCACACTGCACAGTGGATTGGCGATCCGAGCGATCAAATTAGTGATCGGCCTCCCCGCTCCGGAATACCATACAGCCGTGATGATCTTCTCACCGCTGCTATGCCGACCTCATTGTGCCATCAGAAGGATAGCCATATAATCCGTACTGACAGGTCTCTATGCAGTCTTTGCTGATATATGAGATACAAAGTGGAGGAATTGTAAAAAGCACAGGTTGTGTGATATTATATGACTGAATGTGTACAAGCAGCAAACCAGCATCGCAATTGAATACAATACAATGGCATCACAGCCTCATTCCTTCCCCGCAATTTCCAGAAACAATCTACAATAAGCTAGATCTATCACACTCAGATCAATTACGCGCATACGTAGTTCAAAAATACACATTCCCCCCTATATCATGTCGTCCCTTATCCGCTAGACTCCATCTACATGTCAACACAGCCCAAGAGTTCAATGCAAACGTGAACTCGGGGCAGACCCAACATTCTCTATATTCAATTTGTTGTCCTCTGATTCAATTCACTGGCCAACCAAAAATCGATCACCGCGATCATGGTCAGGGTCTATTGACGAGATAGGTTAGCGCTCTGTGGTCATTTAACGTGAATGATTGACCATCTTTTCAAGGAAATCACCTTCCCCAGCCCCATATCATCAGCAAGAAAATCCCCATGGGAATCACGCTCTTGGGAGAGAATCAGGTAGACCGCCCAGGCCTGGAACGGAAAGAGGGATGATTTAAGTCCGCGGATAGAGAAACTCGAGTATGAAAGTTCGACGGGTCGCTTTCGGCTGACTGTAGCTTGAAGAACTTGCGATACCGGCGCCACTTTGCTTCAGGATGCCCATTTCTAGATAGTAAACCCTTTCCTCTTGAGGGTGCACTGCTATTCTGGCTGCACACTCCCAACATAACAGCGGAATCTACCAACACCAGGCACCATATCCACATCCATCCATGTCTGCAATGTCTTCGCCAAAAGAGGTGGGAGGTTAACCAAGCATGGCACAAGTCGACAGCGATACAGCGTTAAGGCCAGCTGCTACGCTTGGATGGGCTTTGTTGGTTCATTGAATGAAGACGAGATACCGACGACGGCTTTTGATTGGATTAGTGCCATTATTGGAGAGACATTCCGTGGGGGAATTTGATGGTGCCCCTTTGTATTCAGTGTTAGAACGGGAGTATAGGTTGGAGATAGGGTATGGGAATTTATTGAGAGAATATACCTGGGTGTCCACTTGGATATCTCACAGCACCCCTTGGGTGATTACATATAGTTAGAGAGATAGAGTTAGGGATAAGTGCTTAGGATGCGGATATGTGGGAAGGAAGATTCTATATGGGCATGTAGGTTCTTTATATAACCCAGACGCGGAAGATTCCAGAGATGGTACTTAGCAAACCTCAGCCTGTGCAGGCCTAATAGCAACTGTGTATCTATCTATTTAGGATAATGAAACGGCATTTGGCAGATATAATACTGCTATATATCAAGATCGCTAGTGCCAAAGAACTATAAGCACGAAGCTGGAAAAGATAAAACCAATGATCTAAATGAGAATCAAGGTTGATAATGTAGACAGTGATATACATAAGATACCAAAATACAAGCGGATCTATATCCATACTATAACCAAACATATGACCAGTCAAGCGGGTACCAAGGGAATGAATCGTGACCTTCGTATACAAGAAAAGAAACACACCGCTAATCCAGTCGCCAAAAAGTAAATCCAATAACCCAAAAAGACTATATGCAATATTTTTGTGACATGCACATAGTCACAGACTAACGTTACCGCCGAGAACGGTACGCCTCATAAGAAGTAAGCGAAGGCTCGTCCTCCTGCTCGACAGGCCCATAGCCACGCGTACGCCACCGATCCAGCGGGTTGACATCTGATTGTGCAGGCGTCTGGGCATGACTGAGAAGATGAGACTCGCTCTCGTCCATGGGGGTATACACACCCGGCACGGAAGTGCCACTGTCGCCTCGGGAGAGGGGAACGCGGAAGGCCGGGTGGATGAGGCCTGTGGGATCGGAGGGCACGTGGCCCTCGTGTAATTTGAGGGGGTGATTGAGGGGAGGGAGGGGGCTGGCGAGGAGGCGCGGGAGGAGCTGGGGGACCATTCGCCGCCTAGGGTTGAGCGCGGGGTTTGGGAGCGTTCTGTCATGAGATCTTCTGGGCGGCCGTAGATGCCGCCGCCGAATTCGTCGCGGAAGTCGGCGCGGTCTTTGAAGTAGGAGAAGTCGAGCTGGTGCTCCGGGACGACTTCGAAGGGTGCTGGTTCGGCGGATTTGCCTGGTTGCGAGGATAGCATTGGGTTTAGGGCTATGTCTGAGTATTCCCCTGCTGTGTCGCCTTGGTCGAGGCGGCCTTGATAGATTTCTTTCAGGGCTTCGGCGGCCTTGGCATGAACCATTGGGGTCATAAGAGGTTTGTACAGGGCTGGATGGCCGAATTTGGAGTTGAGACGTTCGGCTGCCTTCTTGCTGGACTTTCCCACGCCCAATGCCTCGGCGTCTGTTAGATTGGCGCGGTTGTAGTACTCGATGTCGGCATCGAAGGTCTTCATGCAGTAGATCTTGAAACCGATCATGAGGAAAGGCAGGGGAATGACGCAGAACACCATGGTCCAGGTGCCGTTGGACTTGGCAACGAAAGCGATGATAACGTTGGCGAGGATGGTGGCGAAGACCAGGCGATTGAACAAAACTCGCCAGTATAAACCACCGGATTCGTTCTTGGTAACAAAGACGTACATCAGTAGGTACTTCTTCAGCATGGCGTCAACGCCAAAGTACAAGGCTGTCACAGGCAACACAATTGGCTGCAGGGTTGCATAACAGAGAGCAACAGTAGCATAGAAGAGGAAGTAGTTGTAGTAGCTGGCATAGTCGAACGGCGGAGGCGCAGTCCATTCAATGGACTGCCGAGGTGTCGGCGAAAGGAACGTCCTAGCAAACCAGACCCAGACCATGTTGACGAGCTGAACGAGATCAATAGCAGCACCAAGGTTTCGCTGCAAAAGGTAGGTCACCCAGAACGGCGAAACATTGCAGAGCGCAGAGATCAGTGTAGCGTAAAACCGGCTATCAACGATGGCTTGCCAAGCATTTTCATGATCGGTGTTGGTCTTTTCAACTACGGTAGCCACGAAAGTCCAAGCAGCCGAGAAGAGCGAGAAGACAACCAGATTGTTGAACACGAAGAAGGCATAAAGGTGACCCAGAACGTGACGTTCACGGGATGTTTTGGTCTTGCTACCTCCCTTGATAGAAAGTCGACGGAAAATGATCGGAAGCACGAGATAAACCAGCGAAGTAAGCGCGGGTGAGGCAATACCCTGAACAGCAGCCCACACGTTCGGGTTTGCGTTCATCGAAGTCTGGAAATCCGGCCACACAAGACCCAAATTGTGCAAGTTGGCTAAGAAGATGGCAATTAGACCGTTAGGAACAACCCACAAGAATGTCAAGCATGTAACCCAGATGAAAGTCATGAATCGCTTCCACTTGCGTGCTCCCTTCGAAAGAGGCAGGTTCTCCCAAATGAGATCGCTAGGCCGCGGCGCAAGACCGATAACGGTACCCTGGGGGCTTGCGGCGAGCACTCCATGCCACGGCGTGAGCATGCTCGATATTTTCCCAACTAGCGAAACCATAAGGCATGGCGTTCCGGCGATCAATCGACGCTCTCCCGTGTTTGATTTCTTCTTCCAAAACCCGAATTCGCACCGTAAGGTAATCGATCGCATCCACCTTTCCACCGGTATATTTGCTTCGCTGGCTGCGAGCAGGGCGTGTAAGAGGTCGCTTCGCGGGAAGTCGGTCGGGGTTTTTGAGATACTTGGCCAAAACGGACTCAAGCTCTCGGACTGCTTCTTCGTGCTCCTTGATAATCCGGGGTAGATCCCTGACATTTCGGCCAATCGCAGCACGGGGAATGGCAGCGGTGGGATTCGCCTGATCGGTAAGTCGTAGGATTCCCTCGTCGCTACGATCAGCGGGGGGAATATCGGTGATCATCAGAGTTCGCGCATGCAGACTGCGCTGGTATTCGGAGCTCTGGAAATATTTTCTCCGCAGATTCCGCACGGCACGGTAATTCCTCCACAGGAAGAAAGCAATGATTATGTCGAAAGCCCAGGCACATACGACTTGGCTCCAGGTGGGTGTGCCATAAACGTAGATCGGCGTCATCATCGCGAATTTCGATTGGGTGGTCCCATCTCCTGTGCCCTTGCTTTGTGTGACATTGATCGGAATCATAACGAGGCAGCCGATGATGCTGAGAAGGATAAAGATGTTGCGGCACATCTTGGTAAAGCGCAGGAAGATCGCGGCGTCCAGACCAACTGTTTCGACGAGCTCGGCTTCCCGTGTGTTGATCACTGGCTTCACCCAGGAGAAGAAACCCTTGCCCACCGGAGGTGGAGAGTGTTTGAGGTCTGCATGCTTGACCTTGGGTGCATAAACCAACGAGTGTCGGGGTCGGACAAGGGAGAAGAGGAGGGCGAGGACGACAGTGATACCAAGCGAAGTACCTAGCGAGGTCCAGATGGCGGTGATAGCGAACTGTAATGAGTTAGCGAATATTCCCTCACTGTCACGAATTCAACATACAGAAGATTGGAAGGGATTCTGAATGAGCTTGAGGAACTCATCAGTCCCGTCATCGCGGACCTTCAAGGCCAGATCCATGGCGTCAGATCAAACGAATGGCGAACCGGCATAAACGAGAGGCCGGTGAGAAAGAGGATTTAGAGCATGAAGTCAAGAAAAACAGAGAATAGACAAGACTGGGCAAAAAAAAACGAGGTGAGACAAGCGCAAAGCCCAAGAATGAAAGAAAAGTGGACACAGGTCTGGACTCCGTTATTATTAGAACCGATCGATATTGCGGATCACCGTTGGACTCCAACTTGGCAGATTTTCTTGACTTTGAACACTGTAATTAGCCGTTCCCACGGCTCTTAAGATCAGCTCCCTTTGCGTCAACATAATACGTGCCTTGTGGCGTTCCAACATGTTTTTATCTCTCCGTCCGACCCATCCCCATTCGCATCATTGGCAGACCGCCACCCTGTATCAAGTGGCAAGCCAATCAGGCACCTCATGACGGGATAGTCTGGAACATTGCGATTGTCGGGTCCAGGGTAACACATCAGCCATGTAGGTACAAGTACGTGTGCCCCTGCGTGTGTGATGTGTTGGAGTTGTTTTTGAGTCTGGAGTTACCGTTTGTTGTGTTTGGCCCTGGGAGTTTTGTCTATTACCTCATTGTCGCCTGAGGCATCCTACATGAAAACCTTGACCAAAACTTAACTAACGTTATACGTTATAGACTTGTTGAATGTTTCAGTAGAAAACTCCGTACAGTTATTTTTGGGGGTTTACTACAGTAGCCCCTCACGTGCGGGAAAATATCAAGTGATGCAACTCCTACTGAAACTTACATCGGCAACTTCCGCCTGACACGCTCTCCTGGGGGGGGGCCTCAAATATGCAAGCTACAAGACTTCCACCTGACACATCTGAGGTTCTTGATGTGTAGAAAGAGTTACTTTACTGTTTACATAGCAATAATATACTATCATCAGAATTTTTCATATTCCAAAGAGTGGTCAAGGACCGTACGGACATTCATTACAGCGTGTCAGAATACAACGCGACATACAACCAAGACGCCATCGTCCCCAGGCGCGCCCAACGCTTTTTTGGCAGCATGAAGAGAGGATATGGGAATCAAAGAAAAGAGAAAGACATCAGGCCGACAACATTTACAGCTGGCCAGAAGTGTTGAAGTCCTCAAGCGCCTCCTGAACACGCTTGCTCATGGTCTTCTCACCCTCGCGAACCCAGACGCGGGGGTCGAAGAACTTCTTGTTGGGCTTGTCGGCACCGTCGGGGTTACCGACCTGGGACATGAGGTAGTCCTTGTTCTTGAGAACGAAGTCACGGACACCGGTCAGGTAGGCGTACTGCATGTCAGTGTCGACGTTGACCTTGACGACACCGTAGCTGATGGCCTCCTTGAACTCGGCCTTGGAGGAGCCGGAGCCACCGTGGAAGACGAAGAAGACGGGCTTGCTAGACTTGGACTTGGTCTGCTCGGCGACGTACTTCTGGTGCTTGGAGAGGAGCTCGGGGTGGAGCTTGACGTTGCCGGGCTTGTAGACACCGTGGACGTTACCGAAGCCAGCGGCAATGGAGAAGTAGGGGCTGATGGCGCCGAGGGCGTTGTGGATGGCCAGGATGTCCTCGGGCTGGGTGTAGAGGGAGTTGTTGTCAACATCCTCGTTGTTGACACCATCCTCCTCACCACCAGTGATACCGATCTCCTACAATTATTATTAGCATTGAATCAGAGGGAAGCTTCTTGTATAAATTGACTTACCATCTCGAGCCACTGCTTCATGGGGGCAGCACGCTTCAGGTAGGCGGCGGTAGTGGAGATGTTCCAGTCGACGGGCTCCTCAGACAAGTCGATCATGTGGGAGGAGAAGAGGGGCTCGCCGTGGAGCTTGAAGTAGCGCTCGTCCTCATCGAGCATGCCATCGAGCCAAGGCAGGAGCTTCTTGGCGCAGTGGTCGGTGTGGAGGATGACGGGGATACCGTAGGCCGGGGAGACGCTGCGGATGTAGTGGGCAGCGGCGATGGAGCCAGCAATGGAGGCCTTCTGGTCACCGTTGCTCACACCCTTACCGGCGAAGTAGGCAGCACCACCCTGGGAGATCTGCAGAACGACGGGGCAGTTCTGATCACGGGCAGCCTCGAGAGAAGCGACAACGGTGGAGGAGGAGGTGACGTTCTAAGATGGTTAGTCACACCGAATTGGGATGTGTTGACGGTGCGAACTCACGATGGCGGGGATAGCGAACTGCTTCTCCTTAGCGTACTCGAAGAGACGGAGAACATCGTCGCCGACAATGACGCCGGACTTGCGGTTAAGCTGTTCAAGGACACCCATGATGAAGTTTGTACAAAAAGGAAGAAAGTAATGTCTGGAGAAGAGGAAAAGGGGGAAATGGTCAGTACAAGTAGTCAAGCAGTCTTTACCGAGAGACGAAAGCGGGCAGATTTTAAATAGGAGGGGCAAGTTCGGAGGGGCAGAGCGTCATCGGTGAAGGCAAACTCACCGGTGGTGGAGCGTGTGGAACTGAGGTCAGAATGATTTCAGGAGTTTAGTTTCAAAGAGTTAATAGCTTCTTTATGTATGGCCCTCCGGTGCTCTGTATCCCGGTCTACTCCATTTACTCCGTTCTGGCCCGACCTGCCGAGTGCTCAACACATCGTGTGTATAGACTTGAGCTTCAGCTATGAGTATAAGAGAATTAAGTTAGCCGGAACAATTTCTAGACTTATCAAGGAGCTACTATAGTCAATCACTCTACACTAGCTACTATGACTATGATTATTATAGCTACAACTACATCTACGCATGTCTGCTAAAGAATTGACCCCCCTCCGTGTTTTGTTCGTAGCGGGGAACCGAGGAAATTCGAAGCCGTTCGCCGTATTTCCACATAGCAACCTTGAAACCGGCCTACTACTACAGTATCCGGCGGACTTCTACTTCCATTCAATCCGGTTGACTCTACATATTTCCTGTAACCAACGTCTATGGTTCCACCTTCTAACAAGTTCGATCTCGAGGAGGGGAGCTTGATCTGCAGGTGACATCATCGGAACAGAACAACCGTTAATCGGCACTAACACCTCAACAATTGTCTCACATGTTGGGCAAATGTCGCCTGGGGAACTATATTCTGTGTCTCTGTATTCTGTACTCTACTCTAATCTACTCTCTACCATGGGGCATATAATGTTCGCACATGTATTCTAGATTTGACTCCGTATTTACAACTGAACGGAATATACTCTAAAAACAATCCTCCGATGCGATCAACGCCTCTCGGCGGGGCTCGGGTCGGGTTTCTCCAACTCATAGAATAAGAGGTAGACTTCCCTCTGCATGCCCAGCACATCAGAAGTCTTGCATTCCTTAATCTTCTCATCAGAGATGCGCCACCAGCGATCCATCGGCTTGCGACGACGTCGAAGTCGCGAACTGACCCCCGTGGGGGTGTCCAGGGAGGGGCGCGGAACCGATGTAGATGTACTCCAGCGGCCCTGGTCGGCCGTTGGGCTGTTACTGTCCGAGGGAGAGGCGTGTTTGGAGGAGGTGCTCTGGAAGGAACGGCGCGAGCTGGAGGTCGTGGGTCGCGGGAGGGGAGGTGTGAGTCGTGTTGCGGAGGCTGAGGCGCCGGAGAGGGAGGTGGAGGAGTTGCTGGTCGAGATGCTTCCGGTGATGTCGGGATCGGGGCTGCTGCGTGGCGCGATACGCGGGCTAGGTGCGGCCGAGGGGTTCTCGCTGGCCGCACGACTTTGAGCATAGGAGCTGAAGACCTCCGGCGTGGAGAACGGCGGGTAGATATGATTGCGTCGGAAGGATTCGTAGTGACCACTGTGGTGGCTGCCCTTGTGGCAGACAATGGCCAGCAGCTTGTACCACTTCTGGCTCAAGATGCTGCCCAGAGGAAGCCGCTCAGGGAACGAGACCTTGGCGGCATTCTTGCTTGAGCTACTCCGGTCAAAGATCGACCGTGAAAGGTGAATAGCGATGACTTTGGGGAACGCCGTAATACGCATATGCCGCGCGATTCTGCGCTTAGGGACTGTCTCGGACGGAGGAAACACGATCCCCTCGAGCTCGGCTTCGGGGTCGGTCTCCATTGCCTCACGAATGCGTGCAATCTCCTGCTCCAATCGATCTTTGTCGCTCTGTGCTCGTGCACGGGCTAGCTCCTGGGACTTGACCTCCACTGCATGCTGCATGCGACACTTATCGCAGCGGAAATCTTCAATATATTCAGTCTTTAGAAGACCATCGAAACACGAGCTGAGCGTAGTCGAGCTCTTCTGCGGCACCTGCAGTGTCAAGTTGACAAAAGCCGTCTGGTTCGGCTTATATTGGTAGTGACAGGACTGACACTCAATCTGAGACTCCATCTTGCCTTCGAAGGGGAATCCAGACTCTCGGTCAATCTCCTTGAGCTTGGTGTCAATGATAGCAGGTAAGCCATTAGGGGAGCCATCATCAATGCGCACCTCCACCTCAGATGAGCTCTCCTGCGGACTCCCCTCACGCGCATCTCCCACCGCCACAGAAGCAGACGCAGAACCAAGCGCTCGCTTCCGTGCACGCACGCCCGCATGATACTCATCGCACAGTCTCTCAAGAACAATCTGCAAGAACTCCTGCGCATCCTGCTGATTGCGACTAATGCGCGTGCGGAACGCGTATTCCAAAGCCTGGATAAAGTCACGCGCCGAGATCGTCTTCTTATATATAGGCCGTTCATTTAACCGATCCAGCATCTCCTTCAATGCCCGCGTGGTTATGCCCTGCTGCAACTCGCGCAGCTTGTCCTCTCGCGCTCCGGAGAGCTCGCCATCACTTGGCACTGCGTGGTATGTCTCTGGTCCGTCCAGTTGGCGCCGGTGCAGTTCGTGGATCAGGTAGACTCGCAGGTCTCCTAGTCCGGCCAGGGCTTGCAGCACCGAATTGATGAAGCAGTCATTGGCTAGGTTCGACAGGCCTACGATGCTTTTCTTGCGATTGCTGTCATTCGATTCATCTCCGTCGATTGTGTAGTTCGGTCCGAAGACGTAGAATAGTGCAACAGCGGCCAGTGAGGCCCCAGCCGCATAGGCGGCGACCGTCGTCGGCTTCTCTGGCATCGAGGTGGGTGGTTAGGAGGGGTTCGGCGCTTCGTGTGTTGGTAAGGTATCGAGGCAGGGAAGCTTCTGTCTCATTACCCCATCGTCGAGTTGGCTTGAATAGTGGCTAGGAGTGTGCTCGTTTTGGTGAAAGGTGAGGTCCAATGCCAGTGGCGGTCGTCGGTGAGAGCGGACTGAGAACGGGAGGCTCACTTAGGCAAGGATTGAGCGGGTTCGGCCGGGGAGAGGAGAAAGGGAGTGGAGCGAGTTCATGCGGAGAAAGAGATGAAACTCCAGGATTCGCAGAAATGGGCAAATTCCGATGATCGTCCCGGGCACTCCAGGGCGTTTCAGGAGGACACATTCCTGGCCTCGTTTTCGCGATACCCCGACTTCCGCCCAATGGCAACATTCTTAGCCCAGGCACGTTAAGCGGAACCGCCACGGACGGATTCTCCGGATATCCGTCTGACGCAGAGATCCCCCGCACTTCAGGGTTGTTGACTTAGTCTGGGGTAGAGCCACGTTGAGAAGAGGCGGTTTTTATAAGCTCAGGCCTCTGGTATACAGACTTTTAGACAGGTCATGACTGGTGCCCCGATACAGGTACTTTGGAAGAAAACAAATAGGAGAGAAAGGGGTTAGAGCCAGGTAATTAAAAGCATCCATGTTCATTTGGACCCTGTCGTACCAATTTCAAATAGACACTGCAGGTGCAGTCCTTCTAGAAGAAGATTCTACGTGGCTACACATATGCCAAGAGTTGCTGAATGGTGAGTGAACATGCATCTTTTGTAGTATTCTTTTTCCAAAACGGATTCTATCAATGTACCATCAAATCATATAAATTCATCGTCCAGAAACCCTCGGTTTAAGCCTGGTACTCCTTGGGCAGAGTAGCAACCTTCTCATCGAAGAGCTCCTCGGCCTGCTTCCAGACTCGAGCGTTGGCCCGGTCGTTCAGGGTAAGAAGGCTAGGCAGGAGAGCGGTGCTGAACATCTCAGAGCTCTCACGGGGGAGGAGAGAGGGCAGGTGATCAATGCTGATCACGCTGAGGGGAGGTCCGTTGGACTTGGGGAGGTCCACGGGCACAGTGGGCTTGTCGAATGTGGTAGTGATGTCGTAGATGGGAATAGGGTTGTGGGGGTTGGTGCTGTAGAGAATTAGCTACATGACTATGCTTACTGAATCGAAATCAGTCAACTTACGTGTCGGCGCTGACGTCGCAGACAACACTCAAGGTTCGGTTGGGCTCGGAGAGGGACTCGCGGCTCACGAAAGGAGGAATCTTCGCGGACAGGTAGATGCAGTTGACGAAGATATCGGCCTTGTGAGAGATTGCATCGAAGGGACCACCTGAAAACGGTTAGTTTGGCACTTCAATTATAGGGACAGTAACAAACCTCCAGCGGTCTCTGCCATATCCCACTCGATGATGTTCTCAGCGGGGATACCAACATCTCGAGCCAGCTGCACAGCACCGCTGCCGCAGCGTCCAAGCTATGGAATTGTTAGATATTGATCTCTCTGTCGACCAAACGAGTACTCACAGCTCCAATGACAAGGATCTTGGGATCCTTGCCGGCGATCTTCTTGCCGGCCTCAAGAGACTGCTTGACAGACTCGATCAGGCGGTCCTGGTTGGCATAGGGAACCTCAGCAGGCAAAGACTCGTTAGGGTTTGTCTGTTGCCAAGCCCAGTTCTTCACAGCCAAAGCAGATCCTATCCTTGTCTTAGTATTGTTCCGAATAACGACTCTCATGTGTAGATACCTGCGTAACCGGCGGACCATCCAAAGGCTGTTATAAAGAAGCATGTTAGTAAATGAAGTCAAAAACCAAAAGAATTGGAGAGCTCTTACCAGCAACGCGACGTCCAGAGTCATCAGTGAGGAACTCCAGGTCAAGCAATGTGCCCTTGCCGCGTGGCCAGCGGCTGAGTACCTTCTCCCAGCCACCCTGCTGCTTGAAGCAGTGGGCAAAAGTGACGTGGACGTGCTCCAGAGGGAAATCGTCCTCGGGCAGCTCCTTGAGGCCCAGAATGACGGCGTCCTTCGGCGCATCCTTGACCCAGGAACCTTCCTCGACAAGAGGAGCTCCAATCTGTAGTATTTGACGGTATTTAGAAAGAGCTCGGGTGGGGATATGGGTCATCGCTTTTTAGGAGCAGGCCGTACCTTGGCGAATTCCTCATCTAGAGAGCACAATTAGCCATTGATTCCAATGAATTGGTCATATTGGAACTGAGACATACCGTCAAATATGCGCTGGGTGGAGCGCTCAACGGTCACATCATACCCAGCATCCATCAATGCCTTGCAAGTAGTGGGAGTCACTTGATTGATGTGTTAGCCATTGCTCATTCCCGCCATTGTAGCAGCAACTCACAGGCAGACCGCGCCTCAGCGGGCTTGGTCTCAGCGCGCAGCCAAATCTTCTGTCCAGACATTGTGAAATTGTAGTTGCAAGTATAAAAGAAAATAAAAGAAGTCAAGCAAATAAATGCAATTGCCAATGACACACACTTTCCCCTCCGGTGATAGCGGGGGAGGGTGGTTGTTCCGTTCCGATGAAATGACTCAGCCCGATTATCGGCCCCCTTGCAGGAAACTTAGGGCAACGGATATCTTGTGTCTTACGATTATGCTGCGAAGTCTCTGCAACGTCCTTAGTTGATTGAGGTTTGATTGTCTTGGCACAAGTGAAGACATCAATGATATTTTGATTAGGATCTTCCTAGTGAAGCCCGTGTACAGCCAGAAACAAGTTCCATGAATATGCATCAATCATTGGATCAAATGTGACAGCAGAGGGCAAACGGCCACTGAAGACAGAACTAAGCACCCTTTGTCCGGCTGCGAGTCCGGCTTCCAATCCCCTCTCCTGGAATAACGTTCTTCACAGCATCCTTGATCTTCTCCTTTGTCGATCGACCTTCCTTCGTTTGTCCATTGATTCCATTCTTTGAACCAGCGGGGGCAGCATTGCCATTGGAAGTTGATACAGGCTTCTCGTCTGTCTTCTGCTTCTTAGGATCACGCTCTTCGGAAGGCTCAGGTGCCTTTTCCTTGTTCTCAGCAGGCAAAGTCGAAGCGGGAGCCTCAGACGTATCAAGATCACGCTTGGCGCCAGTAATGGGTTCGATGACTGGTACCTCGTCCTTGGGTCCTACTGTATCTCCGGTATCATTGGCAACGGCAGTGGCAACGTCGACACCAGAGGACGTAGGCTCAAGTGGCACTGTCTCTTTAGCAACGGGGGCCTCTGAGGATTCGTTGTTTACAGCAGGTTTTGCTGCATCGGTGGTCTCAGGTGCACTGTCCGTCTGTGTCGTGTTCAACGTGTTCTGAAATGCATGCGAATGGTTCTTAACCAGCTGGGCCGTCTCTAGGATACTTAGTCAGCATCTAGCACCAGCACCTGGGCAGATACAAATGCAAAGAAAGACGGTTCTACCACGAAATCTGGAGACTTCGGTATACATTTCGGCCAGTGCAGCTTCAAGAATCAGACAAGAGACAACGGTACATACCTGGAGTCATAGAGGGGCTATGCCCGACGATTCCTTCGGTAGCCATATTGGATAGATGATGTCAAGTATCGGGATGTGCCTCGTAAAAAAAGCGGCGATTGAATGTGATGATGATCGCAGATACAATGCAACTGCGATGATTATGGAGGAGAATGTAGAAAGAAGAGCAGAGAAGCTGCGGAGAAGTCGGTTGATTTGGGGGAGCGTTGAGGTGAGGTCGCTCGGTGACGTACTTGAGACTGGAGACGCTAACCCAGCTGATTCGCCGCTTCAGCTCTCCACGCCACGAAGTTGCGCAAGTATTGTTTGGACCATTACTGCAGGGGTATATCCCTCCGATATACTCTTATACATTTCAATTCACCTCCACGGACACCAAAGAAGTGTACATGTAAGAGCGTTGATCCGGATGCTGATCAGCCTCTTGTCTACCTGTTCTACAGCTCATGAAAACGTTTGAGAGCATGGTACCAAGCCAATTAAGCTCAAAAAGAAAGCTATCAAGTATCTTGATCAATATACATTTAAGAAAATCTACAAAGAGAGACAGAGAAGTTGCAGACTGGACCTACGCAGTCAAGTATACTGTACGTACTAGGACAAATACAGTTAGTCTATGTAGGATTCGGATCGAGGGTTAATAATCTTCCGTTCTAAATTGGGCTTGACGCTATTCCTAAATAGGAACCATAGAGATGAAGCGATCGTAGATGCAGAGTGCCAAATACTTCATATATTAGCTTCATATATGTTCATTTATTTAGAGTGCGGCCACTTCAGAGTGACTGGGTGCTTCTCAACTACTCTTCGTTGGTGCACTTGGGCATCTTAAGGGTTGCGTGACAGATTGTTCCTGAGAGTTCCGTAATCACCACCAATTAAAAGATATTCAATAAGGGGCCCATGCTTCTAGGCGCTCAACAAAGAGGCCATATTTAAACACAAAAACAGGTGTCACGCTATATGTCATGCTATACATATATGACAGTTGACAGAAGTGTGGCTCTAGCCTCAAACAGACAGGGAAAGCCCCACCCAGAGCGCGCTAGATATAGCTGTAGCCCTCCGAGACTCCCCAGCACTCCCAATCCCCCGATGGCATGGTACTCTATCCTTCCGCAGGAGCTCACTCACCTGGAGAGCTGGGCCGCTCGCGTTTTCGTATGTTCCGCTCTCTTTCCCGAACTCCCTATGACGCAGTTGCTGACCTACCCCGGATTCTGCAGTTCGTCCTCGGTCTAATCACCATCGGCCCCTGGGCGTTCCTCATCCTCCTCGATGCAGCTATATGGCTATATCGCATGATTCTCTGGGATTTCCCCTGGATTGGTGGACGCGCACGGGGCCAACAACGTCCGCGCGCACCGAGCTTGAATGAACGGCCGGATGGACAACGGAGGGCGTTCGGGTTGCGCGGAGTGGAGACCGATACTGGTGAGAGTGATGGTGGTCAGAGCAGTGGGTCGAGTTCGAAGAGACAGAACGATCGCGACGAGTCTCGAAGGGAGAATGTGAACCCTGTTGTCAGACTCAATCCACTTGCAATCGGAGATGGGGCCCTGAAACATAGGGGCACGGGTCTGCATTGACCACATGTTTCTCTCCCGTTTTGAGAAGTGACGACGCTTATGATTTTGTTATTGTTTTCTGTCTTCGCATTTGGGACTCCTGTGGGTTCCATGGTCATGGAGTTTTCGCATGTTTATCGTTATACCTGTGCGCGTTGTCTGTGTTTTACCTGTTTATCATCATGAGAGAGCGTCTCTCCTATTGCTTCCGCTGGGGTCTTCTTGCTATCGTCTGACATTGTGAGGATAGTGACTGGCATGATCAGGGACTGTACCTCTATACTCGCCCTGATACTACTTGGAGGATTGTACAAAGATACTCGCACGATGTAACCTATTCTTATTCATACTCGTATCTGGTTCTCTTGCATCTAGCTATAGATACAACTATCTTATCTTGAATATCAACCCCCGCAAGTCAACTCGGCTTTGTGAGTCAATGAGCGGCAACCAGCGGACGGTTCCGCCACTCAAAGTGGAGGATTCTTGATAAGCTCCAACTGCAGTTGGCTGCCAGTGCGGAGTCCATGCGGAGTAAAACTGAGGAGCAAAGACTATAAAATCTGTGTCAAGCAGATTGTCACATTGCTCTGTGGCACATCAATCCATACTTCACACTACATCTTGAACTACAAGGAATGGCGGAAATTCTATATACTAAACTGGATCTTGTTGGATCATGGCATACCATGCCTTCTATAAGATACCTTGTCGGTGCTCTTATCATGGGGTTGTGTGTCGCGGCATGGAGAGTTCGACAATATCGTTATACTTGTGCGCCAGTGAAGACGAAACCAGTTCTATCGGACAAGAAGGAAACAGTCATTACACCCCTGGAGGGGTTTGACTGGGAGAAAACAGAGCCGTTGCAATTTCGGCCATTCAAAGGCAAAGAGAAATTCAATCTGACCATGTGTGAGTACTCCTTTATACTTCTTCTGCATACATTGCACTATACCAAGATTCCAAGAACGTATACCGACTAACATCTATTAGCAATCGAAAATCTCGACCCGTCAGAACTGATTCCAATGGACAAAACATACAAAGACCGCCTAGACCTTCGCAAATCAATCCTCAATCAACACCACGACATAGTAGTGGCAGTCAATGACAAACCGCAAACCCAAGATCCACGCACTCACACCGCCGTCAGCGAACTCTACACTTTTATCCTAGGCAAATACCTACCAACGCGCTACCCAAGCATGTTCAAACTAAGGAGCAGCAACTCGAACCCTCTCTTCGAAAACCTAGTAACAGGCGCAATCCACCCAACAACCCTATCACAAAGCACATCAACAATTGAAGCTCTAGAAATCCTAACACAAACTGTCGACGAAGAGTTCCTAATCCTATTACCAGAACTCTCACCTGAGAATAATGAACAGCCAAAGTATATCCTACAAGCCTACGCAGCCTGTTTCCCATCTGGATTCAATACACGCGAGAAACTCGGTCTGCGACTGGCTGATATCCATAAACCAGTTCCCGGGTATAAAGAGAAGATCGAGCGCAGTATGGATCGGTTCTTTGCGCGGATTGAGGTTGGGAGGTTTGTTCGGCGGGTTAATTGGAGTGTTACTATTGCTACGGATTTGTTTGCTGCTTTTGGTGGGACGCACGCTGTGGTTGGGAAGAAGGAGGCTGCTATTGAGCCTGGGAAATTGAATGTCGATAAGGTATGTTTGCTCTTTTCTCTGGACAGATGGTGGATTGTTGGTTGTGGAATGTTGCTGATTTTGGGATATAGACTGTTCTTCGGTGTGAACGGCAGACTTTGCATCGGATGCCTGTGTCTGAGGCGCTTGTCTTTGCCTTTCATACGTATACGTATCCGATTAGGCAGATTAGGGATGAAGGTCTCGGGGGCGATATGGCGATTGCGGTTGATGGTTTGCGGAAGGGTAATGTGCCTGAAATGCATATCTATAAGAAGGGTGATGTGTGGGGAGAAGCATTGAAGGAATTCTTGAGATCTTAGCTATAGCATATGAAGGTGGAATAGCTGGACTTGAAACAAGCATATTTCCAGATCCATGGGAAACCGCTGTTTATATACAATGTTAAGGTTCGACTTTATATATTTTTAGGCCCTGATATCTAACATTTAACGCAGACGCTCAACAACCTTAAGCAGATCAGCGGAGACACCCATGGCGGTAACATCACCACCGGCACCGGCACCCTGGACAATCAGGGGGTTGGCACCGTACCGCTTGGTGTAGAAGCTAATGATGTTGTCACTGCCCTTAAGACCAGCAATGGCGCTGTCCTTGTCGAAGTACTGCAGGCCAACCTTGACAGCCTTAGCAGCGACATCAATGCTACCAACGTAGCGGACAACCTTGCCCTGCTTCTCAGCAGTGTCCTTGATGTTGGCCATCTGGGCATCGAACTCAGGGAGGCGGGTCATGAACTGAGTGATACCATCGGCAGAGGAAGGCAGGGACTCAAGCTCAGCGGGAATGAGAGATTCAATGGGGAAAGAGTCAGGGCGGGAAACCTCAAGACCAGCAAGACGGGCGAGGATGGTAAGCTTGCGCGCAACGTCCATGCCGTTCAGGTCATCACGGGGATCGGGCTCGGTGTAGCCAAGCTCCTTAGCCTGGGCAACGACGGCGCTCCACTGAGCATTGGAGGAGCCGGAGGCGGGGGCAAAGGTGTTGAAGAGGAAGGAGAGGGTGCCGGAGAACACTCCCTCGATGCGGGTTACCTCGTCGCCGGTAGCCACAAGGTCCTTGAGGGTTGAGAGCACGGGGAGGCCAGCGCCAACGGTGCTCTCGTGGTACACGAGAGCCTTGCCCTCGGCGGCGGAAGTGAAGATGTCCTTCCACAGGGACAGGTCATCTGAGAATCCTTTCTTGTTGGGTGTCACGACTGACACGCCCTTTTTGAGGAATGTGGGGTATTGGCGGGCCAGGTTAATGTCAGAGGTGTTGTCGACCAGGATGGCGCGACCAGGGGCCGAGGCAAGGTATGTAGCAATCTCCTCAGCTTGGAGAGCACCCTTCTTGGTCAAGGATGGTGTAGCGGAAGCGGTAGCCCAGTCGGCGGCGGGAATGGCCGGCGAGTAGGCTGGGCTGGGAGAAAGAAGGGTCTGAGAGGAGCGGGCAAGGAGGACGAGCTGGGGGGCATTGGGCAAACGGGAAAGCTGCGAGAGGAAGGCAGTGCCAACACCTCCAACGCCTGGTTGATAACATGATTAGAATTCTATTTGACATAGTAGGAGGGGTACTAACCAATGACACCTAGGTAGATAGGGTTAGCGGACATGATGTATGCTAATTGAATGAACTTTTGGGAAATATCGAGTCAATTGTTGTGCCTGATGCTCAATTAAGAGTTAAAGTATCAGATCAAAGCTGAGAAACACTTCAATTGAGTCAAACAATCGGATATCAGGTGGGGTGCGGGGCTGCGAACATCGGCCTTAGTCATCACATGGCAAAATTGTACAGCGGTGTGTATAGATGCGATCGCGCCCTTATCGATAAGCTCGCTGCCATCATTATTAGAGAAGTTCACCGTTCATCCGTTCACTTTCCTGACACTCCGCCTTTTAGACAGTTTGTACAATAATGTCTACAGACAAGAGCTCATCCCTTTATGGGCAGCGTCGCCAGAAGGCCCAGTCCAACGAAACAACATCCTCCAACCTCGCATTCGCGTCCCAACTTTCTTCACTCATTTCGCAAGAGTCCAACTCTACCTCCTCACGAGGTCGCCAGCGCCCTTCCAAGAACCCAAAGTCAGACATCTTCTCAAAACACAACAAAGGATCTCTAAAACGAGCCGCAGCGGACCTCGCAGATGACAATCGGGCTCTGAAGCAAGTCCACAGGAGCAGCAAGGACCTCGGCGACGTCGACTCCGCCACTCTAGGCCGGTCCCGTCGACGCATGGACGAGAAAGCGCGCATATATGATGATATGAAAAAGGGACTCTACCTTGCCGGGGACAGTGACGATGATGAGCAGTACGATCCATCCAAGCCAGAAGATTACCTGGCCCGACTGCGTCGCAAAGAGAGAGAAGGACTGGTGGACTTCGACCGCAAGCACGCAGACGAAGAAGAGAACAAGCAAGATCTGTCCGATGATGACAATGCCTCTATCATCTCCTACGAAGACGAGTTCGGCCGGACGCGCCGTGGCACCCGTGCCGAAGCCGCGGAAGCTTCCCGCGCTATTGATGAGGCGAATGGTGGGAAGGTCGGTCAGGAACGCTGGCGCCCTGCTCGTCCTGAGAATCTTATCTACGGAGCTGCTGTTCAAGCTGAGGCTTTTAACCCCGATGCTACCATTGCGTCGCACATGTCTCATCTCGCTGCTCGCCGTGACCGATCTGCTACACCGCCAGAGCAGAAGCATTATGATGCTGATTGGGAAGTGCGCAATCGTGGAACTGGATTTTATGCCTTCTCGACCGATGAGAAGGATCGTGCTCAGCAGATGGAGGAGCTCTCCAGGGTTCGAGAGGAGACTTTGAACAAGCGCAGGTCGAATAAGGAACGACTGGAGCGGCGTGAGGCTAAGATAAAGTGGCGGCTGGAGAAGATTCAGGAGCTGAAGAGTAGGAAGATGGCTGCTCAGTTCATGACGGATCTTGAGGCAACTGTTATTCCTACCGACAAACTTGAGCAGGCCAACAAACCTGAGCAGACAGACCACACAGAGCAGGTAGACCAGGCCGAGTGAACACTTTTAGATTGTCCCATCGCATTTTCTGGTGCTCCAATTTCGGTGTCAGCCCTGCACATGTCTTGAATATTGTTCGTGATACCCCCTATGTACGATTGAATCCATGTTTTACCACGATGAAACTTTAGCGAAACCAATGTAAGATGCCTTGTTTGTTTAAGAGATCTGAGTAGAGTAGTACCTAACAGACAAAACGTAGATCAACAACAGAGGAGAAGCAGCCAACTCAGCACTCAGCATAATTAGAATGAGATCCACGACTTTTAAATTGATCATCGTAATCATAAACATCATCTCATCACTCATAACAGCAGAAAATCAACTTCCCGATTAAGTGCAAGGCAAGGCAAGGCCGTCATAATCATTAAGTTAACGTCGCTTGGTATAGGATCTATAAAGGTCATGCATGATATTGAGGAATTCCTCGGCGTCTATAACATTAAGTCCCGTTAGTCAGTGATACGTAAACATCGTGAACAATAAGTTAGTCACAGGGTTAACGAGACTTACCAGACGCAGACGTAAACTTCAACACATGGTCACCATGTTTCGTCTTCGGCGGCGAGTAATCTTCCGCAGAAATGAAGATCACAGGCTTGAGATTGCGTATGTGGATGGTTGTTGCATCGTATTGTTGGATTAGTCTGGGTTTTTCGACGTGTTTGGAGATGAAGGCTGTCCAGACGGGGGTTCTATAGTCATAATCACCGACATTAGAATCATAATTAGAGTCGGAGTGAAGGGTTGATATCTTGACTTACCGGCTCATTTCGCCTTCCATAATTGATGATTGCAGCCGGACGGCTCCAGTCTCCAAGTCTTGGTAGACGCGAAGTGCATGTGGGTATTCGTCGTCGTTGATTTTACTATACTCCGTTAGCTTATTTCTGTTGCTGGATGGTTCTTCTGGTGTAAGCAGTCTCACCCTCCGAAGATCTCATCTTCGTCTTGGAGCTCGTGATCTAGAATTTGACGTGGAGGGTGGCCTTCGTCCTGGGAGCGGAGGGCAATGAACGTGTTGTGGAATAGAACCAGGTCTAGGATAACCAGTTAATATAGACTGATCTTGTGGAAAGAGACCCATTTGTCTTCCGGGTTGGATGATACTGACCTTCCATCGTGGTGAATTTAAGAAGAGTCCATAACACAAGCTCTGTTCCAGACCTCCGCCGTCTACACAACCGGAGACAGGAGCGTTCTCGCAATATCTCAAGTAGATTAAGAGGCAGACAGAAGTATTCACTTGGTTTGCTGCCGCGGCGAGGGACTTTGCAGAGGATTCGGGCTCGGTGGTCTTTTTCTCGCAGGTAAAATGACACGCTCATGTCTGAATCGTCGTTGACGGATCTGGCCATGAGAATTAATATGTTAATGATGCCCCCAAGGCGTATCAGTGTTATCTGCTTACAGCCTGAGAAGCTCTTCAAATCCCTTTTCTCGGATTGCTTCCTTGACGCCGGGATGGTTTTCTCCTCGGCAGTCAGATCTATAGCTAGATACATTAGCAAAGTGTCGACGATTTGTATACGATATTCCAAACTCACGTCTCAGCCACAGGCGGGAGAAGAGTCTGGGTGTCGCAAGTACCGTATACCTCCTTGGCCCAGTGGTACTTGATAGTATCAGACGCAGTCGAGCGACCAGTGCCATTCGTAGCGGTAGTGTTAGTCGTAGAAGTCGGCGGCGAGGTTGGGACATCAGGAACAGAAGGCGGGAAGTCCGAGAAATTGCCCGAAGACGGCGACTGCGGCGACGTAGGAGAAGCATGGGAGGGACGATGACGGTCGAACGACCTCTGCCGGCGATTGGGATGTCGCTTCCGATCACTGATAGGACTGGGAGTCTCGGCGCTGCTGCTCGATGGGTTTCGACTACCCATTGACATGCGCCCAAGCTGGGAAGCGAGTCGGCTATCCTGTATGGAGAGTAGGGTGTTCATGCCATTGCGGAGGCCATCGAGGAGCGGGGAGCTGTAATGTTTACTGAGCGCCAGGAATGAGTACGGTGTCTCTTTTTCTACTTTTGGCGGGCTACCTACTCTTTGGCCATCTCGCTTAGCTCTCTAAGCATTGCTTTATATTTGGCCAGGCGGGTCGCTAGAGTGAATCTCGATTCGTCCCAAAAGAACCGACTGAGGGAAAGCCATGTGTGCTTGTAAGTATCCGGTACGACAGCTGGGCCGCTGAGACGACCGAAGAAGTTGACGATGTCCTCGAGGGTGTATTTCAGACTTGCTTGCACCATGTTCAAATCGGGTTGGATGCGGGCGAGATTAAGCTGACGGCGGTAATCCTTGCCCAGGTCATCCAGGATCGAAAGCGATGAGCTTATGGCGTATAAGTCCGCGATAAGCGATGTCACCTCGGACGAAATTTCAGGGACAGGGCCCCGGAACATGGTGAAGCCAGCCGCAACATCTTCGGCGTTCTCTGCAGATGTGCGCAGAGCCATAGTAGAGTAGACGGGTCAGGCCATGGAGGGGAAGTGAAGTTTTGGGGGGGTGTTCGGGTATAAAGCCAATAAGCTCACATAGACACAATTAAGATTGTCGAAAACCCCCCTCACGTGTGCGGCTCTGAACAGGGTTCTTTGTGAGTCGAGTTTGACGTGTTCACGCGGGAATGGCGGGGCATAGTGGAGTTCTGTCGAGATACCTGCACAATTTGCCAACATGTTTGCGACAATAAACATAAAAAGATATAGCGACAGACATAGATTGTCTCAGGTTTCCATGGTTCACATTTGAGCCCTAAATGTGGAGAAAACAGTACCCTTGTTAGACACACCTACCACTGTACTGGTAGTATGCTAGACTCATCTAGGCAGATCGAACAGCGGTAAGGGACAACATACTCAAGTGTGGTCAGAATAAGCGAACCGAGAGAGAGAAAAAAGGAATGAAATAACCAAGGAGGGGAACCGATAGGTGATTAAGTCAAGGCTGAAGGCAAAAGCTGCCGCCTAATTGATCAATTCGCGCCGATTAAGTTGTCTTACATGTAGATCGGGATTATTCACCCGAATTCTGTTCCAACCTGGAAGGTCTCGCTAATTTGGACTCTGCTAAACCTAACATGAGGAGGTATATTTGACGGAATCTGTTATGTAGTTTTGTTAGGCGAGTATATGTCGATTATGATAGGTATAGAGCATAAGATATTTCTGAGTGCCCGGCAGGTTCCGTTGTATCCGTGAAACAGCGAATCAGACATTCGCAGTACCCTGCGGATGGGTATACATGTACCCTATAACAAAACCTGAAGACAACTGATGAACCCGAATCACCTTCGGAGGCAGCCGGAGCTGCGTATAGCGGTCTGGGACTAATTCTCTCAGACCATGAGAGAACTGCCAACTGCCCAATAAGGACCCTGATATAGATGTCGCAGAATATCATCAGTGGGACCGAACCCGGAAACCCTAAGCTGGCGATCTCCCCGTTAAGAAAACGCAGCCTCAGGTATCCGACCGTGGCATCTTCATATGCACCGGTACACACCGGACCCGAAATCAGACTCGTTGGAGCGGTCTTCGGGATGCCCAAGCCTTGTCTGTCCTGGTATGAACCCCTGCTCCCAGCTCACTGGTTCATCTTGAGATATTCACAGCTTGATCTTGCCCTGTACCATCTCTTGCTCGAGCTCATATCCAATTCACGGTTGACTCTTCACATCAGTGTTCTTCAAGATTGACCCTATCTCATCCACAGTAACATGAAACTCCCAGTCATCTCATCTCATTGCATCTCCTGGGTACCAGGAAACGCATGGTAGAACAGCAATTGAGAGCTCTGCGATGGGGCCCTAATGCATTGCTTGGATCAGGGTCTCGTTGTATGCGAAGATAAATCGGCTTGTAAAGGGGCCGTCTCCATTGAATTCGGGGGCTTGGTATTCCGTGATAGCAATTGTCAGAGGCGGAGGCTTTGCTGCCTAGGTGTACCTAGTAATCTGTATCCCTCTGTTTTCTTATTTGCTCTGTTTCGGGGTTGTACCGGTCTTTGAGGCTTTGACGTTGACGTAGCTGTCGTGCGAGATCTAGTATAGTTGTTGGGTTGTGTGTATTGTGGAGGAGACTCTTGGTTTGTTATTAGAGTAGTTGTCTGCACTGCTCTCACGCGTGATGTGTTCTCGTAGCCTTTGGCTTGACTCGATAGTTTGGCGAAGATCTGACCTCTCAAGTCCAAGTCTTGAGTTTACCCACAGAATTGATATCTTTTGATTGCATAGTATGGGAAGCCCAAAAAGAAACAAAGTTTAGGCTTTGAGCAACCCCGGATTCCGGGGCGGTGAATGACGCAGGCGGTCCGTTATTTTGCGGGGCAAAAAAAGCTCCAGGTTGAAGCTCTCTAAGCTGAGCTTCAACCGAGGTAATTCCGAGACCGCGTCTAGAAGCTTTACCATTAACCTTGAGCATTGTGTCTACCACTCATCCTCAAGCTACACAGAAAGAAAGAGTTGGCACCAGTTTAAAGGATCAGATTTCCCATTGATAAGTTAATAGCCTTTGATAAAAGCAGGGGAACCGTCAGAAGCAAATAAAAACCCCTCCGTCATCCTAACCCAAAAGCCGTGCACGAAACCATCCGAAATAAGAAACCAGGGGAAAATCCATGAAAACTAGAAACACCTTGAGGCCGAAGACGAAGTGAAAATGCGAGAATGGCATTTAAGAGGACTCCTCATCCTCTTCCTCATCAGCCTTCTGATAAAATTGGAGTTAGCAAGCGTCGCGACAACAGAAACAGAAACACGGAAAAGGAAATGTAAACGTAAACGTACAGCGAGGTAAGCAGCCTTCTCCTCTTCGTAGCGCTTCTTGTCAGCGGCAGCCTTGTCATCGTAGGGCTTGCGCTCATTGGTGCTCAGAGCCTTCCACTTGTCACCGAGCTGCTTGCCAACCTGGCCTGTAGAAACTGTTAGATGGGGATTTGCACAAGCATGGGGAGCTGCGGGATCACTGACCGAAGCTGATGCCGGGGTTCTCCTCGCGGACCTTGTCGCGGTTGTCATTGGCGAAGAACATGTAGGCAGAGAGGCCACGCTTGGGGGCGTTGGGGTCTGTGATGAATCAGCACACGTTCATGTCTGCGTAGACGCGTCAAATATGGCTCTCTGATCGGAGCAACTTACCCTTCTTGCGGCGCTGGACGCGGGGCTTTTCGGCGGCCTTGCGGGTGGACTTCTCCTTAGGCATTTTGTCTGCAGTGAGGTCAGACCTGGTAACTCTGGCCATGGTTGCAAGATGTGCAAAAAACGATGCAGATTTGGGTAGGAAGAGCGAAACAATGGGTTGTTTACGGGGGAGTAAACAATTGAGACGCAGAGAGAGGGGAAGAGTGTTTGGGGAGGGCGCGTGTGCTGGTGAGTGAGTCGCGACGCGCGCATTCGACCACTTGCGCGACCGAGGAAAATCAGGAATTGAGACGAGCAAAATCGGCTTACCTGAATTTAGAAAGCAATTGAATATGTGTGGTGAAAAAAAGCTGTTGCGTTCAGTTCAAGTCAGCTTTGACCAAAACATAGATCGCGACGAGATTCGCGCCAGCGACACAAAAAAAGACATGGGCAATGAGGTGAAAAAAGGGGAATTAGAGGATAAAAAGAATTGAAAAAAAAGGGAGAAAATGGTGGTGGTGGAAATGCGAGTGTATAGAAGCCATATAGAAGGGGAGATATGCAGTACCTTTTTTAGTATGGGGAGCGAGTTTGTATGGGGGAGTTGGTAGAGAGGAATAGGAGAGGAAGAAGAGTAGAGGGGGAGGGCCGTAGTAGTAGGAAGAGAGAGAGGGGACAGCACTCAATGTAAGCAGGGAATGTACATACGCGTATTTTACGCTGTTCAAGTGGCTTCCATAGCACACCACTCTTCGTTTAGTATGTAATTAGGCTGCTTGATGAATTCGCTGGATCCTTTTTGACTCATTAGCCTCCTTTTTTGTCTAATTACCACGCTTGGTCTATACGTTCTTGATTAAAAGCGAGGTAAAGGCCACAATACGTATGAAACGATACGCCCATTCCGGTGGTGGATTGTCGTGGAGAATTACGTCTTGCTCGTCTTATTAATAAGTCGCGCAAACATACAGGTACTGGGTACGCGGTATCCCGTAGTAAAGCTGTCTCTCGGCAAGTACCCTGTACATCGTAATACAAGTCTATAGTTCCTCTGTTTACCAATTTGATCACTCTACTGTTACTCTTTTCTTTAAAGATATTTGAGTAGAACAGTGCTAGAGTCTACAATACTGCCTAAGTCAACCCTAAGAGGCAGCGATGCACGTCAAAGATCGTAAGATAAACCTAACAGACAGAGAGATGGAAGTAGCAATGATTCTTGATAACTTGTATTCATTCGGTTTATTATAGTCAAGGATAATTATGGATAGATGATAGCTATTGCAGCCTGACTAGCGAAGTCAGTACCCTCATCATGTATAGGAAACATTCCCGCTTTGAGAAACAGGTCCCTAGTCATCATCATTGGTACTATATCCTCTCCCAGAGTCGAATAAACCAGAGTCCTAAATTCCACTTAGGCTCTCGGAGTCAAACACTGTGTGATATAATGTCCAGGCAGTGTAATAGTGCAAACCTAATGCAAAGAGATACAACCGGCGTTATTATTCAAGGTTCTTCTCTTAGGCAAGGGCGGACGGTTGCTCAATCATGGCGTGGCGTACCCTTTTAGTGTAACCCCCAATTGGAAACATGGCTGCAGAGGTACCTAGGTATGGACATTGACCCTCGCGCTATGGGCTACTGCTTTGAAAGGAATAGCTATCGCCATGGACTACATACAGGAAGATGGGCACGATCAGCATAAGTTCATAGTGAATTTCATAATAACAAATAAATATTAACCCCGTCCCAGAGTGAGACACTGGGATTCAGAATTAATCAAGATTCCTTACCGGATCACACCATCAATCACAAGCCAAGCTAAATTAAGGATGTCTTCTCCATTAGACCGTATCGCATAACGCGCCATGGCCCCCAGTCTAAAATAGTAGACTAAGGAACAGACAGAAAGTAGATGTGATTCACGGGTATTAGTCTCCGCACCACATTCCAAATTACATACCATACCGCAGTAAGGGAAGCCCCGTAATGTATCAGTTCCACGTCTTCCGAGAGGCGTCATAGAGTCGCGTACGGAGTATTGGTAATTTTATATATCGGATACTTTAGTAAAAAGGTGCACATTTATCCGCCCTTACTTCTTCTCTACACCGACATCTGTCTGTGTGCAGCCGTGGTAATTATTATTCAGGCCATTTGCCCTGAAGTTGGTAGAACTGGATAGAAATAGAATATTGGATATTGTACGCCCCATCGCATAAACATTTGAAACAAACACCTTTCAGATATCATCACTTTCATCCAGCACAAGCGCGCGAAGCTTATCATCATCCGCCCAATCCAGTCCACTCCCGACTACAACCGCGCTAGCGATATTCTTCATAGTTTCCCATTGCGCCTTGCGCCCCTTCAGATCCACTTCTAGCTCATCCAGTTGCGACAGTAGCTCAGGATCGTCAAGTCTCTCTCGCCACGACGAATCCTGTTTCGTGAGCTCCAGTAACTGTCGCACCAGCTCCTGGTTTTCACGATTAATCTGTATATTCTCTACTTCCAGGGTTGAGAGCTGTTTCATCACCAGGTCATGTGCTGAGGCTAGGTTCTCATGTGCGAGCGCAAGCACGTCGCGCCGATTCACCAGGCGAAGGAGTGCTCTGTAATTCTTGATAAGACTCGGGTTCTGGCCCGGCGGATTTGCATGGGTACATACCTTTCAGCAGGGGTCGTGGCCTTCAGGTGAACGGCTTTGAGGATCGGGTCGGTCATGAGGATCGTGTGGACTGCTTTCCTCCTGACCGTGTAGGTAGATCGCGCCTCCAGGAGCTCACGTTCTGCGATCGCGAGCTGTTCTTCGGCATTTTCGCCAGATAGTGTTTCCAATTCTTATCGGAAAAAGAAATTAGAAAAAAAAAGGGAAGAAATGAATGGCGAGCTATCGGACATACCCTGTTCGAGCACTGCTTTCTCCAGTTGTTGTTCCTGAATTTGGTAGTAGAGCTGGAGCACCAGAGCCTCCTTGTCAGATAAAGTCACGACATCGCGAGAGTCATCCGCAGCGTAGTCTAATAAGGTCACCTCGCCGGGTTGCAGGTGAGGCAACAAGCCATGTTTTGCAGCCATGGGCTTAGATCCCGTGGTGAATGGCGCATGATATGGAGAGGGCGGAGGCGGTGGGCAGCTTTCCCCGACAAGGTTGGACAAGGTTGTCAACCTGTAACCTTGCTGACCAGAGCCTGGATCGGGGGCTTCAGGACTCTCACTCTTTTATTTTCCTGTACCCTTCGTTGGGATTATTTATTCATATCTCTCAGTACTGACCGTCGGGTTTCTACGCTCGCTGGTGCGGAGGGGGTATGTCGTTGCACATCTACATTGCCCACACGGGTGAGCATTTCCTGGCTGATCCGGTAGCCTTTGCATCGTATGTACTCCATCTACCATGATCTATGATGAATAGAGATTTGTCTTCATTTTGTGCCTATGTGTGAGCCAGCTGACCACCTCTAGTCCGGATGCCTTGAAGTCATGGATTGTTCGCAACACCTCTATTCAGCCTCATAGGCAAATATTGATGACAGCTCGTGGGAAGAACGTTAAGATTCAAACGCTTGCCACCGAGGTACGATACCGTCTATCCCAGAGCCTAGCTTCCCTTGCAGTGTGCTAATATCTTATTATCACAGAACGAGATCTTCGTATATGACCGACAATACATCAGCGATCCCGGCGATGTCGAATTCCCGGAGCTTCCTCCGCCAGAACATTTCCAGCCTGGCAGTCCTCCAGCGACCCTCAAAGACCAGAATGACCTTCAAGCGTGGCGGAATCTCTACATGGCGCGACGCAGCTGGGCAATGGACTTGTCCAGCCGCTGTGGCTCGATTGATAAGAGCCTCCGAGAACATAACGAGCGGACCGATGTCATAAATCGTGCAGTGGGCGTGGCTCTCGAGAACCTCAAGTCCCATGTGGGGAACCTAGAGCACCGGTTCCAAGAAGCACAGTCATGGGCGAACAACCTCCTCGAAGAGCAAAAGGCCGCTCTCGATGGCTGGCAGCGAGCTCTTTCCACGTTGGATGACATTCCGGCTCGCAAAGACTTCCCACTTCTTGGACGTCCGTCCACACCTAAGATGGACAAGGATAGACCAACCGGGACGCTCCGTGACTTTGTCGATGTGGGTGAGGCTCAGCGGGCCGGGTCGGAGGCAGAGGGCGTGTCATCGGCCTTTAGAAGCAACGTCCATGATATTGGAAACACCATCGCTGACATTGCCTCGGATACCCAACGATTGGTCGACGAAGCGTTCTCTTCAAATGGAGCCAGTGTAGATGGGCTCTTGGAAGAAATGGAAACGATTGCCAAGAAGATTGGGTCGGATTATGAGCATGTTCTCAGCCTTCCAAACAATCAGAAGAACTTGGCCAATATTTCCAGACTTGCATTCAGTCATACACAGGACCTTCTTCCCTCGTTATTGGAGATCAGTGTCGAGCTTCAAACTGCACTGGAGCATGCTGTGCAGCGTCGAGGGGCCGCTGAGAAAACTGCCATTGAGCATATGCGCGCTATCTCCTCCCTTGAGTCCCGACTTGCCGATGCACATTCACGATTGGTCAATTTGGACGTGGGTAGCAACGCATTTGATGTGATCTACTCTGTCTTCCAGATGCCAATGGTGTATGGGTCTATTCTCATTGAATCAGTGCGGCGGCGGGAGTGGAGTGATAAGATCAAGACTGACTCACTGACGCTGGCCGAGGAGATGGCTATCTTGCGAGACGAGGAACAGCGCAGAAGAAAGAAGTGGCTGAAAAACATGAGTGACTTCGTTACCGTGACTGATTCCACAGCTCCAGGTCTTGAAGTCAACCTCCAGGGCCAAGATGACGAATGGCCGGAGGTAGCTCGCAAAGAGATCGAGTGCTATATCGACGATCTAAAGACGAATCATTCCTTGACGAAAGTGGCAGACGACTTGAGTCAGCAACTCAAGGAGCTGGACGCACCAAGCCGACAGCAAAGACGACGCGCGAAAGCTTTCAAACAGGGAAGTGTGTTTGATTTGAGCCGGAGCTCCATTCTACGCGCCGATGACTCTGTCCGCAGTCTGCAAGAAGAGAAGACAAAACTGGAAGAGAAGCTCAGAGGGTCAGACAGCCGTGTCCGAAAGCTGGAAGATCTCCTCCATCGACAGAGTCATCTTAGCCGGCCCTCAAGCGGCAATTTTGGCGCGCCGGACTTCCCTAGTTCACCTGCGTCTCCGCACCCTGATGCACTCTCAAGACGATCTTCGGTCTCCTCAAGACGGGTATCAGCAACCCAGTCTCCGGAAGACAAAGCACTTGTTCAGCGCATTGTTGCCCTTGAAGCGGAGTTAGCGACGGAGAGAGACGTCGTCCAACGACTTCACAAGGAAGCCCACGCTGAGCGTCAAACTAACTCTGACAAGTATCAAGAAGCCCAATCCACTAAGAAGGACCTTATTGGCAACCTAGAAGCCCGCCAGCGCGAGTTCGAGGATGAACGCCGATTCCTGGACTCGGAGCTAAAGAAGTACAAACTCCGCAACGAGGAAATGGAAGAAGAGCTTGATAGACTCATGGATAGCCGAGAACATGGCAAACGAGAAACAGATGAGCAGATACACCAGCTTGAGATTGAGCTGCAAACTGCTCATGCCAATGCCGCTGATGAGGCACAGAAGATTGTCGATCTTGATGCGAATATCACTGGCCTCAATTCACATATAAACGATCTTAATGCGCAGATTCAAGCTCGACAAGAGAATGAAGATGGACTGAAGACGAGAATCGATGAGTTCGAACACCGCCAAGCGGAGTTGGAGCAAAAGAATCAGGATAACTACCAGGCTCTTGAGGCTATCTTCATGAATCTCTCTCCTGGAAGCACCGTGCCCACTGAACTTCCCGACATCATCAAGTCTATTGAAGTTCTCTCTGAGGGCCTTTCGATCCATGCTCGCAGTGCGGAAACGAATGCCACCCAGGCTATCGCTGAGAACAAGATTCTTGAAGAACGAATTACTCAATTCGAGACGGAGGCGGAGGAGCAGACGAAGAACTTCCAAGATTGCGAGGTCCAATTGTCTCGGTTGAACGAAGAACTATCACAGGAACGATCAAAGCTCGCGAGGTTGACTGGTGAACTGGACCAAGAACGCTCGAAGTTCAATGCTCTGCATGATCAAATAACGGCCGAAGAGAGTAGCCCCGAAGCTCTGCGCGAACGAATTGCCGAAGGGGAACGAAAACACGCCGACTTGTCACGACAACTGGCTGAATCTGAGTTCCAGGCCCAAAGCTTGAAAGATCAAGCGGCAGAATGGGAAGGCAAAGCCGGCATGACTTCAGAGACGGAACAGCAGGCCGTGGCCCGGCTCGAAGCTCGAGGCACTAAGTCCCATGAGCTTTCAAGGCAGCTTTTCGCGCAGGTTGAGAAACTTGGAAGAATGCTCGAGCAGTTGGGTTTCACAGTTATTCAGCAGGATGGCCAGCTCACTGTCCAGCGCGCTTCCAAGCTCAGTGCCTCATTAAGCTTGGGCGAAAGCCTCGCCCAGTCAGGAATTGTCTCTATGAAACCAGATGCGGTGCTCCTTAGCTGGATGCAAGCCGAAAGTCCGGAGGACGAGGAGACTCAATTCTCGGCTTTCATGCAAAACTTGGCTCAATTCGACGTCGCCGTGTTTGGAGATGTCGTCGTCAAACGCGTCAAGGATATCGAAGTGTTAGCTCGTAAGTGGCAGAAGGAAGCTCGAGGCTACCGTGATAAATACCATCGAGTTCAGAGCGAAGCACACGACAAGATTGCCTATCGATCTTTCAAAGAAGGTGATCTTGCTCTCTTCTTACCCACACGAAACCAAGCTATCCGCTCCTGGGCGGCTTTCAATGTCGGCGCGCCACACTATTTCCTGCGTGAACAAGACACGCACAAGCTCCAAGCTCGGGACTGGCTTCTCGCCCGCATCACGAAGATCGAGGAGCGCGTGGTTGATCTTTCCAAGTCCTTGAATGGTGTCGCACCGGATCGTCGCTCTCTTGGAGACGCCAGTGACGGCGCCTCCCTAGACGACGAAAATCCATTTGAACTATCAGACGGTCTACGCTGGTACCTCCTCGAAGCCGTAGAGGAGAAACCCGGGGCACCTGCGACCCCAGGTCTAGCAAAGAGCACAGTTGCCTCCAACAATGTCGATGCTAAAGGCAGCATTCGTCTGAAGCGACCTACGGACGAAGGTACTGTTGCAAAGACCCTCTCAAGGAGCCTTGACAGCCGCCGTGAAAGTGCCAACTCCAAACGTGGAACGCCTACACCATCTCAGCACGCCTTCGAGTCCACGACGGATCTCGTGCGCCCTGCTGAAAGTGATGCCGGCTCGCAGCCTCGAGAGGCTGCCCCGATCTTCGACGAGGTTCGCCGTGACCTACTCTCCGGCCCGTGAAAAGTAGGATCTAATTTGATTTCCATCTTTTCCCGGGTCTGCTTCCTTGTTTTTCTTCGGGTCAGAGGCTAACACGCTTTCTTTGCCTCAGGAGCTATCGGTCAATCCCACAGGGGATGCGGCTTCGTCGCCCTCCCGGTCGACGTCCGGTCGTCGACAGAATGGCCGATCTCGCCCTTGGGAGAAATTGTGGTCGCTTGATTATCGACTTGAGGGTGGCGCATGAGGACTGTCGCTCAAGTTGAACGGAGTAGCGGAGCATCGTTCTGATTCATTTCGCTTTTACATTTTTCTTTTCTCCAGCATTGAGACTGCGGCTGTTGGTTTTCATATACGAGTCATTTGCCGTTGTCTTTATAGTTCAGATACCCAACAATGCAATTTACATTTGAATCTATCGAGCCTGGCATGGTCTGTTAGGGCTATTGAATCTGTCCGACAGCACTACGTATTCATTTTGAGTAGGAGTTCGATGCAGCTTGAAAGTGAATGCAATATGACACCTATAAGTCGCTAATCTAATTCACCCATTCCTTCCATACCGCCCATGTCGTCCCAGAAACTGCTAAAGTCCACATTCTCATCTTCGAACAGTTGCTTTGCCTGGAACATTGCAGACCGCTGCCGTTCCGGAGTGAAGCCACCGGGCTGCGAGCTTTCCCATTGAATCAACTCAACCCACCGAAGGAAGAGGTCTTCCTTGCCCATCTCAGTCAACTTATCCTTGAAAGCAAGAATCTGATCACGCTGCTCAGAACGCTGACGACCGGCAGGAGTATTCTCATCCCCAACACGCCAAATCAACCAGCCATCAGGATCAGTATGGACCAAGACCGCAGTACGGAACTCATCCATCTGCACCCCATCTCCCTGCCTCGTACGATCAACAAGTGCATGAGCCCGAATCATAGCATTATAATCCAAATTCCAGTCCTCATCCACAAGCAAATACCCCGTCTTCCCAATGCGCTCCGGCGTAACAGCAGCAATGATCTTATCACGCCGCGCCTCATCCTCCCGAATCCACTTATTGCGCTCAAGCTTTTGACTCCAGCTCCGGTGGCTGCGGCGCACGATGACCTCGCGCTCACGGAACCCCACCGCACGCCGCCAACGCACGGGCCCCTTAATAAAATTAATCGGCCATGACAGGAACATCGTCACGAGGAAGTAGTCGATCAGCAGGGTTCCCGTGCGCCGCAGCACGATTTGTAACCCCTCTGTCCACGGGGTCGTGGCCGTGTCCACTGTCATCGAGCTTTGTAGCCCGATTAGCGTGGCGATGAGGGCTGGGTATGTGCTGATTCCCTGGTATACACGTAGCGCGATCACGGCGCCGACTACTAGGTTGACGATGAGGGGGACGGTGAAGGTTTGGCGTTTTAGGTCTTCCGCTGTTATGTCCAGGTGGACTAGGTATACTTCTTTTGGGGAGAGTGGTTCGACGAAGGACTGCAGCGCTGGTGGGACTTTGATGAAGGGTGGAATTGGGCCTGAGACGGAGCTTGGTGTTGAGGCGCCGGATGAGCCTGGTGTTGAAGCGGGTGTTTTGCGACCTGATCGCCTTGCGGATTTTGCCATGGTGGGTTTGGTTGTCGGGTAGGGTTGGAAGTTTGAGGTGAAGAGTGAGCTCTGGAGCTTGAGCTTGGGAATGGGTTGCCTTTATCGAAGCTCTCGAGGTCTGAGGATCGACGCGATGAACGGGTCACATGTCAAGATGAAGGGTCATTTGCACACGAATTGTGCTGTGAGCTCTGATATATTGCAAGGTAGCAATAAATGTAGACAAAAGACAAGTCGAAGACAGTTGGGAATGAAGACGTAATTCAGAGAGGATTCCACAGGCTAACCACATCGGGGAATGAGTGGTCTCCGTATTTACTCCGGTCACTCTCTCCGCGCGTCTTCCTCCTTCACCACTCCTATTTTCGCGTTTCCTCTGCAAGGGGCGACCCTCGTCATGTCATCCGACAGGAAAAACCGAGTCTCTCGAGACAAAGCGCCGCGGTCGCCTTTCCAACACGCCTCCAAGTTCGATATAGATCAGTTCCCGTCGAACTTCAAGAATGATACGCATCGACGAGGCGCTCCCCGTCCCGGATCCTTAGCGGCAGCATACCACACTGCGTCCAGACAAGACATGCCCTTCACAGCCAACGAATTAAGCCCACAGGCAACAACACCCAGCCCGCGGCAGAAGCGACAGTCAATGAACGCGTTCTCTTCGACGTCCCCGAACTCCCCTCCGCCTCATGAAATCATGGACTCCTACAGACAGATTGAAGAAGATGGTACCCTGGCCGAGTTTGTGCGCGAGGATCCTTGGGAGCCGAAGGCTCGCTCCCCAGGTCGATTGAGCCGCTCCTCGTCTCGCGCAAGGGAGACGAACCACGCAATAGGGTCCCCAGAGGCCAATTCCATATCCGGTGCCAGTCTCAACGGTGATCTCGGCGCGTATCGACCGCCCAGGGCTCGGGACTATACCGAGGATGAAAAGCGTCTCAATCGCGTTACAAAAAAGGGATCGCCGGTTTTCAGCAGGGCGCATATGGGACGATCACCCTCATTGACGGCGGACAATCTACAAAGACGCGAACAAGAGAAGATTGAGGGGGAACAACATATTGTGGAGGATGATGGGAGCCGTGGTCCTTCGCTGAATCTACCTTCCAGCTGGGGCAGTCGGGCCAACTACCCACACGAATGGCAGAGAAAAACCAGTCAGCCTAGTGTTTTCGAGAAACAAGAAGAAACTAGGCCATCAAATCGGCACACAAATGGAGAGCGCGACCCGATTGCTAGGCCTGCTCGCACATCTCCTCGTTCTCTGGTGCGGAACGGTCTTCCTGCTAGGGGTGTTCTTGAGGAACGCACCGCTAACTCTCTTATTCAGGCACCGCAGGAAGATCTGGCATGGAAACAACCTCTCACCAAGCCTATTTTCCCTCCTGGCGACGGAAACCCCATTCCCAATAGCCCCGTGACTGTGTTCAAGAACGACACGGCGTACGAAGGCTCGAAGTTTACACGACCTAGTCCCAGCAAGCGAGGCTCGCGGGATTTGCTACGGAGGCTGTCCAGAGTTGAGGCGCCCAAGCCTGATCATATGAAGACTCCCGAGCCATCAAAGCTCTTTGGGGGTAAAATCTACGACCAGACCCCTCGGGTAACTGGGGCATGGATTGATACTCCCATGACTGAGCGGGTGGCAGATCGAATGCCTGAACTCCCTGAAGATTTGACTAGAGACATTGTTCCTCCACGGGCAACAAGTGAAAAAAAGACCGTTGCACCGCCTGCAAAACCAGCAGAGCCTGTCACGTCGAAGCCTGAAGAGACAATACCAGTCGAAAGCAAACAAGAGCAGCCTCCCCCTGAGCCCAAACCCGAGAAACAGTCCAGAGCCCCGTTGCCTCGGCCGCATCTGCCAAAAAGTGCACTGGAGGCTGTCATTGAAGATGCAAGCTCTGGCAAGGACGATGAATTCGGAAACGACACCCTTGAGTCTCTCCGAGGTATGATGGATGATGAAGATGGACCCGCCGAGCTCAAAGTCGAAGAAGGAGACGAAGAAGCCTACGAAAAGGCGGTCCTGGAGAAACTCGCACAGGCGGATACAGCACAAACAGACCAGGTCGATCTGGGCTCAGTTAATGACAAGTTAAACTCACTCATGAGACACATCAGCGAAGTGAAGAAAGGACTGGACGGTCTCGAAGGCCAAGTCAATCGAGCCGCAACCATTTCGAAATCAAGTTCTCCAACAGAGAAGAGCAGCAAACAACCATCACACATCCACACAGGCGAAACCTGCAAAGACTGCGGTACACATTCGGATGGACGTGTATACGCCGCGCTCCCTATTCCCCGACTGTGGAAGCGGAGCCCGATATCTCGACGCCTTCAAATGACCAACCTCGGCTGGTTTACTCTCATTTCACTCTCGTTGTATATCATCGAATGCCTCATGTGCGAACAATATAGCCGTCCCGAAATAGCTGAAACATGCGAGGGCTATTGTCTACGCCCCGATGCACCCTCCTTCCCATTCGTGACGGTGACAATGCTGTGGCGCTGGTCACATCTATCGACAGTTCTCACGCCTGTCTTTGCTATCCTCGTTTTTGTCTTCCGCCTGTTCACACAATTGCTCGGCTTTTCTGATGGATATATGGAGGAGACTCCTCAGCTTACGGGCCTTGTTGGTGAAATTCGTATTAACGGCACCCCTGTTGCTTTTCCCTGGCTGTCGGCGCCGACTGCTCAAGCTGTTGTTCATGAGCCTAAGCAGTCTATTGAACACGTGCGGCCTGTGCAGCCTGTACAGTCTGTATGGCCACCTCGGGATGCGCATCCACAGCGGTGGGAAGAGGACCAGGCCTCAATGGACGATGATGAAGTCCTTTAGCTACATAAGATTGTGTAGTATCTTGCAGCGTTTTACTTTGTCTCTTGCACTGTACGTCCGCTTAGGATGAGGTGGACGGTCATATATTGCGCGCCAGCGGAGACTTGATCAGATAGACCAGCAAGTCGTTTTCTCGGGAACTAGCCCATTGTGATTTTAGCTACCGCCCAATGCAATCGCAGATAGCGACTTGTGCTACATAAACATTCATTTAACGGAAATCTAGTACATAAAGCCGATGCACAAGCAGAGTAGAAACCCACGAAGAATCAAGGCTATATCATTATAATGCAAAAACAGGGTATACACCTTTAAACAATGCAAAGCAACCAAAAAGAAACACCATGGCCACTCATAGACGCGCTCTTTCATGCCACTCCTTCTGCATCTCCTTCTCCCCCTCCAATCGCCAAGCAGCGCTCTTCCGCATAAGAGCATCAGCCTCCTCATCGGTAGTCTCACAAACCTTCTCAATAGGGATCTCCTTTGTAGACTGCGCCTTATATGAAATATAAGTGAGGTTACCGGATGACGCAACACGGCCAGCCACAGCATCACGACAGAACCCAGCAAAGCTCTCGAAGAAACGGCGGCCGGGCGGCGTAGAGATCATGAGCAAACCATGGCAATGCGGCATACCCTCGAACACCTCAGCGACGAGAGGCACACCAGCCTGGTGAACACGACGCGCCACGATCAAACCCTCATCTGTGAGACCTTCCTCACCAGCCGAGATCCAGATAGGAGGTGCGTTCTTCCAGAGCTCAGCTGGGGCAGCGAGCGGAGAGACTAATGGGTGCAGAACCATATCGGCGTTGCAGAACATATCCACACGCGGCGGGGATGCAGGCCAGACCTCATCTGAGGGGAAGGGAATAGGCTTGAATGGGGTGTCTGCGCCTGGTGGTGCATGGAGGTAGTCGAACACCTCATTCTTGCGGGTTGATGGCATAGAGCGTGTGACGTCGCACCATGGTGAGACGGTTGCTACGCCGCCGGGTAGTTCGATGGGTATGTCTTTGCCGTGGAAGCGGATTGTGTGGGATGCGCGGTGGAGGGTCAAGAGGGTTTGGAGGAGGACTAGTGAGAGATTGCCGCCTGCGGAGTCACCTGCTAAGACGATCTTGTTTGCTGGCACGGGCTTGTGGAGGGAGCCCGCTGGTGGGTGGATGAGCGAGAGATAGGCTGTTAGGGCATCGACTAGACCTGCTGGGAATGGGTTCTGCGGTGCTAGGCGATAGCGGACGGACAGAACTGGGGCACCTGTTCGGTGGGAGAGATGTGCGACGGGGACACGGTGAGAGCATGGGTCCATGAGGCTGTTGGAATATGTTAGCTGGATATTTTATGCTAAAGCGTCGACGGGTACTCACAAGTAAGCGCCTCCGTGGAAGTATAAGATCGTCATATCAGACGGCGATTCCTCGCGCAGCTTGTGATATTTCTCCTCTTCTGAGATATCTGGTTGCGCTGTGCGCTTTCCCACTTTGCCGCGGTAGCCAGTCCATTCGGCTTCGACGGCAGCAACGTTGGGGATATCATATGTCTCGTCGCCGGTCTTGAGGTCCTCGATTGCGCGCAACACAGCGTCGCGCACGTCGACCTCAGGCTGCGGCAGGGTCACTTTAGACACCCACATAGGGCCCTTGATCCCAGGATCGCGCATGCTGTCTTTCTGCATTTTGCCGACCGGAGTGCTAAATGTAATGAATGAGCGGATAATGGCGACCGTTAACTCAGTGCGCAAGTCCTGCTTTCCCCTCACGGGGGACATTCGAATGCCATGCAGGAGAATGGTCTTTAGGATCAATGGGATCCTGACCAGCATGGCCTTTAAAGGGCAACAGGCCGCTTGAGCGAGCTCATGGCGACAAAGAGCGAATTGAAGCACTGGCTCCCGCAAGAATGAAGAAACAAATTGGGAGGGGAAAGAGTATAGAGATAGAGACATGCCCTAAACCGGATTTAGCCGCCAGTGGCGTCACTGCCGAGGTCCACCGTGCAGGCATAAACATGTTTAAGCTTGCATTGTAAGTCACTTACTGTTTTGGGAATATGATTGAATTTGAGATTTAATTATATGGTATGTACGGCATGCCCCTAACGGCTTTTTGATACATGATTGAATATGTTCAAATTATTGCCCTTACATACGCATGCCTGCATGCAAGATCTCCGGGAGTAAGGCGAAGGAGACGCATAGAACCGAAAAGTGCCAGCCATGTGAAATGTCAAAACACTATGCAATCATATGCGCATATAGAAAGTCTAGGTTTCTGCGATATCTGGCTTCACTGAAGCCGCTGGCTGTGCAAGGTCCGACACAATTTGACTGTCAGGAGGGGAGGTCTCATTCGGCCGGCGAAGAGGACTTAGCTCCTTCTGGTAGACGTTTTGCTCGGAGTCTTTCAGTCCCGACCCAGTGGGATCTCTCCGAATAAGGAAACCCTGCACACGAGCATCATTCGAATCCATCTGCTTGACGGTGTTGTCTTTCCGGCCATGCAAGAAGCGCGCCGACTCCTCGTTGACCTGACGCAGTTTATCCTCGAAACCAGTATTCATCTTTCCGATCCATGATGCTTGAACAGCACCTCCGAAGAGCACCAAGAGGATCACTAGCCGGGTGAAGGTGCGTTGGTCGACAACGTGCTGCTGCGGGCCGTTGTGGCGGTTATTCCACCGTTCCCAATCTTCCCATGTGGCATTCGCATATATACTCGGCCCATGTGTGTTCCAGCCAGCTGTATCTTGTACTGCGTGGTTCCATCCAGTGCCGGTTTGGTCATAAGCAGCTCGCTTGATGGGATCGGAAAGGATCTCATGTGCGTCCACCACGATCCGATAGCGCTGTACCCGAACTTCGGCCGTCAATTCTCCAAATAGTGGATGATCTTTGGTGAAGGGTCGATCGGGGTGATAGATCTTAACAAGGTCGTAGTATGGTCTCTTCGAGTATGGAGCGCCGCGGGGAATGTTCAGGACGTCGTAGGGAGTGAAAGACAGATTGCTGGGCCATACGTAGTTCTGATGAGAGAATTGTGAGGCAGTTGCATAGCTCCTGCTTGTGTGTGGTTTATGTAGTCCATGAATTTGAGCAGTTTTCCTATTGAAATGGGCAAGTGGCGAGGCTGTCAAGCTCAGTAGTGGCACGCCTCCCCCACGAAGAAGGTTGGATTTCTTGAGCATGGCCGCATCATTCGGCTGAAAGAGAGCACGGGGAGACTCCGTTATGCTCTCTTCTCAAAGTAGTCGTGTTGAAGGAAGGAAAGCTCCCCTCACTTAGCCTTCGGCCCGGCCGCGGAGATGATCACGTGTGGCCGTTGGAGCTCCAAAGATAACGCAATACTTATTGCTTCTACCACCACGTCTGCCACCACGCTTTCCTTTTTGCGCAGATCCTTTACATCGGGAAGGATGGCCAGATCTGACGATGAAGACCGTCGCGACCGCCAGCGAGGTTCATTTACCTCGCCCTCAGCCATAAAGCGCGAACGGCAGCGAGATGCACCCCGAGACGACGATTATTCAAGCTCAAGACGACGTGACGACGACCGCCGAAGCTCCCGACGAGACAGCCCTCGACGGAGATCCTCTCGCAGCCCCCGGCGCCAGCGCAGGGAACGATCAACAAGCTCAGCGGGTGACCGGCGCAGACGTAGACATTCTCGCAGTCCCCGACGGGAGCGCAGAGAACGGTCAACTAGCTCCGCAGCAGAAGACCGCCGCAGACACAGACATCGCAGCCACCGACACCGTGACACTCACGGAGATGAAGAACGATCATCTAAGAGACGCCCGCGATCCCGTTCTCGCTCACCGCGACCATCACGCAGCTCCCCACCGCGTGCATTGCAACGCAGCGGCCCGCTGCCTTCACAATCGGATGCTTTTACCGATGTGGCACAACCTGGAGAGGCACCTGCACCAGAGAAACAAAAGCCCAATTTCAACTCTACCGGCAGGTTGGCGGCAGAAAGCAATACAGTTCAAGTCCAAGGTGGAGAAGGAATTGTTCTGAAATACCATGAGCCTCCAGAGGCACGCAAGCCACCAGCAAAGGAAGCTTGGCGTATGTATGTCTTCAAGGGAAAAGATCTGCTTGAAACTGTGGAATTATTGGAACGCAGCTGCTGGCTAGTCGGCCGCGAGCGATCCATTGTGGATTTCCCTCTTGACCACCCCAGTTGCTCGAAGCAGCATGCTGTGCTCCAGTTCCGATTTGTCGAAAAGAGGAATGAATTCGGTGACCGCATCGGAAAGGTCAAGCCTTACCTCCTCGACCTTGAGAGCGCCAATGGCTCTAGCGTCAACGGGGAAACCGTTCCAGCAGGTCGCTACGTGGAGGTCATGGACAAGGACGTGATTCGCTTTGGATTGAGCTCCCGGGAATACGTTCTGATGCTACCCCCTAGCTGAACTCGGATCATTCCAACTTCAATTTAAGAGACCCGGAAGAGCCCGAGTGGATGAAATCACAACTGAAATGAAAGATTTAACGGCAATAATATTACACTCGATGATTACCAGTCATGCAAAATCAACAGATCTGCGGCAGAAGATTAAACCCTTTACATGCGGTTCTTAGCCTCCTTGGCCTTCCCTTCAACCGTACCCATTGCCTCTTTTGTCTTCCCCTTGGCCTCGCCTAGAGCTTCCTCTGCCTTCCCCTGTCCTTGGCCAGCAACCTTCGCGGCATCGCCCTTGGCCTCCTCTCCCTTGGCCTTAGCATGCTGGGCTCCTGCGCCAACAGCCTCCTTGATGGTGTGGGCAGCTTTCTCTGTTGTGAAACCTATGTTAGCACCTGTCTGTTACATCTACGGGATCTCTGCAATGTAAACATACCACCCTGGTTAATTCCCTTCACTGCTGCATCAGATACTGTCCGATCAGCCTTCTTGAGTGTGTCCTTGGTTGCATCGATAGGTCCCTTGTTGTACGAAGCTGTAGCAGAAATAGATCGGATCGCCTGGAAGCCAGGAGTGGGAGCTACCACACGAGTTCTGAGGAGGGGAGCGAAGCGTGCTGTGGACATGGTTGTGGAGATGGTTGTTGTGAATAGTAATATGGTGATGAAGTTGTTTGAGAGTATGGAATTGATCGAATGTTTAAAGTCCAGACCGGTATCAAGCAGTCCTTAAGTAGTCGCCTCATCAAAATAGAGACTGGTTTATGCTTTGTCGCCGCTTTCGAAGAGTTGGCCTTCTCTACGTCATCAGTATGTAGTGTCTCTTACGTCAGACTGGATTTTCTTTAACTTGGTTGTATGGTTAAAATCAGGTTTAACATTGGTCACTGGAGATAATTTCCATTGGAAATCATATCTGGTAAAGTTCCTTCTAGCTAGAAAGCGTATAAGTTAAACATTTGTGACCCTTCGTTGTATATCGGCTATAGCGGCCATGAAGTATAAAACCTAATTGTAGCCAAGCATAAAGTCTTCAAATCTTGGTTATTGTCCAAGCACATTTTCAAATCGCTCTATAAAGCAAACGTGTACTCTTTATGCTTCTCTTCTGTTCTATATCTACTTCTTTATCATATTATGAGCACTGTCTGGAATTGCTTCCTGGGAGCCCAGGCCTCTCTAGTCGTCGAGCTAACGTTAACTAACTAATTAATGTTAGTACAAAAGTTGGAGCAAGTTCTCCTGGCAGATAATCCGTCACCTTTGTTCATTCTCCCTGGTCTTCGCGTATCGCCTCTCACAAAATACGGTAAATCATGCGCAGTATGCGATTGAGTCCCTGTGATAACCAGTATCCGGTTTGCCCTCGCAATGCTTCGTTACAGACACTCTCAGAAAAAAACAATAATACGTCGAATTGAAAGGGTGATTTTGACCAAGGCGATGTCGAATGGGAGTATGTTTAAAGATTGTATAGCCGAACTGGTCAGTCTGTTGGTCAGAGGCACGCTTCTTAACGCGAACGTCGTGCTTTAGATATCACGCAAACAATCCGAATAAATTAGACAAGCTTAAACTAATTGGTCTCCTGACAAGTCTTCAAATGAGTTATTGCCTCAGATAAAGACCACCGCCTGTGAACATCTTCTTCCGTCAAATGTTCGGCAACGAACTTCAGAGCCATCGTAAACGGGCTGTTCCCAGCGCTTGAAGCTATTTCGTTCAAGGGTTTTCCGTAGGCCCAAACGCCATTCCGTAGGGGAGTTTAAAATGGAAGATCAAAGTCACATTTTTCAGCCCATATTTCTAAAGCAAGCCACTCACGTGTTATTCCGCTGATGCCGCCGATATCAATGAGAACCGCACTGCCACTGTCGTCTAGAACAACATTTGAGGGCTTTATATCCGTATGGGTTTTCTTTGCACGGTGAATAATGCTCAAAGCATTCCCAATTTGTATAGCTCATTGCTCCCAGCCGAATTCCCTTACACGCTCTTCATTTAGTACACATTTTAAGGAACCACCGCTATTGTCGAATAGAACACCGCTGATGACCATTTGTTGGAAACCTATTTGGGAAGTCGCATGCGGGTTGTTATAACCGCAATACCAGCTGGCTGAACGATCCCAGTCACACCTTTGGACTGTTCAAGCTTTTCTAGTTCTGTTCGTATAACATCCGAGTCGTGTGGTATGTAAGGGAGACGGTTGGCTGCCTTGATGATATACGTGGTTCTGTCGCCCTCGTGTAGAACCTGGGACCCTCTGTCGGTGATCTCATCCTTTTTCTATCAATTCTGCGGCATCGACAGCTCGGAGTGACAGGAATTCGAGACGTAGCGGATGGTCTGCCTTCAATGGGTCCTCCCTAACATAGGATCATAGGGTTCTGGTGAGCTTTGCAAACCGATTGGTGTCTTCCGGTTTGCGACATAGATTGACAGGTTCAGTTTTTTTGTTTTCGGGTCTTCGCTCAAGATCAATTCAGTCACAGTATCATCTAGGAAAGCCATTGTATGAAAATTGATCAGTCTGACAAAGTCTGGGAATCTTTTGGTCGACCGGGTTTTGTCCTGATTTGCTCTAGATCGGCATCGGGAGGAAAAAGAGGAAGGCGTGCCTAGAAAAGCTGGTTGATCCACCATTCTTCGAGAGAAAGGGCAGGTCGTATCCCTTGTGTTACCGGGGCTTGGCAGGGTTGATGTCGGTAAGTAAGGCTCAAGTATAGACCATTACTGCTGCTAAGTGTAGGCAGGCCACTTGGCTACGACGGGGCGCTTAGCTTGTATAGTTGGACTTGCTTTATTGTATACGTATCTAGCGCCAAGTAATATAACCATGCAATCCACAGTATCTCATCCTTGCCTAGTCGACAGGCCCATTTTCCCTGCCAGGGGTTCTCGTACTTCTTTCTTCTACGAAACCAACCATTGTGAGTCATACGTCTGCTAGGGCTTTTTTTGGCGAGTTGTCGGGTCCTCGACTTTCATTCGCTAGTAACTGTGGCAGTGGCAATGAATACGGCGGATGTAGGCTCTAAGAGTAGGGTAGGCGAGATGCGGCTAAACCCGGAGATTTTCCCATAACAACCTGAACAAGAAGCAAGTGCAGATTCACCTTTGTGCTTTTGCCATTAGCTGACATTAATATATGATAGTAAAGGCGACAAACACGAGCGCCACCAAGGGTGAGCATCACTGCTGCCTTGCAAGATCACGTCTCGGGCTGATATTGTAAGGGCGTGAAACTTGGCTTGCACTTTAATAGAATGATACCGGACGAATTCCGGACGAACTTGAACTATATTTTTGCCTGTAAGCTATGCCTTTGTCCGCTGTAAACGGCTCGGTACAATATCTCCCCGGTGGATCGATCCTTGTCCCATAACTGTTATAGCGCAAGCCCATATAAAAGTTAGTGTATACCATTCGGACTTAGGCCTTTGTGTCTCCATCGTGGGGCTCTTTATTGATCAAGCTCGTATTCACAAGCGCTGAGTGGTCCAAACGTGGCCCGATCCACGGTTACATTGGACCGAAACCTATCTAAGCACTAGCGCTTGTCAAAACCACATGGACCCTGTTCTCGGGCCTTTTTTACGATGACTCCTTTTGCTTTAAATCTCTTCCCTTTCCTCTAGTTCTCCACTACGCCAAAAGTCCGATATCTTGTTCTGCTTTGTCTATTCTGTTCTGCCTATTCTGCTCTGACCTGATATCAGGAATGGTGTCTACGGCTATGTCCGATCATGCTATGCATGAGGATCCAGAGAAGGCTGAGGCATTCAGTGACCCTCCCACATCGCCACCGCTAGCAAAAGAGATGGGACACACATTAGTTCAGACTGCTACGGCAGAGCCTGATTCATTACACTCACCAGTCGAGGCTGTCAATACACGTGAAGATGGCACAGAATATCCCACAGGCCTCAAGCTGGGGTTGATTGCACTGGCCTTGTGTCTAAGTGTCTTCTTAGTGGCACTTGGTACGTTTGCCTCATTGATATAACATCATTGGACTAGTGCTTACTTTACCTTGCAGACAACAGTATCATCGCCACAGCTATTCCCAAGATCACAGATAAATTCCATAGCTTGGAAGATGTAGGCTGGTACGGAAGTGGTATGTAGAAAGCCGATATATCGGAGTATAGAGTTGAGCTAATCCCTTCCCGTTCTGTTTACAGCCTACCTCCTTACCACGGCGTCTCTCCAACTCCTCTTTGGAAAGTTTTACAGCTTTTTCAGTATCAAATGGGTCTACCTCATCGCCATCGGCATTTTCGAGTTGGGAAGTCTCATCTGCGCTGTGGCAAACAGCAGCTTGACCCTTATCATTGGCCGTGCCGTTGCTGGTATTGGCTCAGCCGGTATCTTCTCGGGTGCCTTGATTATCCTAGCCCACTCGGTAGCTCTTGAGAAGCGCCCCATGTACAGTGGCTTTATTGGCAGCATGTACGGCATCGCTTCAGTTGCAGGTCCTCTTTTGGGAGGCGTCTTTACTGATAAAGTGTCGTGGCGTTGGTGTTTCTACATCAACCTGCCTATTGGTGCTATCACTGTCGTGGTGATTGCTATCTTCTTCCCGGCTCCAAACCGCCAGATCAAAAGCTCGACATGGGCAGAGCGCATTAGGAAGTTTGATCCTATGGGCACATCTCTTTTCCTCCCTGCTATCATTTGCCTGCTACTGGCCCTGCAATGGGGTGGCACAACATATCCCTGGAGCAGCTGGCGCATCATTCTGCTATTCTGCTTCTTTGGCGTCTTGATCTTGCTCTTTGTGTTCGTTCAATGGACACAGCAAGAGTATGCCACGGTGCCTCCTCGCATATTCTTCAAGCGCACTGTGTGGTCCTCAGCCCTCTTCAGTTTCTGCCTCGGCGCAGCGTTCCTCTGCTCTGTCTACTTCCTGCCCATTTGGTTCCAGGCCGTGAAGGGCGCCAGTGCCGTCAACTCAGGAATCATGAACCTGCCTATGTTGATCTCGGTCGTGGTTTTATCTGTTTTGTCGGGCATAATCGTTACTATCGTCGGCTATTACGCACCTTTCATGATTATCGGTACTATCATGATATCCATCGGCTATGGTCTCATGACCAAGTTCCACCCAGATACCTCCAAAGCCGTTTGGATTGGTTATCAGATTATTGCGGGTGCTGGTGTCGGATTTGGTATGCAGCAACCTATGATCGCCGTTCAGGTTGTCCTTGACATTGTTGATGTGCCTACCGGTACTGCCATCATTGTTTTCGCCCAGACCCTTGGCGGTGCTCTTTTTGTTTCGATTGGAAACAACGTCTTCAGCAACAAGCTGGTTCAGTATCTCGCTGAGTACGCTCCCACTTTGGACCCAGCTAAGATCATCAGAACCGGCGCCACCAGTGTTCAAAGTGTTGTCAGCAAGGCAGACCTACCGGGTCTCCTCCTTGCATACAACGATGCCATTACCCAGACTTTTACAGTCTGTGCAGCTGTGGCCGCTTTGAGCGTCCTTGGTGCAGTAATCGTGGAGTGGAAAAGTGTCAAAGGCAAGAGTCTTGCAGCAGGAGGAGCAGCATAATTGGCATTTTTGCCCAAATAACGAGCATGTAAAATAATAGACAACTCTCGACTAATATAATCTTTTTCCACATTCTCTTTCACATGGATCTGCTCTGTATAGATGACAAGGCTAACCCTCCAGCAGCTAACCCAATCCGTCTTAGCCTGGTGAACCCCAGATAAGCTGCGGAGAACATCACCTGGGCAGACTGGACTTCAAACATCTCTCATTCTGTCTTTATAATGCCGAGTAAACGACGTATCCTCTCTTGCCAGCCATGTCGGCGCTTGAAAACGCGCTGCGAGGTTCCGCCGGGGTCGAGGCAATGCGCCCGCTGCATGTCTTTAAGGTAAGCTGGTGGGGGGTCTGCCGAGGTTGTCTATTTTTGGGGACTGACAGGTCTTGGATAGGCTCGAATGTTCCCTTCCCGCTACATCTGCAATTACTAGTCCAGAGAGGGGTTCCGTTCAACCTGCTGAATGTCATTGCGCAAAAAGGTATACCTTATACATACGCCGAAGCCCTATCTATGTTATCAGTGACATACTAACCGATATCAGGCTTGATGCCATTGAAGCCTCACTCGCTGAAATGAAGCAATTGTTGAGGTCCCACCTTGGACATGACCAGTCCATATCAACAGGCCCCGATAATGTTTCTAGAGGCAACAGTACTCTGACCACGATAAAGGATCTCGACGAAAACGAAGATAACATAGTGCTACCAAATCCAACAGCCGATCTTCATCCTGCACCGATCACAGTCGTCCGCCATGTTGGCAATCTAATCACAGAACCCGAAACAAACGGAGAAAACGACTCCATCTTAGGACATATGACCGAAATGGGTCTAGATTCCGAGAACTTCGCCTCTGTTTTCCAGCATGGCTTCGAACAAATAGCATCATGGTACCCGTTCCCGCACGAAACAATGTCGGATCTCAAACAAAACTACCCTCTACTTTTCGCGATGTGTCTGCTGGCAGGGTTCCGCGCAACAGCTGGTCTCAACCGCTCGAATCTCCACGTTACACTGCATTCAATGGTCAAAACTCATCTAGGCATGAAAGCCTTAGACACGCCAATTGGCCTCACTACGATCCATGCCATGCTTATATTCAGCGCCTGGAGTTTTGGTCCTCTGGTGCCAGGTGGTAGGTATATTGACAGCTGGTTGATGAGTAGCACGACTATCACCCACTGCATGCTTAGTTTCTCTCTTCCTGAGCTTGGATCTCTTACTTCCTTCTACGACGATACGAGTCGGAATATGTGCAGGATGTGGATACAGGCTTCTCTGGTACATTTGAAGTATGTGCTATATCAACTTATCCTCAATATGGGCAATCTCAAAGCTAACTATCAACCTAGATTTGCGATTGGAACTGGTCGGCCATCCGTGGTCTCCTGCGACCGTCTCCGTCTGTGGACGGAAATTGTCAAATACCCGGGCTTCGAAGCTTTTGATCAGATCATTGCAGCAGAGCTCAAAATCTATATCATTCTCTACGAGGTCATCTACAACACTGCTAACTCGGTGGGCGAAGCCTGGGAAATGTTAACTAGATGGAGCCGAAAATATCTTGCCGGTATGAGCCCTCACTCAAAACACTGAAAGACGTAGTTAGCTGAACTTCAATCACAGATGGGAATAGCGTATTGACATGGGCACATTCCTGCGTCTCACTCATCTTATCACGCTGGGAACTAGCAAAACAGCACCAAGGCATGTCCCCCGGCTCACTGCACCACAACAAATGCATAAAGGACTTGACCCAAACCGTCATTCGCCATGCGCAGGTCGTACTGAGCGAGATTTTAATGTTCGGCTCATCGGACACTGCGTTCGTCAGACCGACCTATGATTACTTGCTCAGTGCATACGCGGGCGTCACTCTCGCGGAATACTCTTCAGATATATCTGATATCCACGCGACATATACATTAATGGAGAATGTCCGGACACAGGCCAGGATACCGCGGAGTATTGAGGGCGTTTTCAACTGGGCAACAAATGTTGTTCAAAAAAAGGCACGGGACTACTTGGATTCAAGTGTTTCGATTAATTCGGGGGATACTTTGTATTCTTATCCTATGTCTGTGGCGGATTGGGCGCCGTTCCGGTTTATTGATTCTATGCCTTCGTCTGGATGGGATGGGTTGGAGGAGTCTATGCGACCGTTTTAACGGATATTCCACTCGTTCTATATAAGTTATATGACAGCATTTTACACAACAGGAGTCTGTTATCAAAACTTTTACGTTTATGCACTGATGGGCCTGCCCGATGACAGCTCGAGCCGATTGCGGTGCCACTAAATGCAGTTGTGAGAATACGCAAAATAGAAGTATGAGAGAATCAACTAACCTTTCCACAGGAGATAGGCTCATAAAGAGCAGGATGGGCCTCATCAACACAAGAAGGCACAACCTGACAAACTGAATCGGGATTGAAGCCCAAGAAAAAGGGCATAGAATACCTAGAGGTAGACTGACGATTATAAACCCGATGCACAGTGGACTTAAACCGGTTATTCGAAAGACGCTGCAAGAAATCCCCGATATTAACGACAAGCGTGCCGGCAATAGGTCGAGCATCGAGCCACTCATCGCTAGCAGAAAGGACCTGCAACCCTCCCGACATATCTTGCCACAGGAGAGTTAGGCACTGGATATCGGTATGCGAGCCTATGCCGACATCGACATCGGTTTGATCGTCTTCGAGCGCATCTTCTGTGCCGGGATAATGCACGTAGAGACCGTCTGCGCCGGGATGGGTCGTCACTCCGTCAAAGTAGTCCTCTGGCATGTCCAATGCGAGCGCGAAGATGCGCACCATCTTGCGTGCGAGGGCGAGGCGGCGCTGGTAGAATTCGATTGTTGTTTCGCGGAATCCCGGGAGGTGGCTTGTTCCCTCCCATTTCAGATCGTCGCCGCCGTATGCGTATCGTTCGTCTGTGAGCAGCGACTCTGGGTCGGAGATTGTCGGGTCGTTTTTGGGGTTGTAGCGCACGGAGAATGTCTCTTTGCGATCTTTAGGGTTGGTGGTTAGTGGCTGGGATGTTTCACCCGGAATGAGAGGGGAATTACCTCGTGTTTCAGTTTTATTTACTTGAGTTGTCCCAAGTCCATGCCAGCCATCTGAGAGTTTCGATTTCTTACTTGAAACCAGCTCTTTCTTCTCGTCTGGCTGATTGAAGAAAGTTTTGGCTTGCGATAGAGCATTCTGGATAAGCTCTTCTGCAATTCCATGGTTTTTGATATAGAAGAAGCCTGTGTTTTCGGCCGCTAATTTTATCTTGGATGCGATGGCCTTTCGGTCTTCTATATCGCCATCAATCGAGGAAAGATCTATGATCGGGATTTCATCTTCGGTCGGGGGTCGCGGGGGAGCAGTAGATACTCGGCGGTATTCAGGGCCGCTCAGTGTGAGCAATTCGATCTGGGTGTATTCCATTAGGGTTGCCATAATTTGCTTAATCGCTGTACAGACAAGTTGCTAAGTTGCAGGTAAGATAACCAATGCGAAGTCGGGTGTATTTAAGAGAGTCCCCCGCATACTTCGACACTTTCCCTGCAAGTCCGACCGATAACCGTCGGAGTTGCGGAAAAGCTCGGCCTTTTCGACGCCCATATGCTTGGCTTTTTGATAAGGTGATACGCTGCAGTCTGTTGCATTTAGTGTGATAGCAGGGGGTCTGGCGTGGGCAGTTGACAGGCTCATAACCCAGGGGACTTTCTTATCGCCTCAAATAGCCCTAAACCACATGCGCATTCCTCTCCTCATAACTGCAGTCGTTCCCCTTCTCACTGTTTTCGCATTGCATCTGTGACCAAGCGCCATCATGTCGACGCTAACCCGGCTGCATCAACGATTGATTGTCAAAAGGACAGAGCAAGATGGCATCACTCGCCCCGTGGACATGCTGGACAATTCCTCCATCCGACCCACCCCAATTAAAGACAGAACATGGTCCCAACTCACCTATATCATGTTCTGGTTTTCTGCAACCGCCAATGTCAGCAATCTCTACACGGCTTCCACGGGTATGTCCATGGGTCTGACCATGTGGGAAGCGATCGGCTGTTCCTTTGGCGGACAAATCCTGGCCGGTGCCTTGATGGCCCTGAATGGTCGTGCTGGTGCCATGTATCGCATTCCGTTCCCTGTGCTTTGTCGCTCCAGTTTCGGTACATGGGGTGCCCTGTGGCCGACTTTTAACCGTGCGGCTATGTCGATTGTCTGGAATGGTGTCAATTCCGTTCAAGGCGCGCAGTGTCTATAGTGAGTATTTGCTCTCTACCTCTTCTCAAAACGCGATGTGTTGGCGGAAGGACTTACGCTCGTTTAGTGTCTTCCTGCATGCCATTTTCCCTTCAATTGAGAACATCCCAGATAAAATGGGTTCTAAGTCGGCTTTGACCTCTGCGCAGATGATGTGCTTTTTTATCTACTGGTATAGTAATCTGCTGTCCATTTAAATACATTCGCGGCTTACAACTCTGCAGGCTCGTCAACTGTGCATTTTTAATTGTACCCGTTCCAAAGATGAAATCCCTGGTCTATGCCAAGGTTGCCGTCTACTTCTGTGCGGCATTTGCTATGCTTGGATGGACCGTATCTCTGGCCGGTGGCTCCCTAAAGTCACTTAATGCGCCCTCAAAAATCCAAGGCACCGAAAAGAGCTTCTTAATCTTCAAGTTCTTATTCCTCGGGCTTGCTAGCTGTGGAACTTTCATCTCCAACGCGTCTGATCTCCAGCGATATACTACAAAGCCTAATGATGTTCTCATTGGTCAGATCGTCAGCTTCCCACTATCGAACTTCCTAGTTGCTATTCTGGGAAATCTGATTGCTTCATCCAGCAAGGAGATCTTTGGAGAGGTTTGTACTGCTGATTTCCACAAGAAAATATCAAGCTAACATGAGCTGCAGCTTATCTGGAACCCCTTGGCCTTCCTCGACAAGTTGATGGAGGGAGAGCGTTATACCCATGGCAACCGTGCCGCCTGCGCCTTTATTTCCCTGGCATTCGTCTACTCGACAGTCTTCTCGGCCATCTTCGAGAACTCCATCCCGTAAGGATGCACCATCCACCCAAGAAAACCAGAGAATGTCTAACATATTCCAGCGCTGGCAACGACATCGCAGCCCTACTACCAAAATACATCACAATCAAACGAGGCTTCTTCATCTGCGCCGGTAAGAACACACACACCCTTCAAAAAAGAAACCACCGCTAACAACACCCAGTCCTCTCCTACGCAATCTGCCCCTGGTACCTCCTAGCAAGCGCCTCAATCTTCATAACCTTCCTATCATCCTACCAAATCTTCCTCTCAGCAATAACAGGAATCCTAGTCTGCGACTACTACCTAGTTCGCCGCGGTTACCTCAACATCCCAGCGCTGTACATCTCAAAGCCAAGTCCATACAGATACTTCCACGGCTTCAACCCGCGCGCCTTCCTCGCCTATGTCGTGGCTATAGCGCCTAACTTCTACGGATTCCTGCACCAAATGGGCGTCAAGGCGCCCGTGGGCATCCAGCGGTTCTATTATATCGCCTATCCCACGGGATTGATTATTGCTTTTGGGGTTTACTATTTGAGTTGCTTGGCTTCTGCTCCTCCTGGCATGGAGAAGGGGATTGGATGGATGGAGCCGAAGGATTATGTTGAGGACTCGGATGTTTCTGGGGGTGAGGGATATAATACTATAGATGCTGTTGGGATCGCTGAGAAGGGAGCCGTGGCGGTTACTAAGGCTGATGTTGGTGAGAAGGGAAGTTATTAGTTATTAATGGGTGGTTTGTTATGGTCTTTGGGAATTTGGGCTTTGAGCGATGGTGATCGGTGTTTTTTTTTTAACTCTCGTGGGGGTTTTTTTTAGTAGTTAATTTGGGCTCTAATTTCTTTCACGTTCAAAACAGATGGTGCTCGTACAAGTGATATGCATTTGGTTTGATAGGAAGCGTTGAAGAATTGCATTCCATGCTTTGCTCCTTGAGCCACCTCTAGATGCTATGGTTTTGGTGAATTAATGCAATGCCGAACTCCTGTCAAAACGATGTTTCCGGGTATCATTCAACCCTACCTTTGATGATGAACGCGCGATCAGATGCAGATTAGAACAGCAGATGCAACCAGGTGATAATAGACAGATAACGCATTACACCGTTGACCGTAATTATGCAAGCGCACAGAAACAAGGAACGATAAAGACAAACAGGATTATGAGATCAAGAGAATCGCATACCGAGACCATCATAGCTCGGACGTGAAGGCGAGCTTCCACTTCGTGCTCGTCTTCCATACACCTCCAGTGGTGGGGCAGGTGCATACAAATGACCATCGTGCTGTATTAAAGGACCAGATAGATTGGGATGATACAGTTGGTACTGAGGTACGTGACGTGGCGCCTGGAGCCGAGCAGACTCGCTCAGCCGGTGACGTGGATCTCGGACATCGACGCGGTAGCCGCCGAAATGCAAGTACTGTGAAGGCTCAAGTTCAGGCTTGAATCCCGGCTCGGTGAGCTTCAGTCGTTCATCCATTGACCCTAGTCGCCCGTGTAATGGTGGTGGGCCAGCGATGGTAGGGTCGGACGGGAGAGCGCTGCCCGCCAAAGGCAACTCGGCTGTCCAGCTTCCGATTCCGGAGGATAATTGCTGTTGTTGGATGTGTGGAGGTACAGCAGATGCTATTTCTGGGGGCTGGTGTTGAAGATTTGGGACTGGTGAGAACCGCGGTGGATATCGTACGGGTTCGGTCGCCCACGATTGATGTGAAAACGCAGATGAGCCACGCGATAGTGCTTCTGCAGTTGGCCGCTCGGGAGCAGACCCCATGGGTAGGCTTGAATTTTGTGACAGCGGGAATGAGCCCGGCATGATTGCAGATGGATGAGAAATGGCACCAGGTCCGGGGAATCCCGGTGGGGTGCTTGTGCCTGATGTTCTTGATGGTCTTCTGAGATTCGGGATGCTGATAGCAATGTTCTCATCATAGGGTAACGGTGGCGGGTATGGAAGGAGGGATGGCACACTTGCAGACAAAGTCCGGGGGATTTCGAATTGGGCGATTGAGGCACGGCGAGAATGAGATCGTGATCCAGGTGCAGTGTGATAGTCAACGTCACTCATTTTATGACCAAAAATATTATCACCAGGCTCACTGTATGTTGACCGACTCATAGGTTCCACTAACAATTCGTGGGAGCTCAATTCATGAGAGAGTGGTGACGCGAAGGCATATCCCATTTGACTGTCAAGCGACTCAGTGGAAGGTTTCACCTGTACGCTACGAGCAGGATCTAGCGCGTGTGATACAGGCACTGATGATGGACGTTTCACAGCTGACTCCACCTCTAGGATTCGCCGGGTGGCCACATTTGCATATGTCGGCATATTCTCGTTGCTCGCTGGCGGATTCGTTGGCGGAGAGGTAGTCGTGTGCTGTGAACTTTCAGAGGACGCCTGGGAGTTGCTATATCGACGCACTGCAGCGAGCGCTCTTTCAGCCTCTGAAACCAGTATTGAGGAGCTCCCCGTTTCAGCCGAGGTCGTCCGACTTGAGGATCCTCGGCCCTGGATAGAGGAGACTTTTGCGAGTGGTGTGTCGGCTTTGGCGTTTCTAAAGTTCCGAGGGCCTTTGTTCCGCCTCTTCTGGTTTCTCCCCTTTGGTGGGTTTGGCTTTGGCTTTTGGTGACGATTGACAACTTGCCACTCCTGTTCGCTGGATATAACCGGGGGGCTCGACGAAAGGGGCGGTTTCGGTTTCTCTGTAGTATTGCTTAACTGTGACAAGGCTGGAGAGACTCGAGCAACTGCCTTGGCTTCCCCATCGGTTTCATAGCCTTCTTCCGACTCATACCCAGGTCCTCTGAATATATGGGGAGGGAACAGCTCCAATCTGAAGCGAGGAAGTGGCACTGCCATCTGCTCAGGGGATTCCGCTCGAGGTGAGCCAATATCATCCCAGTTGAATGTATTCTGTCGCGAAATACCTTCGTCTGTCGAGGATTCGGGAAAGGATGAAGACGAGCTACTTGAGCGATCAAAAACAGACTTTTGGTTGCCGGAGAAGTGATGCGAGGAGCTAGGAGAGAGATTCTCGATCTCTTTGCTTATGCTCTTCAGCAGGCGACGCAGCCCCTCTCGTGCTTCACGAACGATAGGTGGATGTGAACCCATCAAAGGTCTCTTTGGAAAGAGCTCAGCCAGTCGCGAAGCGTGGGTTTCGTACTCTCGATAGTCCCGAACAAGGCCACAGTCCTGGTAATGGGCCATTCTCTCCCTAGCCGCTTCGTAGGATTTGATGAGAAACCGAGTGGCAACAATCAACCAGGTATCGTAAAATCCTGGGTCATGTTTGTTCATGGCACCCTTATACTCTTCGTCCTTGATTCGGAGCTCATCTCGACAGAAACCTTGGACCACACTGTGGATTTTGACCACGTCGACGGCCGAATTGTGGCGGTAAATGGAGAAGAATCCTTCCTGGCTGCTCTCATTTAGTGAGTCCGACAGTTCAGGAACAGGCTTGTTGTCCCCGGCTGCCTCCTCATCAGACTGGTGGTCAAACCGGTGCAAAGACGAAGTTTGCCGAACAACGCCCGCATCGGAGGTCCTCTCGATCAGTCCATAGTGTATGAGAGTTCCGAGAGTATTATCAAGATCAGGTTCCTCTCCGGTTTGGGCACTGGTCTGGATTTCCAAATTCTCAGCGGTCATGGCAGCCCTGCCGAGGTTCAGAAGTCCAACGGGAACTTGGTGGCCAAGAAACGAGAGGAGGTTGATCAAATGCAATGCCTGTCTTTGTTGCAGACGAAACAAATCATTCATGATGCTCAAGAATGGTTCCGCGAGCTTCTTGTCAGTCACTTGGGATTTGACACGGTACTTTTCAATGGGCTTTCCTGTGGCATTGAGACGATGGCCAATAGCATGGATCGCCAAAGGTAAACACTCGTAGTGCTCTACTATCCGGGTAGCCTTGGAGATCTGTTCGGCTGTAGGTCTGGTGATCCCAACGTCTTTAAACAAAAGATTGCAAGCATCCTCGACGTGCATCATCGAGATCATCAGACAGTAGGGCTCATACAGTCGCTGCTTTTTCCGCAACGTCGTGTCGACCGAGGTGTAAATGATACTGCACTGGCGATTCCACGGCAAGAAAGACCTGAACTCGTTGATATCATCGTCCCGGTCAAAGGTAACCCCATCAAAGACCAGAAGCCAATCCTGTCGTGTCTGAAGCCAGTTCCGGACGGCACTTACATACCGCTGGGTTTCTTGATACTCGGGTTCTACGGCCTCCTTGTGGTCAACCAGCGTGGCGGCTTGGGCAATCTCCCAGAAACATTTGTATGCTGATTCGCGGGACTTGGCATCAATCCAGAAGATTCCGCCTGGGTAACAGTCGCGTCGTGCGAACACATATTGTCGCGCTAGATGCGTCTTGCCAGAACCTGGAACGCCAGAGATCAAAACAGCCATAGTCCTTTCTGCACGCGACTTGGCTTTGAACAACCGATTATGCAAAACTTCAAGCTCTTTTTTCATGCCGAAGAATGTGGCATTTGGATGGAAGCCCGGGGGTGCCACGAATAGCGGTGGGCTTGTGAGGGAATAATGGGAGAATTCGAGAAGTCCACTGTTTCCCAAATCAGAAACGGGTGAGTTGCGGCCTTCTGTTGCAGCAGCAGGCGGCAGAGTTGGTACGGATTGGACTATGCGAAAGTCAGCAGGTCTGACTCTGGGAAGAAAGTGCAAGACGAATCATGTCAGGTATTGAGGACATAAGATGGGAGCCACCCAGAGCAATTAAGTACATGGAACATGAGCACAGTCCGAGTTTGAAGGGAATGATTGATTTGAAGTATGTGGTCCCTTGGCTTCAGCATCAATAGAGGGATAAAAGCAAAGACAGGAATGTGATTTAACCAAGCAACGCCAACTGGAGTTCAAACAAAGTCATTAGACGGCAGGCTCCTCAATCTCATAGCTCCTCAGCGTGACTGACTCCTCGGGTGGAGGAAGAAGGTGTGTCATACCAGGCCTATTCAAATCTGGCATGCTTCTATTCGCTGGGTCTTCTACTCTTCCTGCAATAGTTAGTATATGTCAAGGATGGAATCAAAGATCTGGTCGAAAGTACGACTGAAAGAGTACTGAAAAGAGTACTGAAAGCATAGAAGGGCATCATTCAGAGTATGAAATAAGTCGACTCACCGTCATAGATCTCTCTAGCCTTGGCTTTCTTTTCCTGTGTGCGGACGTTTCTTTCCTCCACCCAGCGATCTTTGATGATAGTAGGAGCCTGGCGTGAGTATCGGAGAATAGCTTCAGCCACCACCTCATAACCGGCGGCATTCTCATCGTCAAACTTGCACATGTGACTGTGATCTGCCTCAATCCCCATCCGCTCAACGCCTTCCATATAAGGAGCCGCCGATGCTTCGTCCACGATCACTTCTCGAGTGCCTCGTACATCTGTAGATCGCGTTTCGTGGAAGAAATAGATATGGAATCGGCCCATGATATCTACAAATAGACTGTTGATATGCTGCAAGGTCTCATTGTTTGTCCGGAGAGCTTTGACAAGCTGCGGAGATGCCTCCATGAATTTCTTCGGAAGGACGGCGCTGCAGATATTGTGTAGCAAGAGACCCCATTTCGCAATATCAGAGCCATTATGCGGGGTACCGAGGAAGAGAATTCCGAAGGTCGACACGTATACTGAGCGAAGATGCTCGGTTTTCTCGTTTGAGAGACTGCGGGAGTATATGAGGGC